GAATTCTCGGAATTCTAATTACGTTGGGTAATTCCGAATTACCAATTCACCAATTTCCCCCTCACTTAAATAAAGACACCAACAAATTAACAGGATAACTCGCTATTCACAAAAGAAAAACCAAAATCGAACATCATCTCCACCAAATGTTGTATAACTAATGGCTCCAAGCCTGAAACACAATGTCTAAGCTATCTTTCCAAAGCCTCAGCTTTATAGCTATAGAATCTCGATTCCTGACTCAACCCGGTTGAGTCAATTTACTCACAATTCAACTCGGTTGAATATAAGTTCAGCACTTGAACCAATGTAGTTATTACAATAACACAATTACACGAATAGTCCAATGACTATTATAACGATGATTCACAATAGAATCTCCAACCTAGTTGGAACACTGAGTATTCCCGGAATACTCTTTACACGATGAGGTTTCTCAGAAACCTGATGAAGCACTTTTGACACACTTGATTAGTCAATTACACTATTTAATACTTAACCAAAGGTTCTCGTAAAGGCTTAGTTAAATCACAATTAGTACCAAGTATTTATACAATTTAGAAAGGATATTACAAAATAAGGAAATACTTTAGAAAGGAAATACAACAGCTATTTCTCTAGCAACAGTAAATGATGGCAACCGGGTTGCCATCCACACATTTGAGCGCGAACCTCAATTTATCCAACAAACTTAAAAGTTATGTATATTTTCATAGTCAAAAATTCCAGGCTGAACTACCAATCTCACAAAATGCACAAAATTGGCGTAATTTAAGCTGTAATTTTGAGGCAATTTTTGGTCAATTTTCAATGGGATAGAAAGGGGATGAAAATTCAAGAATAGGGAAAAATTTTTGCTAGATAATTGATTGGGATAAAAAGTGCCCGATATTTTTCGCAAACCATTAAAGATTCGTTTAACCCTAAAAAGCCAGAAAAAATCAAATTAAAAACCTGTTAAAAATTCGAAAAACCAAAATAGAAAAAAATGCAGTTTTCGTTCGTTTTTGAGAGTTAAAGTTACGTGAAAGTTCTCTTTTTTATTTTAATATGTTCTCTAGTCAAAGACGATTCTATTGATATATCACAAGTCTGTTTACTCTGCTTAGTTCGAAAAATATTTGGGCGCAAAAATCCGGAGTCAATTATCAATCACCTTGTATTATCTTATACAGTGGAGTACCTAAAATTGTCAGTACCTAATATTGTCACTTCGATGGTCTCCCCATCTCGTATCAATGAAATAACCTTCGGATTTAATTAAAAAAATAAAATAATCGAATTAAATTTAAATTTTCGATTTTCTTTGTTAATTTTGACTAAAAACGACGCTCTGAGTAAGAAAATACTGAAAAAGTAGCGTTAATCAAGAATTTTTTATTAAAATTTTATTGGGAATCAGTTTTTTCATATTCTGTGCCTTAAACATTAGACTGACAATTTTAGGTACTCGACTGTACTCACTTTTTGTTGAATTGAAATAAACGCCCAAACAAAAGAATGTAACAATAATCAGAATCTTTGAATAACCGATAAGTTTTATTCTTCCAGTCGATTCTGATAACCACATCAGAGTCCATACAATGTTCAGTTATATGGGAATCACCAAAATTAGCTGGAGGAAGAGAACGATTTTCTGAAAAATTTATGGGTTCATACTTTTTACCAAGATGATGAAATTCTATAGATGAATCATTTTTTTTATAGAGAGCATAGTGACAGCTCTTAGATTTAGAGCGAGATCCAAAATTAAAGTCGTCAAATTGAATAGTTTTCAATGATTTGAAATAACTGAGCTCAACTGCAGCCATAAATTCATGTCGCGCCTGATCACACTTCAAAATCCAAGATAATTTATCGATTCTCTTCATGAACTGAAAACCATTGATGTCAACCCAGTGAATCTTTTTGAGTAATTTTGGAAGATGAGACCTTTCACTCTTTTCTATCCATCTTATGACAGCATCGAAAACTTGTATTTTGATTTATCCAGTGGCCAACATCTATAAACGGAGAATCAGAGAAGTTGTTCCATAAGAAATTCAAACATAGAGTTGTTAATTCAGGTATATTCATGTAATCAGCAAGATGAAATAAGTCAACAGCATTTTCTTTTGTTATCTTTATTTTTGAACATTAAGCCCATTCGATAATAAGATCAAATGCATTCGGCGGATGGTCAAGGTTGATCACTTGACTCGATGCTTCTGTGAGCCCAGAGGAAAACATTTTATCGAAATAAGGAATTGAAGTCGACAAAATATGTTTATGGACTTGATACTTCTTATCTCCGTTCATGACAGTTACATCACTCCACTTGCCATTCTTATAAGCACGCATTAAGAGCGATGAAGCGTCTCCCATAACCTCCATTGTGGCATGAATGAAATAAGGGGCAATAATATAAAATTGATTGGCTCAACACTGAAAAATTCACAGTAAAAATACTACGAAAAAATGATTCTGATGAGAAACTCATGAAATGATTTACAGCACTTCACAAGTTAAACAATAAACTGAAATGATACTCTTGTAGTTTACCTTGCTGGTTTTAAGGTTTGTTACGAGAGAAAAACCTTATCTGAAGATGGAAAGGGTGATAACATGACAATAAAGATAGATCGATCACTTCTATTTTGTTTAACTTTTCCACCTTGCCTTTTGTGATATCACGTTTATCTTCAGATAACATTTTCTATTTTCTAACAGCTTTTAGTGCTAGCAAGACAAAAAAAAACCACAATTAATCAAAATGGATCATTCAAATAGTTTGGTCCTTTTGAGTTGAGAGCAGAACTTTGTGGGTTTGTATGGGCACCAGACTGAGTCTATCAGTTCTATCAAAAATGTTTTCAATCAATTTTTGAAAATTGAGTCCGAAGTGGAAACTTCTATCGCCTTTTGCTCAATTATGGAAGCAGACTTTTTTGAACTCATTTAACTGATTCAAATTTCGTTAGCTGGCAGAAAATTCACTTATTTTGCAAATTTTTCTATTGATGCAAAACAGATCAGTTCTATATTCAGGCAGAGTGACCTAAGGCCTGTGGCATCAAGATTAAAAGAGCTAGAGTGGTCAAAGGTAAACCAATCAAAGGTGCAAATTTCGTTGGGTTGATATCAACTATAATGGAAGCACAGTTAAGAGAGTTTAATTTACAATTTCGTCTGTTTGATTCTAATAATAATTTACGTAAATGCTAATCAGAGCATGACATTGCTTTTATTTCAAGTTTTTTAGGATCTGAGGATCAAAATTAAAATATTTTGCAGAATTTAGGATCTGGATTGCTCATAGTGACTTTATAAACCTAAAAATAAAATACGGAAAAATAAACTTCCTACTTTAAGATGAAGCAGTTAATTTAAACATTATGACTTCATGCGTTCGTCTAATTTCCCACTAAAATTTGGTTAAACGATTGAGCAATCTCGAATGCGACAATGTGTAAATCTTTAATCTTCACGAATTTTTGTGTCCGTCTACTATTCATCTAATTTTTGGGATAAACTACCAGTTATCAAAATATCTAGCCTCTTAAGCCAGAGATAATGAGAAATTTTCTGAAATTAACATTGTTAGGCAAAGGTAGTCATGAAAAATAGTATCAGATTAATAATTTTACTTCAATTTTCATCCTGTTCAACCTAGATCTGTAAGGCATTTCAGCTATTTTCCCCGCGAAATTTACATATAAAAATTATCGAGTCTATGTCAATCACAGGCCAAGTAACAGACGTTTAATATTGTTTAAAAATAGCTGAAATGCCCTGTACAATACTAATTTCCTAATAAAACATTTTGACAGCATATTAATCTAGTCTGGCTTTATACTTACATGGCGGTCAGAAAAGAAATGCCTAGAAACTTTCTCCCCACCGTTAACACAAAGGCCAAATAATACTTTTTGTTTTTGCATTAACTTGTTTATTATACAGTATATCAACCTAAATAGTTGATCATCACTGATCGGATGAAAACTATTGTTTATATCAAGTGACTTATGCTCAGAATTACCGATTTTCATTATATTAACAAGCTGAGGCACGATCATGACTGATCGTAAATTTCTTTTAACCACCCATGCTAACCGTCTTTTCACGGTATTGTCCGCCGCCCAATCCAACACATCTACCAAATCAACTAAATCAAACAACATCACTTTTTAAAGAAACTTTTCTCAACGAAATTGTCCACTAAATTGTCCATCACTTTGAGAGTGGCTTTTTTCATACGCATTTTCAAACAATTTTTATATAAGATAATCCACCACCCAAATCCACCAAATTTTTGACCACTTTGGTGATTAATAGTGGATGTGCTAGATGGTGTAAAAGTGGTCAACATGGTTAATTAAAAAAAATAAAAATGAAAATAATTTTCTCAAGAATCTGAGTTCTGGGTGGTAGATAATCTTATAAAAATTTGTTTGAAAATGTGGCGGAAAAAAGTGTTGGAAAAAGCCACTCTAAAGTGATGGACAATTTTGTTGAGAAAAGTTTCTTTAAAAAGTGATGTTGTTTGATTTTTTTTATTTTGTTGATTTGGTAGATGTGTTGGATTGAGTGATGGACAATATGGTGGACAATACGGTGAAAAACTGGTGAAAAAAGCCGTCTCCCCTCTTTACTCTGCACTCAAATGACAAAGTTTTACATAAAATCCTGGTCCAACAATCAACCATCAACTTGAATAACAAAAAAGTTTTTCCCCCCTCTCTCAATGTTATTGGATACGGATTCTACATTTTTTCCCCCATCCTCTATTTTCATGAATTTCTCAGAGGTCATGAGGTTCTGAGGCTAGGTTTTCTATTTTTCGTCGTTGTAGTTGAATCAGGGCTTTCAGACTGTGTAATTTTTTTTCTTGGAACCCGCTCAGTTTGGCCACAATCTTGACGCAAAAATTTGATACTTTGACTTTATATATTGTATAGATGTATAGATAGATAAGAACAGTAATCATAATATCATTGAGATGTCAGCACTTGAGCAATTCAATCTTCTGAATTATCTGTATTTACATCAGTATCTTCAAAGCTTAATTTTTCAACTTGCATTGTTTAATCTTTATCAACAATTGCTTGAAGAGTTAATGCAGCTACAGCAACAAAATGATCAATATCTACATGTTTAAACTTATTCAATGATTAAACATCGATTCAACAATCAACTCAATTGAAACAAATATGGAAACTGTTGATCTGTGTGACAATAAAACAACTGTTACAGTTAAAATTCAACAAAATGCATCAACTGGTCTCTCTTCAGCTTACAAGGACAGAAAATTTAGTGATTTAATCATCGTCAATAACGATAAAGAATATCATGTTCACAAGATTATTTTGTCTTCATTCATTCCACAAATCGATAAAATGCTTTCATCCGGACTTGCAGAATCAACAAGTTCACGAATTAAACTGGACCATCCAACGGAAATATTTGATCTCATCATTGACTGGGCTTATTGTCAACCGATTAGTGTAACCAAGGAAAATGCTCTTGGATTGTTTCACCTTTCTGATTACTTGGACATACCTGATTTAGCGAATGAAAGTTTAAGTTTTCTGTTCGATCACTTTTCAAATGAAGTGGTCGTTGAAATTGATCATTGGATTAATCAAATTGCAACTCTCAAAGCTCGTCAACTGATCGATCAATACATTTGTGAAAACTTTTGTGATATCATTGCAACCAAGAGTTTCTTGGGTTTTGAAGTTGATACTGTTTATTACATGATAAACCTAATTGGTTTGAACATTGAAAGTGAATTGCAAGTGTTTGAAGCAATAATTAAATGGGTCACAATCAATGCTAATGAAAGACTTGTGCATCTACCAAAGCTGGTATCAGCCTTACATTGGACTTCAATCAATATAGACCAATTTACTAACACAATCGCTCAAAACTTTTATATTAAACTGTGCAAAGAAACACGACCAATAATCTTGTCAGCTTTTGAATCGATTTGTTATAATACATCAGATCAAATTAAAGATGTAAATTTAATCATTGGACCTCGTCTTAAAAAGCCTACTAATTTGTATTATTTAACTAAAGAAGCAGAAGGAACATTAACATTGAGAAGTTTCCTCAATGAAAACATTTTCTTTCCACTTGTTTGTGATGTTAATATGACTTTCAACAGATGCACTGATGAATGTACAACCGAAAGTCTGATAGATTCAGATAAATTGATTTTAATTAATTGGATTAAGAAAACTTATAGATTAACTAATCATTCTGTTTTCAGTAAATTGTTTGGGCGCAATTTTGAGTTTAAAGAGTAAGTTGTTTGTTACTTTCTTAGTTGAATCATTGAGCAAATTTGATTTAATCAAATCTTTTTTCCAGAAATGGTAATGTTTTCTTGTGGAAAGGGAATCGTCCAATCGTACTCAAACCAAACCCTGAAGAAGTGACGGACATTCATTCGGTGACTCCTTATAAAGGCCAGTTTTACGTCGTTGGTTCTAATTTTCCTAGAATTGTTGTAGTGAAGTTTGATCCGTGTGATAATGTCTGGACTGGTGTGGCTAATGGTAGACAAATATCTAATCCTGTTAACCAGTTGAAACATGTGTTGTATGACAACAAATTGATTCTGTTTCTTGACAATTCAAAGTATCATATTTACGATCTCGAATCAGCTAAATGGACACAACATGTTGGCTCAGGCCTATGGAATAGAACAGCTGATCTTCACTTTACTCTTCATCAGTCTAAACTGTTTCTCCTGAGTCAAGTTCAAGCAGAACTGTATGAATTTGATTCAGTTGAAGACACATTTAAAGTGGTCAAAGGAAAACCAATCAAAGGTACTAATTTCGTTGGGTTAATATCAACTGAAATGGAAACACAACTAAAAGAGTTTAATTCACAATTTCGTCTGTTGGATTCCAATAATAATTTACGTAAAATGCTGATCAGAACATGACGTTGCTTTTATTTCACAACCTTTTCCATCTGAGAATCAAGATTAAGGCATTAAGACACTGCTTCAAGAATTTGTGCCTTAAGTGCCATGAATAAAAGTTATAAAGTATACAGCCATGAATCGAAAGTTGAATCCACTTTTTGAGTAATTCGCGCATTTTATTATCAAATCTATGATTAACTTAATCAATTGCTGATTACAAACTGTTAACCCATACATTTTGAGCCAAAATATCTAATTTAGATAATAAAACCAATAGCTGATTACCTGCGCAATTGATTTAAAAAGTGGATTCAACTTTCAATTCACGGCTGTATTGTTGAATCTTCGTTATGATTAACAGTGTTTTTTTTTAAAGCGGAGTCAATGGAAACTGGATAACGTGATGAAAAGATTCTTAGTAAACTTAGTGAAATGGGTACTAATTGTACTCATAAATGATTCACAGATTCAGCCAGTAGACCACAGTGAGGAATGGCTTGAAATGATGAAATGCTCATTAACTGCCGATTTGTAAATAATCCACATTGAGACCATGTTAAGAATAGAAAGTTAGTACTCGAGGTGATATTTTGAGAGTAACGACTGGTTTTATTAATAGTAAAAATTAAATCTGTCGATGAAGACGAAAATAATGCAAATGAACAATAATAAAGAAGCATATTCATTTTGATAATTGAATGCCAACCAATGATTGATTATAAATTGACTTTCTTTCAAAATTGTGTAAATATTGAATCTCTACAAAGCTTGGTCGATATAAAGTCCACCATGGAAACAGGATTGACAATTTATCGATCAATTACCAGAAAAATAAAACCGGTTGAATATTTCTCGAGTCAAGCATATCTATTTACAAATTTAGACAAAATGGATGTAAAGCCAGCATCAGCTAACTGGTTAAATCCCAACATTGATTTGAACGTTAAACGAGCTGAATTAACAGGCACATCTAATTCAAAGACCTTATCATTGGTCAATATTTGTATAAACAGTGTTCCGGGAATCTCTTTTTTCTGTGTCAACACCGTTGGAGTAAAACTAAGCAAGTTGGTTAATCTTATAGCAATGTGTCTATTATTTGTACGTGCAGCTATAACAGTCAAAGACATAATAGAAATCGTAATTCAGGGTCAAAATATTTTACTGGAAAGAACTAATCGAATGCTAATGAGCATTAGCTAAAAGCATATCAAATATGATTGTACTTTACACTTGTATAACTCTTAATTTGCCTTCATTTCTTCATTCAATGGACCTCATTTGGTTTCATCTTCCCTTTATCAATCAGGTGACTTTTATTTCGACTCAACGGTTCCACCTTTGGCTTGGATTCATCCTCTATGGACTATTCAATGTAGTCAATTTAGTATTCAGGATTACAGTCAAAGTTATGTATCCAACGTTCAGTGTTTATCCTGATATGTTGATCTTCAACATATCAAATTATACTATCATTCAGGTTTGCTTGTGTAAAATTTGTTTGATTTGTTTTATTCAAGTCATTACCATATTTGTTTCAACTGGTTTCAAGGAGATTACAAAGCAACTTGAAGATGTCAACTTTGAACCTTCAGATAAAGGAATGCCCAAATTGTCACCTTTTCTCATTTATCATGGAACTGCCTGGTAAGTGAAAAAAGCGAAAAATATTATATGTATGACTTTTCCCACACTCGGCACATTAATCTTTGACCTAAAAGGTCCACTATGACCTATCTTTAGATGAAACCAGAAGAAAATACATCGATTCCATGCAAAAATAGTGGCAGATCTTTTCTCACAACGGTTTTCGTTACATAAAAATTTAATTCAATCTGTAAATTTGAATCTCACCGACCATCGGTCACTCTTAAAGCACGATAAATGATCATAAAATTGGGCTTCTTACTCTTGTTGTACAATATTTTATTATAATACTCATTTTTATTTAATATTAATCAGTGTGGCGTTTCTAGTATCAACCTGAATGGTCGATCATCTCTAACCTTATGAAAAACTATTGTTTAGATCAAATGAATTTGCACTCAAAATTACCGGTTTTAATAATATTAATAGATAATCACAGTATTCATAATATCATTGAGATGTCGCTATTTGAGAAGATTCAATCTTCTGAATTATCTGTATTTGCAATTCATTTTCATGCATATCACATTGGTGTTTCGCTTCAAGAGAAACAAAACCAATTAGATTCGAATCAAGTACAATATTTGGATATAAATCCACGGAATAGGGCAAACAAGACAGTTTTCCGCCATCTACATGAAGGACTTGTCTTCTTGTATGTCCATCATTATTAAAAATCAACAATCTTGGACCGAAATGGTGATAATGTAAAAAGCACAGACTACGACCATTCAAGTTATTGTTATGCTCTTTAAAGATATTTTTCTGAAAATCGTATGAAAGGATCAATGAGCAGTCAACAAATATTAACAACAGGTTATGAAAGGTTGTACTTTTCAGCATCTTTATGGGTTCTTTTGTAACGAATTCATGACTTGCAACAAAATCGAACCTATTTCCGGGTAGATTACTTTTCGTAACTATCAAATACGATTTGTGTTCCACTTTATTTTGGCTGTAAATTTGCGTGTATTCGTAATATTTGTAGTAATGGTGATTGTTCGAACAGCTTGTTGGAGCGATTGTTTGAAGTGAGGTCGTAATGGTCGATAAACAAAGCCCTCCTTTGTGTTTAGGAATATTTTTTATGGGTTTCATGATAGTTTCAAGGGTGGTGAACAATATGTACTAGGTTTGATTTGATCCTCAGAGGGTCAGAAAGAAACGCCACGGCTTTGAATGTATTTTCCCATAGACAAAAATAAAAAAGTGAATGGCAAATAAAATATCGCAGGTTTAGGAATTTTTTTATGGGTTTCATGATAGTTCCAAGGGTGGTGAACAATATGTACTAGGTTTGATTTGATCCTCAGAGGGTCAGAAAGAAACGCCACGGCTTTGAATGTATTTATCCATAGAAAAAAAGTTTCAAAGTGTGTTATCTCAAAATATCGCAGGTTTAGAGCATTTTACTTAGCATCATTGAATTCAGCATAAAAAGTTCTATCTAAAAAATTAGGTCTAATACGGTCCTTATGGGGTCCCAAGGGAGTTGATGAATAACTCCCCCGGGGATTCGATTTTCGACCTGATTTTTAGGGAGGTATACTCTACTCGTCATAAGCTTTCGATTGATATATGGTTCGAAATCATATGAATTATGGGCCGAAAATTCAACATTTTGGCTATCCTCCTTTTACTTCATTCTACATCCAATCGACCTGCATCTACAATAAATTCTCAAATTAACTATTTTTATATAATATTATATTTATCTATTAATAGTATGGCGTTTCATGGTCAGCCTGAATGGTCGATCACCTCCAACCCAATGAAAAACTATTGTTTAGATCAAACGAAATGTATGCTCAAAATCATTAAAGATATTTTTTGAAAATCAAATGAAAGGATCAATGAGTAGTCAACACTCTTCTTGGCATTGTTTTTGGCAAAACTGGATCAAAATCTTCTCTGAGCATTTGAAGTTAAATATTAAATTTTGTAACAAATATATTTCTTTGTATTGTAAAAATTGATCAAAGGTGCGTCTATCAATTTAATTTTATTCCAACGTTCTATTCCTTTGTACATAAAATGAAATTCAATGTTATGCTCAAAATTACCGTTTTCATAGTATCAATAGATAAATATAGAAATTCATAATACCATTGAGATGTCAGCATTGTAACATTTACATGCATATTAGTGTTTCGCTTCAAGTGAAATTAAACCAATCATCTTAAAACCAGTTACCTTAAAGCCAAGCGGATTGTGTGAAACGGGCACAGGAATCAGTTTCCCATCTTCGACACGAAAAACTTTTATAATTGTTTTATCGTAGCCTGATTCCGATTCATTATAGAAAATCCACAATTCTGAACCAGTTGAGTGAAAATATAAACAGCACATGTGTTCCGTTGGGCTGTTTTTATACACTCTAAAGGTGTTTTTGTTAAAATCATATGTAACGATCAATGTACAGTCTACAAATATTACCAACAAGTCATGAAAGATTGTACTTTTAAGCATTTTTATGGGTTCTTTTGTAACAATTTCATGACTCGCAACAACCTTGAACTTATTTTTGCGAAAAGTACATTTCTTAATTGTCAATCGCGATTTGTATTCACTGTGATTTTGGCTGGAAATTTGACTGAATTCGTAATATTGGTGGTTGTTCGAACCGCTTGTTGGAGCGTTTGTTCTGAGTGCGGTTTCAATGGTCGATAAACAAAGCCCTCCTTTGTATTTAGTTAACGTTTCGTGACTGGGTGCATTGTCATCGGTTAAACGTACAAACTCAATAAGTCGTTCTCCTTTCCAAAAATGAATTTTTTTGTCTCTAGAAAAATTTTTGTGTAATTACAAATTGAATTATTATTGCTGTGAGTAGTTATGTGATAGTTAAACCACTGCATCGAGAAGTTATGATATATAAACTCGAGGGCGAAGCCCGAGTGTTTTATCTCATAGCTTCGAGATATTGTGGTTTAACTGATTTAAACCACTATGTAATCTAATCTCAACACTTTTTTTCAATTTTCAAGACAAAATTTTGTCTTGATTTTCCATTGCTTTCAATGGGTTTTCATATTTTCATTTTATTTCATTTTAGGTTTCTTATCATTTTCATTTTTACTTTTTACTTTTTTTATCAGGTCTAATCACTCTCTTTAGAGCAAACTGTGCTTATTTAGTTAACAGTGTTAGTTAACTATTAAGTTAACCAATTTCAAAATAGCACCAGATTAAACAATTTAACCATTTGATTAAATAAAGGTTACCTCAAACGTAGTGGTTTAAATTCTTTTATACTCACTTTTTGTCAAATCGAAATAAGCGCCCAAATAAAAGACAGTAGCAGTAACGATCAGAATCTTTGAATAACCGATAAGTTTTATTATTCCAGTCGATTCTGATAACCACATCAGAGTCCATGCAATGTTCAGTTATATGTGAATCACCAAAATCAGCTGGAGAAAGAAAAAGATTCTCAGAAAAATCAGAAAAAATGGATGCAGACTTTTTATCAAAATGAAGAATTTCTAAATATGAATCATTTTTTCTATAGAGAGCATAGTGACAGCTTTCAGGTTTAGAGCGAGGACCAAAATTAAAGTCGTTAACTTGAATGGTTTTCAATGATTTGAAATAACTGAGCTCAACTGCAGCCATGAATTCATGTCGCGCCTGATCACACTTCAGAATCCAAGAGAATTTATCGATTCGCTTCATGAACTGAAATCCATTGATGTCAACCCAGTGAACCTTCTTAAGCAATTTTGGAAGATGAGACCTTCTCTCGTCACTCTTTTCTATCCATCTTATGATAGCATCGAGCACTTTTATTTCATCAATATCCAAGTCATCCAAACTGATCATATAAGCAACAGTATCAACATCATAATCGAGAAATGAATCCGTATGAACAATGTCCCAGAAGTTTGAACAAATATATCTATCAATACTTTTAAGTAATTCTTCCGTGGCAATTTGATTAATCCAGTGGCCAACATCTATAAACGGAGAATCAGAAGATTCGTTCCACAAAAACTCCAAACATAAAGCTGTTAATTTAGGTATGTTCATGTAATCAGCAAGATGGAACAGGTCAACAGCATTTTCTTTTGTTATCAATATCTTTGAACAATAAGCCCATTCGATTATAAGATCAAATACATGTGGCGGATGGTCAAGTTCGATCAGCTGACTTGTTGATTCTGAGAGTCCGGAGGAAAACATTCTATCAAAATAAGGGATCACATCCGACAAAATAAGTTTATGGACTTGATATTTTTTATCTCCGTTCATGATGGTTACATCACTCCACTTGCCATTCTTATAAGCCCGCAGTAAGAGCGATGAAGCGTCTCCTTTAACCTCCATTGTGGCTTGAATTAAATAAATGGCAATATTATAAAATTGATCGGCTCAACACTAAAAAAATTCAAAGTGATTATACGAAAAAATGATTCTGATGAGAAACTCGTAAAATTCTATGTTATGATTGTCATTTTTTAGGGTCCTTTTTTGTTGAGTTACAAGGTGAAACGATTTACAGCTCTTCACAAGTGAAACAATAAACTGCAATGATATTCTTGTAGTTTGGTTTTAAGATTTGTTTCTAGCGAATTGTAAGAGAGAAAAACAATCTTATCTGAAGATGGAAAGGGTGATAACATGACGATAAAGATAGATCGATCACTTGTATTTGCTTGTGTATTTTCTTTAACTTTTTCCACCTTTACTTTTGTGATATCACGTTTATCTTCAGATAACATTCCTCAGGCTTTTCTATTTTCTAACAGCTCTTAGTGCTATAAAGACAAAAAAGTCACAATTAAGCAAAATGAGTTCATGCAAATAGTTTAGTCCTTTCGAGTTAAGAGCAGGGACTTTGTTGGTTTATATGGGCACAAAACTGAGTCTATTAGTGTTATCAAAAATTTTTCCAATCAATTTTTCGAGAAAATCGAGTCCGAAGTGGAAACTTCTATCGCCTCTTGCTCAATTATGGAAGCAGACTTTTTTTGAAACTCATTCAACTGATTGAAATTTTGATAGCTGGCAGAAAATTCACTTATTTTGCAAAATTTTCTATTCATGCAAAACAGATCAGTTCGATATTCAGTCAAAGTGGCCTAAGGCCTGTGACCTTAAGATTCAAAGAGCTAGAGTGGCCAAAGGTAAAACAATCAAAGGTACTAATTTCGTTGGGTTAATATCATCTGAAATCGAAGCACAATTAAAAGAGTTTGATTTACTATTTCGGCTGATGGATTCCAATAATAATTTACGTAAAAATGCTCATTAGAACATGACATTACTTTTATTTCAAAGTTTTTTGGATCTGAGGATCAAGATTAAGACATTTTGCAGAATTTAAGATCTGGATTGCTCGTCGTGACTTTATAAACCTAAAAATAAAATACGGAAAAATAAACTTCCTACTTTAAGATGATTCAGTTAATTTAAACATTATGACTTTTCATTCATTCGTCTGATTTTCCTCTAACATTTGGTTTCTAACCATTCAGCAGTCTCGAATTCGACAATGTGTAAATGATGGTCAGAAAGTTTAGTGGCCGTTGACGTAGAAATGATGCACTGAAATGACTTAGCAAGGCGAAACCTAATGCCTAGAAACTTTCTCCCCACAGACAACACAAAAGCCAAATAATACTTTTTGTTTTTGCATTAACTTGTTTATTAATATTTTACAGTATATCAACCTAAATGGTCGATCATCTCTGGTCGGATGAAAATAATTGTTTATACCAAGTGACTTATGCTCAAAATTACCGGTTTTCATAATATTTATAGATAAGAACAGTAATCATAATATCATTGAGATGTCAGCACTTGTGAAGATTCAATTTTCTGAATTATCTGTATTTTCATCAGTTCATTATCTTCAAGGCATAATTTTTCAACTTGCATTGTTTAATGATTATCAACGATTGCTTGAAGAGTTATTGCAGCTACAGCATCAAAATGATCAATGTCTACATGTCTCGTCTCTAGTAACCTATTTACAAGTTTAAACTTATTCAATGATTGAACATCGATTCAACAATCAACTCAATTGAAACAAACATGGCAACTGTTGATTTGTGTGACAATAAAACAACTGTTACGGTTAAAATTCAACAAAATGCATCAACTGGTCTCTCTTCAGCTTACAAGGACAGAAAATTTAGTGATTTAATCGTCGTCAACAACGATAAAGAATATCATGTTCACAAGATTATTTTGTCTTCATTCATTCCACAAATCGATAAAATGCTTTCATCCGGACTTGCAGAATCAACAAGTTTACGAATTAAACTGGACCATCCAACGGAAATATTTGATCTCATCATCGATTGGGCTTATTGTCAACCGATTAGTGTAACCAAGGAAAATGCTCTTGGATTGTTTCACCTTTCTGATTACTTGGATATACCTGATTTAGCGAATGAAAGTTTAAGTTTTCTGTTCGATCACTTTTCAAATGAAGTGGTTGTTGAAATTGATCATTGGATTAATCAAATTGCAACTCTCAAAGCTCGTCAACTGATTGATCAATACATTTGCGAAAATTTTTGTGATATCATTACAACTAAGAGTTTCTTGGGCTATGAAGTTGATACTGTTTATTACATGATAAACCTAATTGGTTTGAACATTGAAAGTGAATTGCAAGTGTTTGAAGCAATAATTAAATGGGTCACAATCAATGCTAATGAAAGACTTGTGCATCTACCAAAGCTGGTATCAGCCTTACATTGGACTTCAATCGATATAAACCAATTCACTAACACAATCGCTCAAAACTTTTACATTAAACTGTGCAAAGAAACACGGCCGATAGTCTTGTCAGCATTTGAGTCGATTTGTTATAATTCATCTGATCAAATTAAAGATGTAAATTTAATCATTGGACCTCGTCTCAAAAAGCTTACTAATTTGTATTATTTAATTAAAGAAACAGATGGAACATTAACATTGAGAAGTTTCCTCAATGAAAACATTTCCTTTCCACTTGTTTGTGATGTTAATATGACTTTCAACAGATGCACTGATGAATGTACAACCGAATGTCTGATAGATTCAGATAAATTGATTTTAATTAATTGGATTAAGAAAACTTATAGATTAACTAATCATTCTGTCTTCAGTAAACTGTTTGGGCGCAATTTTGAGTTTAAAGAGTAAGTTATTTGTTACTTTATTGGTTGAATCATTGAGCAAATTTAATTTAATCAAATCTTTTTTTCCAGAAATGGTAATGTTTTCTTGTGGAAAGGGAATCGTCCAATCGTACTTAAACCAAATCCTGAAGAAGTGACGCGTTTTCATTCGGTAGCTCCTTATAAAGGCCAGTTTTACGCCGTTGGTTCTATTAGTAATAATTTTCCTAGAATTGTTGTAGTGAAGTTTGATCCGTGTGATAATGTCTGGACTGGTGTGGCTAATGGTAGACAAATATCTAAGCCTGTTAACCAGTTGAAACATGTGTTGTATGACAACAAGTTGATTCTGTTTCTTGACAATTCAAAGTATCATATTTACGATCTCGAATCAGCTAAATGGACACAACATGTTGGTTCAGGCCTGTGGAATAGAACAGCTGATCTTCACTTTACTCTTCATCAGTCTAAACTGTTTCTCTTGAGTAAAGTTCAATTAGAACTGTATGAATTTGATTCAGTTGAAGACACATTTAAAGTGGTCAAAGGAAAACCAATCAAAGGTGCAAATTTCGTTGGATTAATATCAACTGAAATGGAGGCACAATTAAAAGAGTTTAATTTACAATTTCGTCTGTTGGATTCCAATAATAATTTACGTAAAATGCTGATCAGAACATGACATTGTTTTTATTCCATGATCTTTTCCATCTGAGAATCAAGATTAAAGCATTAAGACACTGCCTTGAGAATTTGTGCCTTAAGTATCATGAATAAAAGTTATAAAGTACATGAGTGTAGATTGTTGAATCTTCGTTATCATTGAAAACGGAGTCAATGGAAACTGGATAACGTGATGAGAAGATTCCAAGTAAACTTAGCATAATGTGGACTAATTTTATTCATAAATGATCCACAGATTCAGCGAGTAGACCACAGTGAGGAATGGGCTTGAAATGATTTGAAAGCTCATTGGGACTATGTTAAGGCTAGAAAGTTATTCCCCCACAATTTAGGTTAATTGTACATTTCTCAATTGATTATGCGATTTGAGATTCATTTTCATAATTAAATGCCAACCAATGATTGATTATAAATTGACTTTCTTTCAAAATTGTGTAAATATTGAATATCTACAAAGCTTGGTCGATATAAAGTCCACCATGGAAACAGGACTGACAATTTATCGATTAACTACCAGAAGAAAAAAACGGTTGAACATTTCTCAAATCAAAGCATTTCTAGCCACAAGTGTAGACAAAATGGATGTAAAACCAGCTTTAGCTAACTGGTTGAATCCCAACATTGACTTGAACGTGAAACGAGCTGAATTAACCGGCACATCCAATTCAAAGCCATTATCATTGGTCAACATTTGTATCCACAGTGTTCCGGGAATCTCTTTTTTCTGTACCAACACAATTGGTGTAAAACTGAGCCAGCTGGTTAATCTCATTGCTGTGGGTCTATTATTTGTGCGTGCAGCTAAAACAGTCAAAGACATAATAGAAGTCGTTGTAATTCAGGGTGAAAATATTTTATTGGAAAGAACTAATCGAATGCTGACGAGTTTAGCTAAAAGCATATCAAATATGGTTGTACTATACACTTGTATAACTCTTAATTTGCCTTCATTCCTTCATTCAATGGATCTCATTTGGTTTCACCTTCCCTTTATCAATCAGGCGACTTTTATTTCGACTCAACGGTTCCACCTTTGGCTTGGATTCATCCTCTATGGACTATTCAATGCAGTCGATTTAATTTTCAGGATTACAGTCAAAGTTATGTATCCAACGTTCAGTGTTTATCCTGATATGTTGATCTTCAACATATCAAATTATACTATCATTCAGGTTTGCTTGTGTAAAATTTGTTTGATTTGTTTTATTCAAGTCATCACCATATTTGTTTCAACTGGTTTCAAGGAGATTGCAAAGCAACTTGAAGATGTCAACTTTGAACCTTCAGATAAAGGAATGCCTAAGTTGTCACCTTTTTTCATTTATCATGGAACTGCCTGGCTTGCGAATCATCGAAAATCATTTGAACTTCTCAATGAAATGGTTAATTTAACAAACAAAAAATTCCATCTCTTTATTTACAGTGCGATTATATGCATAATACCAGCTTCTATTACCATTATTTATGACATTATTTTTGCTGAAATGGAATTAAAAATTTACCATGTCATTGATATTACTTTCAATATTATCTTTATTGAAATACTTATCTACTATTTAAGTCTATTCAATTTACATTCGCACAGAATTTGGCTGGCATTGTACAGATTAACCTTGATTAGTAAAAATGAAATGACAACTTTAGAGGTGAGCTTAACGTTCAAAAACTATTATTTGTTCCATGTATTATTTAATAATTTGATTCTTCATCTATTCAACAGGCTACCCTTTTCATGAACAGAATCAGTAATTTACCGGTTGGTGTTCAACTTTCAGATAAATTTGTGATTACACTCGGAGTTGGTCCAAGTTTGGTTGCAGTCATTATAACAGTGTTTGTGTCAATAACTTCACTTAATCAAGTTTTCCTCAACAATGCAAACGCAACTAATAATAACTAACAAGTGCACACCTTATCTATTCATGCTATGACCATAAGTTTAGCTAATCTGATAAAACATCGGGACACCGGAATAAAATAAAGAATCACTTAATTACATGTTGAGAAACACAACAATTATCAAAACTCTTTATCAAATAAATCTAATTCATGACATTGTTTTAATTCCCCAAAATTCATTCAGTTTTTCAACCAAAATATCCACTTGATTGTCTTCATTATTTACGTTACTTTCTATCAGCTTGATTAGTTCGTCTAATTTCCCTCTAACATTTGAAACTGTTAACCTGGATGTTAATCCTTCCAGCTTGAAATAATCAAGAAAAAGATCAGTTATAAGACCATAAAGCCTTTCCAGATTAAAATGGATGAGTATTGGATTGGAGTTAGATTCCAGTTCCTGGCTTAGCGATTCAGCAATCTCGGGTTCGACAACGTGTAAATCTTTGACAGCTTCTTTAATTAGATCAATCCTTTTCTCACTAAGTAATTGTTTCAACTTTGGATACAATTTACGAATTGTATGCCCCAGACTATTCTCATTGATATGCAAATTGACCTCAATAGAGATTGACTTTTTTGTAGCTTCACGAGTGATGGCGTCTTTAAGGATAGCAATGGTTGATAAATTGTTGGATTGAAAAATGAGCGATCCTTTGTAAAAATTAATTTCAAGAAAAGTTCCCATTAGAGTTGATAAATAGTGATACTCAATCGATGTTGAATTGATAAGATCGATTCGTTCTGGTACTTCTGGTAAACAGAGTTGAAGCCAATTTAGACAATCAATCAATCCAAATGAACCATAAATATGAAGTTTGTTGACAAAGTGCAAAGATTCTTGATCAATTTGGTGGTAATTTCGTTTGTGTAGGGACAACGCTTTAATGTAATAAATCTTAACCTGGCAGCTTTTAGGATTCATCCGAGTTAATATATATAGACGCAAAGTCCCCGCTTGACCTGAAATAGAGATTATATGGAAATTAGTTCATTTGAACAAAGATTGATTGAAAGCGAAATTTGATTTACCTTCGACAAATTGCATTTTGATTTCAAATCGGGTTGTATTTGCTTGACATCTAAATGTTGCTAAAACTTGCGGAGATTCCTGTTCGTTTAAACTGTATACTGCTGAATTGCGTTCCGAGTCGATCAATTCAATTGGAATATCGCTTTGAACGATTACTGAATCAATGGCAACCTCCGATTCCAATGCTAAAATATATGAAGCGTCTGAAAAATTAAGAATATTGAGTTTAGTATTGATTTAAAAGTATTAACAAGTAATGGTCTTACCATCATGTAAAATGAGCGAGTCGTTGATTGTAAAATAAGGTAATGTTGAATAAGATGGACTATTTTTCTGTTTCTTGTTAAGAATCAAACCCGAAGTTAAATTTTGGTAAAATTCTCTCTTTCGATTCAATTTTTTCTCCAACTGATCTATTTCAGTTTTCAACGAATTGATCTTGTGCTCCATATCACGATTTGAAACAATTTGTGGCTGTTCATAATTTGATGAATTCATTTGATCTCGGTTAAGGCCAAAAATTAATCCAGTAAAGGTACAGCATAGGATGAGCGTTCCTTCACGACAAATACAAATGGATGTTAAGCTTTCTCCACAATTGTAATCAGTCAATAGGGTGGGACTTTGGTCAACATTGATCTATTATAAGGTATTAAATAAAATAATTTGATTATTGTGGGCACACATATGTTAAGTTTACTTATCAAAGATTGGTGAAAAGCTTACAAGTAGAGATCCATTGGATTCAAGTGTTTCCATGAAGACCCACACCTCAATTAAACCATCAGACCGTCCAATATAAAGCTCACCTGTTGATTCCATCATTGTAATGCAATTAACTTGAGAGCGATAGCCTTTGTCGGGAATTTGCCATTTATGTTCAGCATTCACCTCATTAAAACCAAAATCTAAAGAAATTAAGGCAACTTTTCCTTCGATGGTTCCATAAAGAAGATTGACTTTGGAACTCTTGCTTGACCTTTCCAAGGAAAAAAGCACACAAGGAATACCACAAGTTTCAATCTCATATTGACAAGTCGAATTCTTCAATATCCTGATCAGTCTATCTTCACATGAGATAATTGGAACTGGAAAATAGAAAAAATTTTACAAAATCATGTTTTAAATGGGATTCTTCACAAATAGGAAATTTAATCTTTCAATTTTTCTTGTTGTTGTTTCACATCAGGTTAAACAACAATGAGATAGAAATAAATTGTAAGAGTAAATGTAAAATCACTTACCTGGACGTTTACTAACTGAATTAAAAGTGACAATAAATCCGGTAATTTTACTTGGCGAGATGTAAAAATGTTTAGATTGAATTGAACTGTTGCTGTTTTTACCATCTGTCCATGTGTCAGGTGTTAAAACATAGTGATTGTAAATATAATAACCGCAAATGTAAACATCAACCGGCCAGATAATTTGAAAATGTTTGATCGGTTCGGTTAAATTGTTCAACTGGAGACCAAAAAATTGTTTCCCTTTACCTGTGTAACCACGAATCATGGAAGAACCAAAAGCTATCAAAATTTTAGGCGAACCAATAACGTCTCTTGCAACCTGAAGGCAGTTGACCTTTCCATTTGGATTTGGCAGAGTTCTGAAAATGGTGTTCACTAGAGTTGATGGTTCTGGACGCAGAGAGAAACAATGAATTGAACCCGAATGATCACCAATCACAGCGATAACAGTAAGATGGTTGTCAGACGATCCTGGACTTAAGGCTTTCAAAGTGTTTTGTGAAGTCAAACCTACTTGAAGGTAATCAATTCGGTTAAGCTTAGCGCCAATATTCATGCTAAGGTTGAAAGACCTTGTTGTTATTCATTCAAATTAATCAACGGATTTTTTCACATCTCCGTTTTTACTGCTATACTGAAGCTTTTCCTTGGTATTTGGAAATTTACGATTCCATGGTTACTAATGTTGGCAATTAATAGCAACAAAACGACCAAGTGAATCGATATTTTTCATCCAATCATGCATTCATATGATATACATGGTATGGTAAGTTTAGAAATACATGATGATAAGTCAATGAAATAAACAGTAACTTACAACCGTTCTTTTTGATAATCATTGAACAAAGTTCAGAATGATCTTTCTTACTTGGTAGAGTTTACATGATGTATATCACAATTATATCCAACAACTTAGATTTGATTTGAACAGTAAACGAAAATTTCACATCAATTATTAAACAAGATGATATACCTTGTTAACGCAAGGATAGCCCCAGACCCTTGTTTAAAGAACAAATAGGGAATAGTGTTTCCCCGATACCTTTTTTTTGAGTAAAAGTATCGATACTTTGCTTGTCGATATTACTCGATACTTTAAAAAAAATACTCGATACCAAATAAAGCTCTTAATTTGGTGAAATTATTAGGCAAAGTATTACAGAATTGAGAAAAAATCAGCTTCCAATTATTTCTGGAGACCATGAGAATGACTCACTGCATAAACTCACGCTTTAATTGTACTCATTAAATACTCGATACCTTTCCGATTGATACCGATACTTTTCAACGATACTTTTTTTAAATATCGGGAAACACTAATAGGGAATAAAGCGTGTCAGCAATGCCATCTGATGTTAATAACTTAAGAAGTAAATATGTGTGTTATTATCTCAGTAGATGGAGCTATTTTGAAGTAATCTTATTAATTATCTTACATTGTATTTAACGCTTAATAAATAAACCATTAAGACTATTGTATCACATATTCACATACGTTAAATAATAATGTATATAAATATATATATTTAGAAATAATGTATTTATGAACAAATTAGAAGTACAAGAATTTTAATGTCCCTAATGGACTCAGTTTTTATGGGCTTACAAACTTATAAAGTTCGAACTCTTAACTCGAAAGTCAGAATTTTTACCCATACTCCTTACCGCAAATTTACTCTGGGTAATTTACATGTTTAATGGCTCAAGTTACCCGTCTGTGTCCATTGACTGGTTTCCGGTCCAGAAGAGTTATCCCTTTTTCAAATTGTTCACCAATCCTGATAAACTCACACGCTTTACCTTTTTATACCTAGTCTTGGAAATCGTGTTAAATTGGTCCGGGATTCCAAGCTTTTTCATGTCAACAAGTTGACCAGACAACCAAACCTCTTTCAATCTAGGAACTCAATTAGATTCTATTGTGAAAAAACACCTAAAAATGGTTTAACCGAGCCAGAGCATATCCGATATTGGGAAACCTTTGAAGCTGAAATGAAGCAACTAACTCTTATACAGAGATATAAAAAGATCCGGTTGTTGGCATTACTTCAGCTCTATGGTTAGGTACATTTTACCTCATCGCTGCCAAGTAAGTTGTTTAAACATCAAAAATCAAATCTTTCGAAGATTCTAACTTTTTATTTTATCTTTCTCTTATGTCCTGATTTTTTCTGGTGTCATAATAAACTGCATAATCATCAGTGGATATGTGAAACCTTTTGTTTCTAAACTCAGTGACTTTGGTGTTCCTGAGACTATAGCAAAAGCTTTGGAATCAGATAAAATGGGAACTCTAGCAATTGCGATTGTAATATATAAGTTAGCCACTCCAGCAAGATATGCTGTTTCTATTGCTGGTACCGTAAAAGCTATAAAGATATTGCTTCGTAGAGGAATGATCAAACCAGTTCCACCAAAGGATAAGTTAAAAGAAATAGTTTTAAAGAAGGTTTATGAAAAAAGTAAACAATAGTAATAAATAACTTCTGTAAATTAATATTTTTTGCTTAAAGTTTAACTAACTACGGATAAGGTGAATATAGCGAAATCTTTAAATGTATTCCGGTAAATGCTTGAGACTGGGCTAAACGATGATATCAGGAGCCAAATCAAATCTCGACTTAATCTTAAATTGGATGCGAATCGGATAATGGTTTGAAATTTCCCTGTGGGACTCTAAAGCCAAGCTCCTGGAAGTTAAAAAACAGAGCAATCTTGAGAAACTGGAAGTGAATTGATAAATTGTGAACTTACCCAAAGTTTCAAAGATATTACCTTTTGCTTGCAATTTAATCATTTCAGAGCACGTTGTAAGACGCAATCATGTTTCTCCAATCATATGGATCGTTTGAAAAGTAATCGGAGTTGTAAGCTGAAGTCAATTTCTTGATATAAGAGTTTTGACTATTAGCGTTCAGAGATTTAGGATTGGGTTAATGCATTCTAAACCAACCATGAACCTCGAGCATTTAATCCAATTTTTAGCTAGCCTACAGCCAAGTAAATAAAAATATTGAAAGAGAAATCCAAATCTTGTTATGAATCTTGGTCTAAACAAAATAATTTATCTGGAATAACTTACCAACAATATGGACTCTCTGATGGTTTACCAGAAAAAGCAACAAGTTTTCGATGTTTATCAAATTCTTGTTCGTCTTCAGCTTCATAAACAATCTATACCATATATAAAGTCAAAACATGAAATTTTTGTGTAAAGATTGTGGCCAAACTAAAAGGATTCTAAAGAAAATTTTTTCCCAGCCTGAAAGTCATGATTAAACTACATCCACGAAAAATAGTCTGAACTTCATCGGAATTCAGGTACCTGAGAAATTAGCGTTTAAACAGGGTAGGGGAAAAAATGCAGAATCCGTATCTTTTACCATTGACTTTGGGGGAAAAATTTTTGGTTTAGGTTGATTGCTGGTTTATTGTTGAATTAGAAGGATAAGTAAAATCATTTTTCGAGTAAAGAGTTAGGTAAAAAATATGTTGCCTCAACTGTTGAACCAAATTTTATTTTATTTTTTCTCATTGACTATGGATTTTCATCAATAATTTTAGTCTTTAGATGTGGATTGGATTTATTGTATTCAGTGAAAAGAAATTTACGATCAGTCATGAGCGTGGCTCAGCTTGTATCCTTAACTTGAAGACATTCAATCATTTGTGATTTAATTGCATCAAATTGTTCTCGCCATTCGTCAGTATCACACACCATTCGGAACCCAAACTCTTTCCATAAAATGGTAACATTACTCGGTCCATTGAATTCATCATTGTCTGATTTATCTGACTCGTCTAAATTGTTAGTAGAATCTAAATCCACTTCATAATCATCACAATTCATTCGAAGGCTGTTATATTTACAGAAAATTAAACGAATGAAAATAAATTTCTTATTTTGATTTATCCTTTGATGAAATTTGATAAATGAACAAGTGATTTTGAAAAAATTAACTTACGATGTAAAAATAGTATAACAAGATAGATATAAGATGGTTTCATTTTCAGTAAATTTTGTTGGCCACAGATTTAATTCAATGTACCTCTGTCATGTAAAACAATTTTCAAATGCAATAAAAAATAACAAATCATTATTAAACTGACAGGAATGTTATTTTGTCACCTGGTAACTGGTGTTGCTTTAATATTGATTGTTGAATCGATGTATTTAAAATACATTATATGTCATATTAATGTTTAAAATTTTGGTTTATATCTATTTTAACCTAAATCTTTAATAAGTTGATTGTAAAATTTTCAAGTTTCTTGATGAACATAAGTGTAAATATCTTTGCCGTAAATAAAATCCAAATGATTCCATGAAGGTAATGGTACGAAATAGTCTCTCAGCAAAGGCACTGTAAATTGAAGTAAAAGAGTGTATTTAATAGACAGAAATTAACTTCAATCGATCTCACCTTTGATTGTGTCTATAAGACGTGCTACATCTTTGTTATCACCTAACTGGTCACTTTTAGAGTAAATTAGTGCAATTTGTGTTGAATTAATTTGTGTGAGAGGGAATTTGGGTGGACTAGGGCCATTATATCTACTAATATTTTCACTGGTTCCATAATCAAATCTTTTGAAATCACCAGCCACAATATTTTGACCAAAATGAACCAGATTCCAAAAGGATGAAACAGCATATCCATGAGCTCGGTAAACATCAACTCGACTTGAATTCAACTCTTCCAAATTATAACCCATTAAAGGGTAAATAAGTTTCACAGACTTTGGGTTCCCATCGACCACAAGCAACTTGCTCGGTCAACTTTAAGATAAGAGTGTTTTCATTCAATTCACCAACGGATCTACGTAAACCCTAAAGGACAAAAGGAACACGAGAAGCTATCCTTAATGATAACATTATATTGTCCACAAAGCAGACTGGGGCCATGGCGATGAAAGGTTTAACCATCAAAGAGTAATGTGGTTGATCGGCTAGCAATCCAAACATCATGAGAGTTCCTTGAGAATGACCAATCCATCCCAGGCTTGCTATAAAAATGACAATAGAGTTGATTTAGGATCGAGTTGATTAAAAACTTGAATGGTAATTTATAAGTTAAAGCATACTCACCAAATCCAGTTGTGTTCAAAACATGACCGATAATTGCTGGAGTATCATAATCAATCATTTCATCGAAGCTAAATTCCCAAAATTGTCTAAAAAACTAAAAAAAGTGTCTAAAAGTATAAAATAAAGATTTTAAATGCAATTTTTTCATACTTGTTTTGGTCACACCTTTAAGTTCCAGTTTACAAGGTAACATTTCTGGTTTGGTCAGTTTAAGCTTTCAGTAACCCAAAGTAAGGTCAACCTTTGTCCACTTCTCTTTGTTGTTTACTTCAATTTAGATATACCTTGTGCTCTTCGCTTCTTTATATCTCAACTTTTTTAAAATGAATAATAATAAGGATTGCGATAAAAGTAAGTTTTAATTTTTGATAAACTTTTTTATTGAACAACTTTTTTTTCTAGCGACAATAAGAGTCCAAGTATCGGATGCTTACCGAGATATTATTATAGACTGGTCAAAGGAATTTCGTGATATAGAGAAAGAAATGTTCAGACAGGTAAATGCTAAATTTAAATAAAAATATCGCCTCTCTCTTTAATATTCAATACGTTTTATGCTCCATAGCTGGCAGAATTCACTGGAATATCATTAAAAAAATCTAAGGACCTTGGATTTATCAAGCCACCTGGAAACAATGTTTACCCTGATAACTCTTATGTCCATGTTGTTGGTCACTTAGCATATTGTAATATGCGCAACTCGTAATTTCAATTAATATATAATTTTGTACAGCATTTACATGTAACTTTTTCTTATTTATCAGGTACCCTGAAGCTCAAGACAGAACTGAATCTTCCGTGTTGTTTACGACGCAAGATTTGAAAGATAAATACTTCAGAGATGGAGATTGTTTTTCTCTCAATACAAAAATGAAGATGCAATTTACTCTGGATGAACTCTATGTTGAATATAGATTAGTTCATCTAGATTTGATTGATGAAACTGAATGCAGCCTTTCATTTTGCCATCATATAAGTAACAAAGGTTTTTTGGATAAACAAGCTAAAATAACCAATTCAGATATTGAATCTTATCTAAGAGATCAGCCTCGTCCAAGTCTCAACGGCATTGTTTTTTTTACCAACGAACTTCATGATGCCATTTTTATGCGAGAGAGGGAGATTCATGCAGATTTGAATATTGGACAATATTTTAATTCGTATTGCTCATTCTCGTATGATGAAATGTTTCGTACAATAAGACCTCGTATCTACTGGCCGAATCGTGGTTAACTTAGATCGTTTCAGATTTTCAATTAGTTTTAATAAACTGACTCTGATTTACTTAAATTAAACCAAAAATCGATGTAACTAGTAATTTCTTTCATTGATTATGAATAAAATCGTTTGAATAGTGTTTTTTATGATGCTTATTGGATAGTTGAGATAGATATTAATATTAGCTGTTGTGGTCTTATCAAGATGATAGTGCAAGTATAACAAGAAAATGAGTGTAAGATGATGAGGATAAGTAAAAAATGAAGATAAACAAGCTATTTAAAGTTATCCATCTGTAGGTAGATTGAGAGTGATTAGCACTTCGAACCTTCATTTGTGTGAAAATTTCTTTCCATTTTACTTAAAGAAGAATGATGATGAAGCGCTGAGCTGGGAGAGGTTGAAACCAGTTTGAATCTACACCAAACACGAATCTAGATCAAGACCCGAAAACCATTTCCAGCTTTTACAGTTTTAATGTCTCTTACTTCTTCTTCTTGTCAACTTGAAATCTTTCATTGTCTTCGTTTTTTTCTTTAATAGTTGACCGATAGACGAATCTTCTTAAAAATTATGTTTCAAAAATCATTATTATCTTCAATTGTAACTAATTAATCAGCTATTTGTCATCAATTAGATTATTAACTGTTTTGTTGTTATTTCTGGATTCATAAAAAAGAACCTGCAAAAGCTGCAGTTAATATAACAACAGTTTCATTCTGTGCATGTTTATCTTAAATACTCCATATCCAGCTATATACTACAAACCAAATCTGAATCTCTAAATACAACTACGAATACCAATATGGTAAGTAAACTGTATCATCTAGATGATCAAATAGATGCGTAATTTTTTTAGATTTTTTTGTTCTCCTTTTTACGACTAGACCTATTGACTTGGACCGTCTTTTGTTACTTTTTATATCAAGTGCTTTAATAAGTGTAGTTTGTTGTCTGAGCGAAGCGAAGACTATAATGTGAAATCAAAAATCTGTGTGTCGCCATAACTCAATTTTAATAATCAAGATTTTCTTGAAATCTTGAGAATAGGCTTATAACCCGCCAAGGCTTTGCTGTATAGTTTTGGTCAACATTGGCCCACTCCCAAATTTTCATAAATTTTAATGCCGATAGATGGCAGCATCTGCGCAAACAACAGATGGCAGCACATTTTTTGTGCACCTATTGATTAGATTGAACGGGATCGGATTTTTTAACACTTTTTTACCGTTTTTCACTGTATCGTCAGCTATATTGTCCACCACTCAATGAAACATATCCAACAAATCAACCAAATCAAACATCCACACTTTTTAAAGAGACTTTTCTCAACAAGATTGTCCACCACTTTCATCCACCACATTTTCGAACAATTTTTCATGAGATTATCCACCACCCTAATATATTGATGTATATCATAAGTATACATTACTGTACTTAACTATTGTAATTAATGTATGCTAACAAATATATTTCAAATAGGATTAATTAAGTAGTAAAATTAACAAAGTAACAAACCATTAGTCCCAAGTGTAGTGAACTACTTGCAAATCCTAATTGCTTGAAACAATAAAAACAGCACTTGGAAAAAACAAATGTATGATTAAAGACTTAGCACTTAGATGAGATTTAAATATATCCAAAATAAATCACCACTGTTAAATAAATCACTAAATAAGAAGGCGTTAGATACCTTGTCAGATAGTTAAGAAAAATTGAATTGCCATGGTGCTACAATGAAGCAACTTCCAATAAATTACAATGAAGATCACATCATCAGCAAAGTAAAGGGACTTTATTTAAATTAAATCAAGCAGTAATAATTTAACAAACAAAATGATTCAAAATTGGCGCTTTAATCAAGTTTTAATTTGTAATCAACTTATTGATATCCTCCAAAAGCTTATTAGTGTAATTAATCGTATTTATGGTAGAAACTGCTAACACATTACATCTAAGCTTATCTTCATTATAATTATCAAGATTGCTTTTGATTCGAAAATTAAATTTCTTAAATAGCATTGTATCTAAAATTTCACCAAGTTTCTTCTCGTCATCATCGGCAAGCTTTTCGATATCAACGACTTTGATCCCGATAAGCTTTACAGCTACTTCACTAAATGCTGTTACCCAAACTGAATCAGTAACATCGGAAATACAAAAATTTATGATAATTTTGTAATCTCCTTTTACGAATTGTTTGTTACATTTTTCACATTTATGAAAACCATCATCTAATGGAACCAATTTTTTTCTACAATTTTCAGGGCAGGCCATATAAATAGATGCTTTTCCGATTTGTGTTATTGTCGCAATACAGTTAGTTATGAGAGTAGCATTACCAGCACAAGCATTATTTGTCTTTTTAATTGAATTCAAAAAACGTTTTCGTTTATAGTTGAATCGACCCCTGGAGATAATAGACAAATTACCATTGTATAGCCACTTACCAGAATAATCAGTTAACGAGCTATCAGAATCATCTACCAAAGAAATATCTCTCTTTTTTAATTCTTTGCATGAATTTTTGAGGTTAATTTCGTTAATACATCAGAATCTAAACAAACACCGACAATGCTACACAAGAATTTAATGAAGCAGATTCTAATTGGCCAATTTTAACAAAATCATATTTAACTTGTTCTGTAAAGGCATATGCTATTATTATTTGCATCTAGTTTCAATATACTAGCAGAATTCATCGCCAATTCGTAACAATGTTCAAGATCAGACCATCTCTTATTTGCGTCTCTTACTACTATCTCATTGTGAATGAATTGACAAACAAAGTTAATACATAAATAATACATTATTAATGAATCTATTTATTAATGTAAATATTTAGCTAGTATTATAATAATGTATGATTTTTCGTATGTTTATGAAGTAATGTATGGTACAAGATAAATCAGCCGGATTGGAAAAAATAAGCAAAAAAAACTATATTCTTTTGAGCCTGTTTCAATATCCAAATCATCAGAGATTATAACAGATTCTAAGTTTAATCTCTTTGCTTCAATTTCAAAGCTCGTTAGTTGTTTTGAGAAAGTTGTTTTGAACGACTGACAAAGTTCTGAAAACATCAATTGGTTGAATGCCAATTAAACCTCCCAATGTTTGGTTAACCAATATCAAAAGTTCAATGCAAAATATTGATATTTTGTTTTCCTGCTACTATCTCATTGAGAATGAATTGACCAACAATGTTAATACATAAATACTAGATAAACAATACATTATTAATCATAAATCATCACAATAATTATCAATTATAAATATAAGGATTATAAATTGTTGGATATTTGATAGAGAAAAAAGAAGTTTATTGTCTTTAAACAGCTCATACTACTGAACTTTAAGCTACCAAAAAAAGTAATTATAAATTTACAAGATAGTATTTAATGAAGTTTAAAATGATCAGATAAAGCAGTTCGCCATTTGATGGTTGCATTACATACACCGCAAACTAATATGAAAAAATGACTTTCGATGTGAGAAGCAATGTTTGCTTTTTCTTGCGAGCCTTTAGATACGTAAGTACATTTTCCTTCATGTAATTTACAGCTATACAAGGTTTTGATTCCACCATCTGGTTTTATTGAATCAATCCAACTATTGCAATATTCAAATTTTTCTTTATAAGAAAAAGTAAATCCGGATTCCATATGAATAATGTAATATATATAGCGGCTGTTATTTTTGAAAAGGCAATATTTTTCCTAAATGAAAAAACAATTTACGCATTATAGCAAATTCAAACATGCATTACTTGCTTGTACGTACCTTGTTAATTTGAAATTTGATTCCTGACGCATGTGATTTCTCATTATAATTCATCTTTTTATGTTTTTCAATAAATTCAATTGGATTTATCTGTTCATCATTATCAGTTTCTTCGATTTTCTCACTTTCAGTGAAGTCAATTTGTTGGTTACCAAATCTAAACCCAAACTTTTCTTTAACTATTTCAAAGATGATCTGTTCAAAAATAAACTATTAAAGATCAAATTAATTTACGTTTACTTATATATGCATAAAGATTGAATGATATAACAATATTACTAACCTCATTGAGATTTTCTATTTTATATTTATAGAAATTTAATTCGGAATAACGTCCTGCATCTGTTTGTGGCTCGTGATCAGTTACAAAATATTGATCCGGTTCTTTATTTGTTTCTTCATCGAAACTGATAATAGATTCATTCTGAATCAAAACCTGCTTATCTAATTCAATAATATTAGTAACCGAGCCCAATGGAAAGTCCTCTATAGAGTTCTTATCTTCTCGGGAAGTTGCACTAGTAATTGGTTCAACATTGCTATAAACTAAATGTTCGACTGTTTCAGCGGAACCAGCCGTAACCAATGAAAGAGAAATATTTTCCTGTTTAGAATCGTCGACTTCGTAGACGACGTAGGCTTCATCACTTGAATTTATAAATTGGTCTTTTAGGTCGTATCTTCTTTTAGTACAACTGGCTGTAGGGATCTAAAAGAAACGTACATTATATTTATATTTGATTAAAATACTAAATTTAGCTTGATTAATAAATAGAGTTAGCTACTTACAATTCTCATGGCACTTCTTGCAAGCACGCAATCTTGAACAAATATTGTAGGGCTACTTCGAGATGAAATAATTCCAATTAACTCCTACAGAAATTAAATTAATGTATTAGTAAAATGTCTTATATGAAGGATTGTACAAAATTCTTACCGGATCGAAATACATAACCATATTGAATGAATGGAGCATTTTTGAAAAAAATTCCATTCGCTTCTTATAAACTGACTGTAATACAACATTGTTATGATCATTCCTATAACTGGTAATTAGATTGGTTTGTTGATTATCATCGGAGATTTTATGAATTTCCATAGTCACACTATCGAAGAATGATAACATATAAGGTGCAAGACATTTACGAATAAGCAACAATTTATGAGCGTAATTGCTACCATTAAAACTGCCTTTTCTCGTTCATATTTTGCGATGTGAGCTTTCTTTGATTTGCATAAAAATTTTAGGTTTTCGATTTCGTTTTTCAAATAAACAAGCTTTTCTTCAGATGTTTCCAATCTTTTTTTCACTTCATCATGAGTTTTTTCTATTGCAGGCAGCTTTCCAAGTTTCTTCTTGAATTCATCAATTTTCTTACCCATAGCAATATATGAAGTTGTTTTCTCCATATTTGAATAAATCAATTTAACCAGCTTTGCCTTTTCATCTCCTTCAATAGCAATTGTCTGTTGTTTCATCTTTTCAATTTCCATTTCTAACTGCTTGATATTTTGCTCTCGATTATTGATTTCCACTTCTATTCGCTCTTCCTCGACTTTACTCTCGGCATTTTTATCCTTAATTTGCTGTAAAAGCAGGCCAGTCTCATCTTCAATTCGCAAATTTGCAGCTATTTTCTCTGAAAATGGATCATTGAACTTTCTTTCCTTCAAAAGTGCCAGAGTTTGTAAGCAATCCTTGGCAATATCGTTTGCTGATTTATGATCGTTTATTTCAACTTTATCAATTACTCCATGAGCTCCACCAAAACCATTTACTTCCACGAACCCGTTTACAAACTCAGCGAAAATAATTACACAATCACTATAATGTTTTATTTGATTATTATTAAGCGCGACCAAGGTATCATAAATTGTTTGAGCCAAGGGAATAATATCCTTGCAGACTTCAACTTGTGATTTCAGGCCATTAATAATTTTATCAAAAGAACCATAGATATCTTTTCTAATTTCACACTTTTGCTTCTCCTTTTGAGCGTAACGTTGAGTTGTTCTCATAAAATCGCAGAGCTCGTTGTAATACATTTGCTTGGCGTCTCGCAGCTCTTTTTCCAACTCGAAAACATAACTGACAGATCCAAAGTTTATTGGCTTCGCTTCATTTTCACAGCTCATTAATTGTTTTGAGCAAGTTTCAGCATTAACTCCAAAAGAGAAAGCAGAGATATCAGCTTCTTTAACTTTTTGTTCACAAGCTATATCTAAAGTACATTTCACAGAAACTTTGTTGTTGTCATCCATTGTTTCACTCACTTTAGGTCCCAAGTCTTTTTCAATATACAAATCATCAGCGATTGTAACAGATTCTAAGTTTAATCTCGTTGCTTCCATTTCAAAGCTAGTTAGCTGTTTTGAGCAATTTTCATCATTGAGTTCGAAAGAGGCAGCAGAGAAATCAGCTTCTTTCACTATTGACTCACAAGATATACAATCTGGAGTATGTTTGACGGAAACGTTATTGGTATCCATTGGTTTATTAATTTCAAACACCAATATAATGAAAAAACAGTAATTGAAATGAACTAAAACTGAATAAACAATTATAAAATTACAATTTAAGTAAAATTTCAACAAGTTGTCAGAATTCAAATGAATTGAAAGATTAATCTGTTTACATTAAATAGCTCCATCTGCTGACAGACAAATAAACCTTAACCCAATTCTGGCAAGTTCAAATAACTAATTTTATAATACACTATTTAAGTTTATTTAACATACATAAATAAATCATAATATATATATTTAAAAATAATGTATTTATTAGATTAGATTAGATTACAAATTAGAAATTACAAATTGATAACAGTAACGTATGTAAACCAGCTGTAATTCCTTTTAACCTTAAGTTAAACTGGCAAACATTTGTGGGAGAAGGATGTTAAGGGGAAGTAGTTCAACAAAGTAAAAAATAAATACATTGGTTTACATACATAAATGGTATTAATGCATGATAATGCAGTTAATTTTCAATTTACAGTTGCACAACTTCAATCGTGTTTTCATGAAATGGTTGATTAAATATTGAAATTAAAAAGAATAATTTTAACATTTTCAATCACTTCTTCGTTTACTATTGTGTAAAGGACAAATTGCGATAATACGAAAACCTACATATAAACCCGGTGGCACACTTACATTTTAACTAGTATTTTGCAGGCTAATTTATTTCATTAGTACCTAATTATTGATTAAATAAATTCCTGGTTACAGTTGTATTCTAATGTTACAATTTTAATTAACGAAATATTTTGATGGTTGGAAAGCGGTTTAACATTTGTTACAATTTGAAAAGATTCAACAAGGTAAATTCATTTGGAAAGAGAGGCTGACAAATTCTTTATAGAGTTTCTCTTTGAATTTTCTTCTTTCTCGTATGTTTTTCTTGTGTTCGGTTTTCTTTTGTCGAACTGATTCTTTGGCAGCTTTGTATTCTTGCTCAACAGTCTGTAGATGCTGCAGTGTCTCTACATTTGTCTTTGCATTTCTGGCAAGTCTCTCAGTTTCATCCTGTAAATTTATCTGCATGTCTCGAACCTGAACTTCCAACTCACCATTATTATTTGTAATTTGTTGAATTTGAGCCATTCGTTCCTTTTACATTTTTTCGTTTGTTTCGTTCAACTCGTCAATATGAGCTTGCTTTCTCTTGCATGAGCACTTGATTTGTGCAATTTCGTTTTCCAATAAAACAAGCTTTTCTTCAGATGATTCCAATGTTTCTTTCAATTCTTGGCTAGTTTTTTGTAACATAGGCAGCTCTCCTAATCTAGTCTTCATTTCATCAATTTTCTTACCCATAGTAATATATGAAGTTGTTTTCTCCAAATTTGAATAAATCAATTTAACAGTCTTTGCCTTTTCATCTTCTTCAATAGCACTTGCCTCATGTTTCATCTTTTCAATTTCCATTTCTAACTGCTTGATGTTTTGCTCTCGATTATTGATTTCCACTTCTAATCGCTCTTCCACGACTTTACTTTCCGCATTTTTAGCATTTATTTGCTCTAAAAGCAGGTCAGTCTCTTCTTCAATTCGCAAATTGGCAGCTATTTTCTCTGAAAATGGATCCATGGACTCTCTCTCCTTCAACAGTTTGATAGTTTGTAAGCAATCTTTTGCAATATCGTTGGCTGATCTATGATTACCTATTTCAACTTTACCAATTACTCCTTGAGATTCACCCAAACCATTAACTTGCACGGCTCCGTTGACAAACTCGGCGAACATAATTACACAATCTCTGTAGCTTTTTTTTCATTCTTATTGCGAGTGACCAAGGTATCGTAAATTGTTTGAGTCAAAAGAACAATATCCTTGCATACCTCAACCTGTGATTTCAGTCCATTAATAATTTTATCAATAGAACCATAAATCTCTTTTTTAAGTTCACACTTTTGCTTTACATTTTGAGCGAAACCTTGAGTTTTGCTCATAAACTCACACAGCTCGTTGTAATATTTTTTCTTGGCGTGTCGCAAGTCTTTTTCCAAATCCAAATCGTGGACAATTGTTACAGATTCGAAGTTTAATCTTTTTGCTTCATTTTCAATACCCATTAAATGTATTAAGCAATTTTCAGCATTGACTCCATAAATGAAACCAGGGAAATCAGCATCTTTAACTGTTTGCACACAATTACAAGTCTGAACTTTGTTAGAATTCATTTATTCACTAACTTATTAAACAATTAATCAAAATAATACAGTACAACAATAAAACTGGAGACAATTATTAATGCAACTTAAGAGAATATACGAGTTGTTGGAACATTTGAATGGATGTGAGACAAAATAAGCTTATTCTCTTTAAACAGCTCCATCTACTGAACTTTAGGCTCCCAAGAAAAAGAAATCAAACACGTTTTATTTGCCAAGGTTCTATGCTTAGGCTAACATAAAAAATACATTAATTTCACAACTATTTTAATCTCATAAAATGTTTTAACCAAATTATCGCTTTTATCTATATTTTAATACAGAGAAAGCTACAAACTTATCTCACTACTTTAAACCAAATACATAAGAACCCTCATCCCCTTACGGGTCTGGGGAAATTAGATTTTAAGGTAAAAAGAATGGCATTTTTAATTGAAACATTGAAGGGTTAAGGATTAATCGATTAGAGGTGAAACAATCGATGTATCGAAATAGTCAATTTGCTGACAAAAACTTTCCGATTGGTTACCAAAAAATAAAATCAGTGAACTTCTGAAATGAATGTGAAACCAATGATTATCAGAAAAGTATCAGTAATAATTTTAATCTAAATAACAATACATTCAACTTTTTCTCTTTTAGTAACAATACTCGTTTCAACTCGAACGGCTTCGACCTGTTTCATCTTAACAGAAACGTCCATTGAAATTCATTTCTTTTTTAAAACCAGATCATCCAGAGACATTTCATCTTAATAACTACATGGTAGAGTTGATTTGCTCCTAATAAAGACTGATTACTATTGAGGCTTGACCGGTGTACTCAAATCAGCTGGTTTCTCTCCAACTCCCTGTAAAAACAAAATTTTGATTAGCATTTGTAAAATTTATCGAAAAATAAAACGAAATTTTCATCTAAAAAGTAAACGATTTGTTTTTAACAAGGGTGCAACTGGTGTTTGAGTTGTTTAAGCTAAAATTTTGTGAAACTTTTTTACTCATTGACATAAGCATAAAGAATCAATGGAATACAAAGAAACCAGAAACTGGTCAAAGGCAAATTTTCTGGTTAACCTGTTAACAGTTAAAATGCTAACCCGTTTTCAACTCGAATCTTACTTTAAGATGAAAACCCTGCAAAGATCATGTAATTACCCTTCGTTTGATGCTGTCTAAAATGCCACAGATGTTTCTGTAGGTTCCTGGTGCGACATGTTTCCGAAGTAATTTATCAAAAAGACTATGATTAAGTAAAACACTGAATATTTTTCTACCATAAAATCTTGTATGAGGAGATCCATCCATCAAGAATTTAGCTGCTGATTGAAGTAAATGTTCACCGATATCTTTTGGACCCATAAGACATTTAACTGGACCCATTTTTTCAACCAAAATTGATAAGAAAAAAGCTGCCGTTCGACGGACATTCATATTACGATGACTGAGACAAGTTTTGGGATAAATAAGAATTGGTTATTGAAAGGTTAATATTTCTCGTAATCAAGTGGACTTGATAATGCAACTTACTTTGCTCCAAAATGTATTAAAATAAGAGCCGATTTAATTTGTGGCATTTCCTCGACCATCGACATTAAAGCCTTTTCACAATCTTCTCGAATAAAGGAAGCATTTTCAGAGCATTTAGCTAACAAAGCCGATCCAATCAACTCCATATCCTATTGAACCAGAAAATATTCATTAGACTTTCATTAACAATAAGTTGACAGTTTTTTAGTCCGATACTGTTATGTTATTCAAAAGACTTACTGGTTCAAGTGATTTCTTCATTTTACTAAAAAGATCGCCCAAAGTAAATATCGCTGATCTCGATACACTTGATCTTAAATTTTTTACCTCATCAACCAGAGAAACAATGACCGAATGAAAATCCTTCTGAAGGACAGATGGATGAAAGGAGGCTAACCTAGTAACAGCTAGCATTCCTTCAACCTTGGTTGTCCTAAAAAATAACAAAAATAATCATTTACTATTCAAATTCAAAATTAGACTTTAATTTAAACTCACCAAGCATCTTCACCGAAAGCTGCCAATGCTGCTCTCAGAGCTTCTTGTGGATTATCAAATGGCCCTTCAGTTTTGACAACATTTTCCATTATGTGTCTTATATTAGCGTTTGGCGGAATCGCTGGTTGAATCCTTATCATGTGATACTGAGGCTGTCGATGAACTGGTGATGAGCTTCGCGAGATTCGTTTTCGAGTTGGAATCATGGGTTTTCTCTTCATTCCCGGAGTCCGTGATTTAGGTTTAACATTACTAGTCGACTCTTTACCCATTTCAGGAGCACCACTTTGCTCATCTTGAACCGCATTTTCATCTTCATCACCGCCCTCTTCACCATCGACTAACTGATCTTTCGATCCTGAACTTGAAACATCACAATGCTCTTCACCCTCCAACCCATTACCATCGACATCACCACCTTGACCCTCACCTGTTTCCTCTTCACCAGTTTGATTATCATTCTGGTCAACACTTTTCTTCTCATTGGCCATCTCATTCCCTTCATTTATCACACAATTGTCATCATCATTCTTTTCATTTGGAAGACTTTTGGTCATTTGGTTGTTTCCTGGAAAATGAATTTTAATAAATTGAACATTTCAATAGCAATCAGAGCAAAAAACTGATGTTTGTTTACAATCATCATTAGTCCATCACAGAGACACGTTTAGTTTCTGGTTAACATATTTTATACTTTCATCAATTCGCTCTATTAATTGTAACTCACCTTCACTTTTATTGTCACTTTGATTATCTTCTGATTCTGTGGGTTCATCAATGCTAACCGAAGGCAACACTGATCGCTGATTAGCTCCACTTGCTTCTTGATTTTCTTGCGATTCCTTGGATAATCTGTTAAATAGACGATAACAATCAGAGAATGAAAAGTCCATCGACTAATCTTAATTTAAACCAGAGATTGACCGCAATGTTAATAAGAGCTTGAATTTTGGGATTAATTTTTATTTTCTCGTTAAATCTATCAAAAGTAATAATGATGATGTTATCTAATGAATTCAGAGCAATTAATTTAAGTCAATTTCTTGCAAGGACATTGGAGCAAGTAAATAATGAGTGAATCAATCTTTAATCAGGTCGACTTGGATCAACATTGAATTAAAATTCATGTAATGTCACCCAATTCAAATAAATATTCAAAGATTGTCTTCAAACTTCATTCACTTTAACCCAATCAATGTAACCAATAGTTTGTAACCATTGACTTTGTGCATTCACTTGTATCTAATTGTTGTCCATTGACTTTAATCATTAAATACTTATTGTTCACAATTGAAACAGTTTCACCTTTATTCAATCCAATTAAACTGAGTTTAATCACGAGAATCTGGTTAAGCTCAATTAACAGTTCAATTTATGGCAACAAAAATAACCCAAAAATGGATGAAAACTGGTTAAATTGAAAAAAGTGTATTTTTGTTATTCTAACCTTTGATCATCTTTTGGTGACAATATGGTTGAACCTCGTCTTGATCCTGGCTCTTTGTTGGTTGAAACCTCTAACAATGAATTTGGTTCATTTTGATATTCACTGGGTTCATCGTGATTTGGACAAGTTGGACTTGATTTCAATGCCGATCTCGGTCTGTCAAATGATATATCAAAATCAGATTCAGTTTGGAATGAGCTTCGTTTTTCAGGTGATGTCGGAACTGAACGTGGATAAGATGAAATGTTGACACTTTTACGGTGAACTGGATAAAAGATTTCGGGTTGATGATGATAGTCACTTGTTTGATGAGAATCTTGAGATTCTGAAAGTTGATTCATTTGTATTGTTGGCATTGAAAAAGCACGATTGTCTCTTGGGTTGATTATGGTTAAACCGACGTTATCATTGTGAATCGATTCGTTGTAACTTTGACTCATTTGAGATTCATTTTCTTCATTGGTTAAATCATGTCCATCGTGATGATCACCAACCAAATGCTGAGAATGAAGATTTTGATATGAATGGTGATATTGATGAGAATTGTAATCAGTCAATTGGCTGAATGAACTTCGACGAGAACTTTTGTCAAACTCATTTTCCAGCTTTTTAGCCCAATCGGCAGTTTTGGATCGACTTGAAATGGCTAATGTAGGAAGATTGATGAATTAATTAGTCAAGTGTCAAGGTTGAGAAAAAGGACAAAAAATCGAGTTTCCTTTTATGATCAAACATGTTTTGTTGTATCGGTAAAAGTAACCTTCAAGGTTCGCTAAATAATCGTCTTATTAAGAAATACTAATTAGAATTGAATTGAAGATGAAAACATGAATGAAATGAAACGAAGGGCACAAGAATAATCAAGTAAATGATGGATCAAAAAATATCAATTGTTACGAGACCAACTTAAAAAAATATTTATTTTGCTCTCTCGATCATCAATCAATTACGATGGGACTCAATGGATCATGTTAAATTATCGTTGACTTCATTCATTATGCATAAGGAATTCGTGAGAAAAGACAAAATGGCCAATAATTCATTCCATTTAATTAGCCATGGATATTAGCAGGGTAAACAAGGGTTAGAAGTGACCTTTAAAAATGTATGAACAGAAAGTGAAACAGCAAAAATTGTCAGATGGGAATCTGGTAAAGTCTTTGTTTTTGGGTTTTTATTTTCAAATTGAAAACCTAATCTGGTAACTTCGATTTTTCAATCAAAACTATAACCTGAACCTTGAAGTCTTTTCTGGTTAATTTGGTTATTTCAAACCAAAGGAAAAAATCTTTTGAAGGAAACAGTAAACCCAATTTAGTTTTTAGCTTTTAAGGATTAAAATAAGAAAAACATTTTCTGGTTTTGGGTTCAATACAGTAAAGTAAACCACAAAAGTCATAAGAATAGAGATTCAAAGAGCTAATTGTTGATATCGAAGCTGGTCGATTGAACCTGTCTTGACTTTCAAGTGACTTTATTTTACTTAACTGAATAGCTCTCCAGTCTCATGTAAACCTATCGATTCTTGGACTTGACTCAAATGACAAAATGGACATTTTTCATTGAATGTTTTCTTTTTCTTGAGTTTCATTGCCTTCAATATTATCATTTAGACTAAGCAATCGACTTCGAATATGCTTGAAAATTGGTAAAAAGAGCAGAATTGACGAGTGATTCATATATTCATAAATCATCTTCAATCTTTGAGTTTCTTAAAACGAAATATTCAGAAAATAGTTCTAAATAGAATAAAATATTCGAAAAAATGCTTAGGAAATTGTTGAATTTTTGTAGGTTTTCTGCTTTTGACTGGACTTAAAGGTTCACACCATTATTTTCAAGGTTTCGGCAAGTGCATTTTGGTTATCACGAAACATGATCAAACATGAAAGATATTGATGAATTGTTGATAAACAGAAAATTAATGATGGTTAAGCAATGGAAATGGCATATTAGGAACAAAGTGTACCCAAACTGACTGATATCATGAGAAACTGAGAAATACCAATCAATAATGAAAAGTTATTCCCAATGAAAAGTGAATAGTTGAATTGTCGATGAAAAATACTCTCATCATGTTTATTCAATGATGGTGTTAAAGTTAACCTGTGAGACTGAAATGTATCTTTTATGAAGGAAAAAAACTGTGATGAAAATGCTTCATTCTAGCGATTTAACTTATCGTGTTTAGTTGTTGAATGCAAGTTGAATAGACAGTTAACCAAAAGGCAGAAAAATATTGTAATAAAACAAAATTGGGAAATAATAACGTGACTTTGATTCACTCTGATTATCATTAAATTCCTTGTGATATTTACTGAACACAAATTCACATGCAAATCGATCTTTTGGGTAAAAAACTGTTTTTACTCATTACTGATCCATGATGATAAGAGTCTTTTTTACCCTTAAACTCATAGAGTGGATCAAACAAAAGGATAATAATCCTTTTTATTCAATTCAATTGACATGAAATTGTCACGATAAAGTGAGACAGAATCAAGTTATTAGCTAATATATTATCCAAAGTTGACTGAAAAGTCCATTCATTATGTTAAACAAGATGATGAATAGAAGCCTTTTCACAATCAATTTCATCTTCTCAACACTACTTTAACCCAAAATTGAAAAGGAAAATAAATTTTCTAAAAATTGGGTAAAGACATTTTCTGGTTAATCAGTTTGACTTAATGGGTTAAATCGCTATCAATGTTTTAAATTGCTAGACTCGATTGGAAAATGGAAAAAGAAAATTCGAAGTAAAAATGACTTTAGCTTACCTGAACTTGCACTTGAACATGTCGCTACAGCCAAATGTTGCTTGAACCTCATAAAATAATATCTCCAAAGATCTCGGCCTAAGAAATGCAAGAAGACGTTACATTTGAAAGCAGAAAATGTTGAACTAAAAGTAATGTTCTTGTTTTGATATTTCAATTAGAGAATATCTTTTGTCCTGTTCTTTGATTGTTGCTACGTGATGGACACAAAATAATGCTCAAAACAATAATAATGACCATTTTGGGCAATACTTTGATTGGGCAAAGATTTTCTTCTCAAAATTGTCTATTATTCAAATTAATTGTTTGGTAGAGCAGAAAAATTGGGCCGATCGATCGATTGCCTTTTTAACATTATTTTCAATGGACCCTTCCAATGATCACATTCTGATAAAAGACTTCACCTGATCATCATCATTTTTTTCAGGGCAACTTTTATACTCATCAGAGTCTCTCACGTGATGCACTTAAATGACCTCAATAGGTTTTGAACATTTTTATTGGTTTGAGACTAACCGAGATTAATTATGTTCAATGTACCGTTCAACCAAGCAAACATTAAACTAACCCAAGTCTAATACTTGAAATATTGAAATGAAAATTTTCTTCTTCTCTGGCCTTCTCTTGATAGTTTCAATAATTAACTGGAAATGGACAGAAGGTAATCAGGCCACAGGTAATGGGCCGTTGATCACATCTTTGATCAGGTAACAATTAATAGATGAAAGGGAATGATCAACAGTAAAGTGAGGGTTTACTGGGAGGCAACACTTTCCATTGATTAGTTTGTTGTTAATAGAGAAAAAACTAATTACCATTTTTGAGTTATTAGTAACAGATATTCACTGATCAAGATCAGGTCATTGACTTGGTTATTTAGGCGAGACTTTTGATTGACAATTAGTTTAATCATTTTTTGATGAGACGAAGAAAAACGAAACATTGTTTCCCTTTTTTCCTCATCAAATTGGGTTCGGTAGGAAAAAATTTACTCACTTTTAGTCGATTCATCACTTTGCTGACTTTTGTCATCTTCAGAGCTGATGCAAGTGCTTATCTGCTGGCGATCATCGTTCTGTTCATTTTGAGTCTGGAATCAGAAAATAGATCAATCATGTTTAAAAATAGTTCATTTTCTAGACAATCAATCGATTCTGTTGAGATGACTTAATATCTATGTTTAGAGTCAAATGGCAAGTCTTGGAGTTTTGTCAAAAATATTCATTTCTCTTTCAATTTGGTTCAATGATTGTTTTGTTTACTAATTATTATTGATTATTAGACTAATGACCAGTTGAGTAGCTAAAGTGAATGACATTTTACCTGGAATATCTGATTGTGTTCAACTGATTGGGAAACAGTTTCTTCGGCCGATTCATTGCAGACACTTTCAGGTTCACTTTCATCCAGTCTTTTACCGAAATTGAATCCTTCCAATTCAGCTTGTTTCATTGTGTACCGACGATACTGTTCATTGAATCTGCCTAAATAATGATGAGCCAGTTTCGGAGGAGTCCCATTGTGTGACGATGAGGCCAGTAAAACCCATTCAATGTCAGCTTCAGAAGTTGATGGAAACCAACCAGAAAAGTTGGAAACGTTTAATACATATCTCAGTGATCCGTCAGGATTACATCGAGGTAAATCACGACGAGCAAGTCGAGCCTGAAAGAAGAAGAAAATGTAATTATCTGATGAAATTAATAAATCACTCGAACTCACTTGAACAGCATTTACAAGACCTTCTGATTCGGATGTTTCTTCAATAATGGAAACGATCGACATTAGCGAATCCAATCTTGCTGGTCCAAGAGCTTGAGCAATGACGGCAATCGATTCAAGGGCCGATAGTCTAACTTGTCTCTTTGGGTCTATCAACATGGTTGCTATCTCGTAGCTTATCCGATCAAGGTTGAACTCGGTTCGGGGAAACATCAACAGAGCAAAAGTAACTCGATTGATAATCTCTTCTCGAACTTTGGGATTGCGATGGAATTTGTGTCTCAACAAAATGTCCAACACATTTTGAGGAGGCCAATGGAGCATTAACCGGTGAATCACTTTGATATCGTGCTCTCTGACCACTGAACGACCATCGCCAAGGCGCTTCAGTAAAATGTCGATGACTGGTTGAAGGCAAGGATAAGCTGAAGCTCCTAATCGACCAACAATTATCTCAATCATTTCAAGACCAGTCAGTGTAACTTTAAAGTTTGGATTGTTGACCAAAGAGTTGATGAAGTTGTCCAAGAAACTTGGTAAATAGGGAATCAAACCTGCAACATGGGAATCAGGAGCTTCCTTGACTATGGACATCATCTGATTGAGTCCCTCCAACTTTTCATTCATTTTTGTTGATGTTGCTCGATTGTGAACAGCAACGGGAAATATTCCGTAAATGAGCACAAATTCATTTGTAAATGCTGCTTTAGATTCACTTGAATTGGATGCCGATTCCACTGAATCACTGCTTTTCAATAAATTTCGAGATTCATTTGGATTCTCGCACATTTTCCTTTCATTTTCTTGACGCGATTCACCTTCATTACCTAATGTTGGTTCATCTAAAGGCTTTTGAATATCATTTGTTGTCATTTTTGCAGCTTCAATCGGAGACTCGGTTGATGCCAAGTTGACCTTAGTTGATCCATTCGCTTCTTTATTTCTTTCCTCAAACCCATTAATTGGTTCTCGTGAAACTGTCGCCTCATTTCGACCATTAGAATCAGCCGTTGATGCGCGAGACAAAACTTTATGATACAAACTAACAGTTTCTTGAGAAAGATGTTGAAGGTAAAGACGAAAGGTTTCATTGCCAACAAGACTGTGAAGTCTTTGCATTGCCAGGAAAATGGGATAAAATAGTGATGCATCGGAATGAACAAGAAGGTGACCCAGCGATTGAACTAAAGGGAACAAATTTTCCTTCGAAAATTCTTCGGTAAAAAGTAAAGGTAAACTTAGAACACAGCCTTTTTGGGCCGACTTGTCGTGTGACTCAAGACCATATTGAATGTAAAGTCGAAGCACTTTTTGCAAGTTGTTAGTGTATCTCATGTAAACATGAAGAAGCCTTAAAGAAGCCCTTCGAACATCGGTCGCTTCATGGCCCAGATTGGGTACAATTCGAGGTAATATAATAGCCATGCACGGATCCAGATCGTGTTCACCCATTTGCGGTATTATATCGACAATTAGCATTGTACACTCACAGACAACTTTCCATCGATCATCAATCAACATTGGATAGAAAGCTTCGAAAAATTGCATTCTATCGACATCTGGAAGTTGACCGCCACTTTTCTTGAGCAAACGACGCAAATCACGCAGCACATCGGCTCTTCGAGAACCTGAATGTTCAACTACATGGCGAAGTAAAGTGGCCAATTCGGAGGGATAAGTGTTGTTTGATGTGTTCAGATGAAGAGTCACTGGATGGCGACGCACCTGATTTGGGTGGTCATGGTGAAGATGTTGGTGTCGATGGGTTGGGTTAAGGGTTCCATGTCGATTTGGATCATTTATTACAATTGGAATTGCTGAAGAGGTCATTGAGCTTCTTGGTGTTGCTTCCAGTGGAGTCTCAAAGTCGCCCATAATCATTGTTTTGCGACTTCTTTCATTGGCTTTCCCACGAGTTAAATGCTTAAGTCGACGCAACTTTGTATTCCGTCGTTGATCCAGTTAGACTTGTTTCTCAATTGAACCCAAACACACAGAGTTAATGTTCAACTGTACACTTGATCATCATCTTTCGATTCACTTCCTCTTCAGTTCATGTTTGACAATCATTTTTACCTATTAATGTTACTACGGTAACTGAGTCAGTCTCTTTCAGTTCACTCGAAACTTGTAAACAATACATTTAATCGATCATTTGACCTGATAAAGGTAGATCTAATGAATTAAAAGACTAAATTAAAGTTAAATTTCATCAGATATTGATCTTAATTTGACTAAAAGCAATTCAAATTGAAATTGACAAATGTCTTTAACTGTTTCAATCAAATTTAATCAATCTCTTTGTGAGCTTTAGTCCATCTGAATACAACATTATGGCTGCAACAATTGAATCTAAAAGAAAATGAATTGTTGGATTGTCAACCAGTGCTGTAACTTTGGACATTTAGACTCATTTTTCAGTGCATGGAATGAAATGGAAGCTCAATTCGAACAGTTTGAAGCAAATGCCAATTTTTGCAGCTAATATGATACTTGGAATGAATCTCTGTGAAAGAAATTTTTCTTTTTGCAGATTTTCTAGAGAGAAATTTGACAAAATTGATCGATCGGAAGAAATTTATGACAAAAAGTTCTGGCTTTACATGAAACCATTTTTTATTATGCATTCTTGTAGAAAGTATAATGTTACAATAAAACTGTTTTTTTGGTGGAATAACTTGAAATTATTTGTTACAGTTGAAGCAGTTTTTGAATAGATGTTCAATGATCTTAAACCAATGGATAGCGGAAATCAACGATCTAACACTTTTTCAATTTATTGATAGTTCGTTTGATTTTGGCGATCAGTTGAGGCTCGATATTTTGATATTTCGGTAACTCTTTAAAGCATAATGAATGAATGTAAATATTTTTGAAGTTTTTTTGAGCTGAAATGAGCAACTGTGTAGGATCCTCAATGATTTATCTGATTTTTGGTTTAAATTTTGAAAACAAATTTTATTCAAGTGCACTTAAAGTTGAAAAAGGGCGTGAAAATAATTAGAAGCAGTAAGTTGATTATATAATAAAATGCAACTATTAATATTCACGATTGAATAAGGTGATCTGAATAGGATTTCCATTTAAATTCCCCTTTGATATTCGTATTCCTCTATTAGATTAGATAACTCAGGAGCAAAAATTTCCAACTACAACTTTCATTCGCGTGAATTGTTATAAAATATTAACTTTTCCCATTTACAATATTTCTACTTGATTGGCTGTACAATTAATGCACTTACTACTTTTACAATTATAAAAACCAGAAAAATTCGGCATTCTATTAGTGAAGTGGCAAGATTGGACATCGTGGGTTTGTAGGTGCATCAAAGCTGAGTCCATTAGGCAAACTAAAAAATGTTTACGATCATTAGTTTTTGATAAAATCGAGTTTAAAAAGGAAACTTCGAACTCCTTTTGTACAGTTGTGAAGTCAGATTTTTTCATCAAACTCATTTTTTCTGGTGTAAATTTTAATTACCAATCAGAAAATACACTTATTTCGGGAACTAAAATCTTCTGTTTACTGTAAGACCAATCAGTTCGATTTGCCGAAAAGTTATTCGCTTTTAGCGAGGATGATAGAGAATGATCTGAAACTCATTTCCTACCGATAAAACTCATTGTTACACATAATGGATCAAATACTTTTTTCAATACATCAACAGTTCTCTTTATTTAGGCCATTCGACTAAAAACTTTGAGGTTCGATATATCACGAATGGTAGTACCTACAGTCATCATTCTTGGATCAATTCTAAGATTTTATTATAGACTATGACATTTAGAAATATTAGATCGTTCAAGATCCTACAAGAAGTTATATATCATTAGCTATTAAAAGTTGATATTGCTTGTGTTGTCTTATTTGATTCTTTATTAATAAAAGTAAATGTTTATTCAAACACAAATCTTATGATGTGTTCAAAGTTTATTGTTTAATAAATGAATTAGCTCAAATTTCCTTCAATATTCAGTTATATAATGTTATGACCCATCATAAAATCTAACGTTTGGCTAAACAATGATGACTGTAGGTACAACAATTCTCGAAATATTCAGTCTTAAAGTTTTAAGGCCAATGGCCAAAATCAAGAGATCTATCAATAAATTGAAAAAAGTATTTGATGCATGATGTCAAGCGACAATTTTTATCGACTAATGATGTGTTTAAGCTTTCTTACACTAACGGGCACAGAATACGATCGGTTTAACGAAAAATTGCACTTGATCTGTTTTACGAAAAGCGAAAATGTAGATGCTTAAAATAAGACCATTTTCTTGTTGGTTATCAAATGATACATCAGTGAAATAAGTTCCATGAAAAAATCTGCTTCCATAGCTTCACAAAAGGTGATCGAAGTTTCAACTTTGGCCTCGATTTTACAAAAAACTGTCCATCGGATTAATCATTCAATAGTACCAATGGACACAGTTTTTATTTCCCTACAAGCCCCACCAAGTCGCAACTCTTTACTCAAATATTCAAGCCTTTTGCAGTTCTTTTTGCATTTGATTTAAAAGTTTAACCAGAAAATTGGTTTATTTACCAAGAAATGGGTTAAAATGAGTTTTGTTAGGTGAATAAGTTGTTTCTTGTACATTTAAAACCTAAATATTTGACCCCAAATGCGTTGTTGAAAAGTTTTTTGATTAAATTAAATTATTAATAAGTTAATGATTAAATTGGGGAAAGAATGGTGACTGTAGATGACCTCATTCGCGAAATATTGAGTCTCAAAGTTTTAAGGCCAATAGCCAAAAATAAAGAGAACCATTGATAAATTGAACAAACGATTCAATCCATGATGTCAAGGGACAAATTTCATCGACTAATAACATGTTTAAGCCTTCTAACTTTTACGGTCACAGAATGCGGAAGGTTCAATCGAGAATCGAACTGATCTGTCTTACAGAAAATAGAAAATTTTATCGCACAAAATAAGTTCAGATTCTGATTGGCCATTGAATTTTACATTAGTGATCTCTATTTTATGCAAAAATCTGTTCCCATAATCGAAGAAAAGGCGATCGAAGTTTCAACTTTGACTTCGATTTTCTCGAAAACTATCCACCAGAGAAACTTTTTGATAGCAATAGAGGACTCAGTTTTCATTTCCCAACAAACCCATAACTCAAAAATTCAAAGTTTCTGGCATTACTTCCTTTTAAATGACAATTTTAAACGTTTGAAGCTTAAAACCCAATTAATGCTTCTACTGCAGCATTTGCAAAGAACAGTAACTTTCTTTGCTGCAAGGAAGGTCTGAATTAGCCCGTGAGTCCCAAGAACATCTATGAGTCCAAACTTATAAGCATTACCTGAACGTGTATAGCTTAATTTATGCTTATTAGTGCTGAAGCTACTTTTATCTACCAGAATTTACACATTCCATAACAATTTGAATGGCATATGATTATGATAATAACAATGATAACTATTGAATCTCAGATCATTCAATAATTTTGTATATCAAATTATATTAGCATCATCAACACACACACCCCGACAAGTTGATATCTTGCATGTTAAACAGATAAAAGCTGAGAGTTTCAGAACTTGATTTATCATTCAACATAAACTCTTTGTGTACAACATTCAACGACTAATTAAAAGATCAGCCATGAAGAATTTAGCTTTCGTTCTCTATTTATCCTCTGCCATTTTGGTGGCGAATTGTTTTCCTGATTTGTTTTCTGATCTCACTAGATTTACCCAAACTGAAATAGATCTATGGAAATCTTTGATTCCAAATGTTAAGGCTTTTCCCGATGCATTAAAAGTACTCAGTTTGGGTGGATGTCCACAACCAGAAAACCCACCAAGTGATTTCGATTTTAGAGATGTAAGTATTTCCATCTTTTCCCCTTGAATTTCATTCCAACAATATCAAGTGTCTAATCATCAACATTTTTCAGCTTTTAGGACTTTGGTATGAAACTGAACGAACTGCTCTCTTTGAGCTTCTCGAGACTGGACAAAAGTGTCCCCAGATTACCTTTTCAAATGATGAGAATAACGATTTAAAGGTTAACATGACTGTTATATCATCACTTCTGTAAGCACAACAATTAATTGTTCATTGTTCAACTTTATTCTAATGAAACTTTATCAACAGAAACACTCCTGTGACTTCGATAAAGTCAGCCAAAATCAATTCAAATCAACCAAATGTCTTCTCAATGAGATACTCACTTTGTAAGTATTATTACAAAATGAATAAACCATTTCAAATGACTAATAATAATAATAATTTTTGGTAATTTAACAGTGGCTTCTGACATTCAATATTGGGTAGTAGACACTGACTATGATAATTATGCTCTGATTTTTGCATGCAAACAATCGCTCTTTTTATCCATTCGTGAGTAATCATTTTGTTTACAATTTTCAACATAACTATTGTTTAAACTGAACTAAATGTAAATCAATTTTTTATCAGGTAATGCATGGATTCTTGGCAGAAAGGCCACTCTGGACGCATCCATTCGCGATAATTTGGTTTCCAAGTTGAGCAAACTAGGAGTTCCAGAGACCAGTTTGATCAAGTCTGATCAATCCTGTTCAACTTTTGTGCCAATTCAGTAATTATGTAATTCCAATTGTGATATTAAGATAATTTATACCCAATTTGGTCAGAAAATGTATAATTATCTGAATATCTACCATTTAATGATAAATAGTACTGAGAGTAACTATTATAAATTACGTTATAATTACGCTAATTTAATAGATTCACCTTTTTAATACAATTCAACATAAATCATGAGAAAATTTCCACCGAAAATTTCCTTTGAATACAAAAATAAATCTTTGATTTTTGATCAAATAACAGTTTCTATTCTTTACTGCTAAATTTATCTTTATCAATATTTATGATAATACTAGGAAAACCAGGAAAACTGGTAATCTTAATGAACCAGCAATTATAAAGAATTTTAAATGATAATTCTTTTATTATTATATCAGTTATCCAAAAATGAAAAGTTTATCATATTTTAACAAGTAAGGAGTTGTATTTTTTTCGGAATACAAACAATTAAGGTTAAATTTTCACTTGTTTTGACGGATTCGAGTTGAAATGCGAACCAAATAATCATTTTTTTAATCGCACGCAGAAAGCTGGCTTTTATCATTAGAATCGAGCTTCATTTTGAGAGTAAAAACTAGATTCTAGATTCTCACATTATTGACAAGCACTTTGTCTTGAGGACCGATTGTAATCAAGTGTTGCATTGGTAGTCTTTTTGTTTAATTAACAAAGAAATCAGAAGATAGTAAATTGAAATACACAAAAGTTTATTGTAAAGTAGTTTACTACATGAAGATAAAGGTAGGAAAACTGAAGGGTGAAGCAAGTTACATGTATTTTAATAGAAAATAGCCGAATTTTAAGCCTCACGCAATTCAATCTCACAAATCTCATTTAAAATAATGAATCTCAAAATTTTAAGAGTAATGTTAAACTGTGAGAATAATTAAAGAAAATTTACCACCTTTGAGATAATTAACTAACTAGCAAGAATCAGTATATATGATTAGAGTTTGAATTATCAATTTCCCATTCTTAGGTCGGATCAAACCCAATGGGTTTCTGGGTAAAAAACTTGTCTTAAACTTTTAAGGAATAATTTTTTCATAGATTTGTTGAGTGTAATCATCATCAGATCAAATGGTAATCCAAAACTTCAAAGATCCTACAGTTTTCATGGAGCGAGATACATTTTTGTCTAAATTTCTGCGTAAACTATCTATCCAGTTGAATTATATTCCTGGTGGATCCACCAAAATACGAAAAATATTCGGTTTCCTTTCATGGCTTGGAGTAGTTGAAGTTGCCCTTCTTTGCAGCCGTGACTCCGTATTGATATTTCTGGATGATGATTCTGATTACATCTACATCTTTGGTGATTTTGCAGCTCCAGCTGGTAAATTCCGCAAGCAGGCGACTCTCATCTTTCTTCTTTACCTCTATGGCAGTCTTTATTCAGCAATATATTTAGTTCGCACTCAAAAATCACCAAAATATCAGGTATGGATCAAAATGTTCAAAGCTTATGACAACAGGAGTTGGCTAAACCAAAAGGCTGAATTACATCGTTTATATTGGCTGACAACTCGAATAGAGTTAATTTACTCAATATCAATCACCATTTCGTTGATCTTTTTATCAGCTGTCCTCACGATTACTTTCCCTCCACGATTCATCCACTACACTTTGGCTCATCAGTTATTAAACATCCACGGAGGTTACAATTCATGCAGCTATTGGGGAATCTCCTATCTTTTGTTTCCATCCTATGGTTACTTGTTGGGTCAACGATTGGATAAAATATCTCACAATCTAAATAAATGTTTGGAGCAAATTAATTCAAATTATTGTGTTCGCCATCAAATTAAAAGTACCACAATTAGAATTGGAAATATAAAAAGTGTAACACCACGTAAATTAATTAACCAGTTGACAAAACAGCTGAAACAGTTACATAATGCTTGCCTCTTCTGGTCTCGCATAAGTGAACCCACTTTTCTTATCTCTTTCATCAACCAGGCTCTTCTTCTTTATCTTATTTTTTTCGTTCCCATGTCAACTGGTTTTCGCTGTTTTCTCGCGGTTCTTGGTATTTTTAATTTCATCTCTGGTCAATGTTGTCACTTTTTTGCCGGAATTTATACTCAAAAAAAGGTAAGTCAATAATTTTTTAATAATCATGATGAGCTACCAAAATAGATTGCACTTGTAAAAAGTCAAGTGCACCCTTGTCAATCAACTCTTTACTGAAACAGGGTGTTTTTTACCTTTCATGGCTGTTTGCGATCTTATCTCAGAAACTCTAACAGAATAGCCTTGTATTTTTTTCCTCTTTTTTCATTATTTCCAGATCGACAATTGCATTAAAACAGCTCTAAAGCTTGGTTATTCCCAGATTGATTGGCGTACCAGATTCACCGTTCTCAGTGTGCTTGAAGCTGTCCAAGAAAGAAAGTTTTTCACCATTTTCAATGCGATTGAGTTTTGCTCGGAACATTATTGCTTGGTTAGTAAAATGTATTTTAATTTAAAAAAATCTTCTAATTTTATGCCTACATTTATTCGTTCAATTCAGGTCCTACTTGAAGGTGTTTCACTTCTAATGCTGATGATCGCTACATATGGATCAAGAAATTGAATGGTGCTTGAAAACAAAAAGTTTCATTTTGAGATAAATATTTAACAAGCAGACCTATCTTAATCAATGAGCACAATACATTCAATCCACTTTTAAAAGGCTCAAATTATTAGTGTAAAAAACCAAAATCAAAATGAAAAAACTAGAATAAAATCTAGTTCTAAAAATGAATAAAATACAATTGAAGTTTGAAATTAAAAGCCATTTTATTAATGAGTTTAATACAATCGGTCGACATCGAAAAGACACAAATTCTTAATGAAAAAACTATTTTCAGAATAAGAAACCAAAAAGTTGAAATCCAGCCTTTTTCCCTTTGATAATATTCATTTTGGGATTAAACACCTTTCTTTAAACACACGTATGTTGGTCAACGGAGTTGAGTGTTGATATTTTGTTGGTTATGGGGCATAAAAATTAAGTTTCTCTGACCCACAGTCTTTAACAAAATTGGGTTCGATATCCTTTTGTACAATTGAGACATTTTTTGCACCAATTCTGCATTCTCTACTTTGAAAGACAAAGTATAATCCTTATACAACAATAAACCATTAAACTCAACCGAAAAACTTTATTGAAAAAGTTTTTCCCTCACATTCAATAGTAAGAGATACGGATTCTGCATTTTTCCCACCTTGTTTAAACGTGAATTTCTCCGTCATCTGAATTCCGATAAAGGTCTGACTACATTTCGTAATTGTAGTTTAATAAGAGCTTGTTTGGGCAACAATCTTTTCTCAAAAATTTGATGTTTTGATTGAAAAATTAAAATCTTTTTTATAAATGCAAAATAAAATATAACTGCCATCTAACGCTTTAACTACATACTACTAGTCTCCTCTAGCTCATGAAGCCGAGTTCAGCTTATTTCAGCTAAACAGTATTTTTGCAATGGAAACTAACATGTGACTTATGTTTTCTTTAACTATTAAATTAACAATTACATCGCAATTAATCCCATCCTGAAAATTTCGTCTCAATAGCCGTTATTGGGACTACCTAAGAATAATTTAATTTGTTTCAAATTCTGGAATGTATGTCTGAGAGTACAAATCTCCTAAGGATTATAAGTAACCATCAAGGCCTTAACATGTCGAACCAATCATTAGATGAAAAACAAAAAAATGTTGCTACTTTATGTGAACAATATCTGCAAAAATTGGTGAGTACTAACACGTTAATTTAACTTTGAGTAAGCCTAGTAATCTTGAGTAATCTTGCTCATTAAAATTTTCTTGTTATTTCACTATCCTGATTCGTTCTTTGTTTCAAAGTCAAAGTTTGATTTCTCTATTGTTCTCTAACTCTTGTTTGTTTTTTTCTGATCTTCCTTTATATCTAGGTCAATAAACTCAAGCAACAATCTGAAGTTAACGACTCTTCAGACCCATGTGATGCTGATTCCAGTTGTGCTGCTGAAATACAGCTATGGAACCAGTTAAAAAAATATATTGAAACTCATGAAGGCTCCTTAATCAACTGTATACATGGATTTTATGTTTATATTTTACAAGTTTTGTATTCCCTTATAAAAGGACCAGCAATGGATTTGTATTTTATACGTTGTAAATTTGTTGACGATGTTAAGCTTAAAGAAGCAGACAAACTTCTATTTTATAATATTTATATCAGACTTGGTGATCTTAATAGGTATCTCAAGAACCTTAAAGTTTCTAGATATTATTATTATCAGGCTTGCGAAATTGATCCGAGTCGTGGCCATGCTTACAACCAACTTGCTCTAGTCACGACAAGCCAAGTGTTCAATAGTCTTTACTATTCAGTTCGAGCTTTGATGGCCACAGATGATCCAATAAAAATGGCTAAAAACAATATTGACTCATTGGTCAACCGATGCTCATTAATGAATCCCAATATTGAACCATTATTTTTGAATGACAGTTCTATTATCGATGCTGACCGCGTTGAAAATTGGCTGCATTTCATTGTCATTGCAATTTACTGTGAAAAACTAAAAATCGTGTTGCCTTACCTCATCAAGGAATTGGACAAAAACTTGACCATCGAACCAAAAAAACCAAATGAAAACATTTTAATGTAAGAATTTATCATCAAGACATTCAAGCATTTTCTTGTGTCCTAATCTTATTTTTCAATTTCCATTATAGCCCGAAATTTGATACAAAATGGATTTTCTCAGCAATGGATGTGGCAATCGACATAATTCTATCTCATCCTTCTGATGAAAAGTTGAGCTCAATCGAACTGGATAAAGAGCTCAGTGATATTAAAGGAAAATTAACTATTTTGCTCAAAGACAAAACTTGTACCGCTGATAAAGTTGGACTTGCCTTAAAACACGATTATTTACTCTATGGATTCTCGCCATTAAAGGAGGCCCATAAAGTTTTAAGTTTCAGTGAGCCATTAGATGATCTGCTCAACACTCAACTGTTGCTTTTGCGGATAAATGAAAAATTGGAAAAGTTAATCGTACTAACAAATGAGAGGAAAGTAAAAAATAGAGTCAAAAAATCTAGGAACATTGCATTGCAGAGTATTCTTGGTTCTAAAGGATCATCTTGATGAAAAACTTCAATTGAAACTTTTCTTTTGGCAATTTATATGTTGAACGTGCTCATTTGATTATAAATATAAATATTTATTTACAAAAATTACAAATATAACTGTGATGGGAGTTATTCTCAAATTTAATAATTGATTTAATCGATCCCAATACTTGATCTTCGTTAATTTGAGACTTTAAAGAATGGTGTTACTTTAATTCGGCATTGGTCCAATGATTTCATCGTCACTTTCACTTTCATCATCATTATCTAACTTTGGGTTTGTTTCAGTTTTATCTGGCATTGGACTGATAACATTCATCTGATCCTCGACTTTTTGACTCTCAACTTTTTTGTTAGAATTGTTATGAGTGTCTGACTTAGTTTCAGAGTCTACTTCTTTTGTGCTAGTAAGATTACTTTCAGTTGGAGGCATTGGTCCAATAATTTCTTCATCTGTCGAATCGTTTTCACCTTCAGTCGGTCGAGTCTGGTTTATACTTGTCAATTTTGATCCAGTAACCTCTTCGTTATTTTGGCTTTCAAGTTCAGTTTTTTCAGTTGTCTGCGATGTTTGTTGTTTAACCTCGTCTCCGCTTACTAAAGCGCAATTAGATGCTGATTTCGCATCAGATTCTGAACCTTCACTATCGTCATTAGAGTCACTTTCATCCTCCTCAGAGTCTGTTTTATCTGTTTTCTTTTTCGGATTATTTTTCTTCATCAATTTTGCCCGCTTCATCCTCTCTTTCTTTTTCAATCTTTTCGCCCTCTTTTTAGCTGTTCTTTCTTCAGCTTTACGCTTATTTGCTTCAACCATTTCCTTAAATTTACGATCCATCTCTTCCTTCTTAGCTTGTTCTTCAATGAATCTTTGTCTTGCATATTCTTTTCTCCTGAGATGACGATAAACATGGAACTCTCCACTTCCAGCTCCAGCACTTGAACCTGGAGGAAACATAAACATAAATTTTCAATATTGATTCAGTCAAAACATTTCTATCTATTGTATTAATGTGCTTACCCATTATATTCCTAATGAAATCCGGAGCCTCGGCAAATTTACCTTCCCTCGGTCGTTGAGGAATCTCAATTGGTTTGTCCTGAAATATAATGAAAACTTCATTAGAAGATAGAATCTAATTGACTTGGTGCATTCATCTATTTAAGTTGACATTAAGGGTTGGAACAAGGTTGAGATTTGAAAACATTAGATCAAAATTATGGCAAGTGCCGAAATTTTTCTAATTTAATCAGAGAAATGCAGTCAACTAGACTAACTAGCTTTCAAGAGACTACAGAAGCAATGTAATTAACAATAGCTAGATTTCAAAGTTAAAATGAGTTAATAATAGGACCATCTCAATAGAGGTATATATTACTTACAATGTTTTGCATAAGCTTTTCAAGCTTAGCCTTTTGTATATCAGTTGGCGTGAAATTTGTTCCCATGCTGTTTGACTTGCGGTTGTAAATAATTGTCACGATTATTGAATGAAGATCCCAAATCACAGAGAAATAACTTGACAGTTTTCAAATTTAATTACCGTACTTTTACCTAATAGCAAACACATGATATTTTCTGCCGCTTTATCCGCCATCTATCAAGAACAAAAAAAGCAACAGAAAGCAGCCATTAGTAATGATTGATTACAATTTTAATTTGGTTAATTATCATTTTCACTGCAATTAATTGAACAAATATTGAACTTAATTCATTTCGCAATGCAACAAGTAAATATTACTCACTTAGACAGATAAATTTTTGATGACTTTAGCTGAACTTGACTCAGTAAACTCAACTCTTTGCTTCACAAATTTAAGGTTAACTATTTAAATGTCAATTGAGACAAAATAATGAACATTAAAAGCAATGAATATTACATTCAATTACTTGTGTTGCAATAAAACAAAGCCATTAATCTTTTGATTTGTTGTAAATAAATAAATCAAATTATCAAGAAAAGTCTTAATTAAGATAATCTTCATGAAACTGAATCGTAATTGCAAGAATATAAAAAAAATGGAAAAAACTGAAGTTCTTTTGTTCAATAGCTCAATGATAATGAAACTATTTTTTGAAGGTTACAAATTGCTCTAAAACAATTTAACAATTTTTTATTTTTGTCAATTTATCATCTTAAATGATCCAATTGAAATTAAATTGCATTTGACCCGAACAGGTAAACCAAGTGATAAAAAGAGCAAATTGAAAGGAAAAACAAAATTGATTAAACAATTAAAAGCAATGATTAAGATGATTCCTTAACAATTACAGTTTAACCATTTCAATGTTTACAACATTGACAAAAGGTAGGAAAAGCAATCAATTGATTGTTCACCTTTAAAAGCAAAGTTGAATGTTGTTACAATCATTTGAATAATGGAAACAACTAATTGACTTTACTTGCTATTTAAAGGTTCATTTTGACAATTATTTCAGCAACAATCGAGTTAATTGTTAGCTTCTCTCAATATTCATGACTTCATTATAACAATAAGTGTTAACCATTAATGAAACGTTGAAGCAACACTTGAATTTATGCAAACTGGTCTAATTGAGATTGGACTGGATTCGGTAAAATTGGTCAAAAATGCTTTCAAATTGAATCAGATTAATGTTGAGCAAAAATTGTCGCCAAATTGTTTCTCAAGTTAATCAAGATCAAAAAGTACACTTTGTGACAAGTTAATTGCAATTGAAAACTGTAACAGATTAACTGATGTCTAAATTTAATCAGATTAACTGAATATAACCCGATGTTGTTCAACAAAAAAAGTCAGGTAATTATCGGCAAAAACTTATTGTTACTCTTTTCCCATTTACAAATTGGAACAATTTAATTCAAGTTAACCTGTTTCACTGACATGTAATAATTAACGATTAATAGTTTCCATATTTCGATAGCAATCAAAGATGATTTGATTGTTCAAGAAGCTGCACTACTTGATGGGCTCAACCTATGAACATGAATACAATTTGTACCGAAAACCAGAAATTCCAAAAAATTAAACTTCCAAATGATTGTCTTTTTGAAATTAGGTGATGAAAAATGATAAGAGAATGAAATTCCTCGGTAAATCAATTGGAAACTGAATCGATTTTACTGAAATGATGAAAAACTCTTTTACATTTTTGGGTGATTTTTAGCTCTAATGAGTTTATCCTTTCAACAGATTACCTTTCAAGTGAATAAATGACAGAATAACATTTTGATGATTCAATTGAAACTTTCTTCTTCTCTGATTAAGGATGTGTCACAAGATCGTGCCAAATGTGCTGACTCTGTTGAGAAACTGGATGAAACTAGAGATAGTTGATTCTCTAAATGAAGGTGTCCCTAGGCAATCGACTAATGATTCAAAGATAAAAGTGAAATATTGAGCCATTCAAGCTGCACCCACTGGACTTATCCATTTCAAGAGAATCTGGAAATTAATTGTTCAAAAGGTGCAAATGAGTCTACCATCTGATGAGTAACTTTGAAAGCAAGTTTCAAGACCGAATTTACTTTTAATCATTAAAATGACTTGAAATTTTCAATATTCATTATTCAAAGAACCTAATGAATAATTTTCATTCATTTCAATTTTCATCAAAAATCTCATTTTGTGTAATCTTCACTCATCGTAACGAATGCTTAAAAAAGTCAATTTTTAATATTTTTTCATTCAAATTGGAACCAGTCAACGAATCCAAAAATTGTCTCGTTTTGATCCAAAAAATTGTGTTGATCAAAAAAATCAAATCGATTACACTTTCGATGAATAAATAATCGCATTTACAAATTGAATTAACCAATTGACTTCAACGACAATCAGAAAAGATTAAAACTGTTGAGGATTAATAGAGATTTCAATATTTAACAATGTTTGCCCAACAATTGAAATCTCAAATGTAAATTGTAATCTGAACAAATCTAAATTGCTTCGCAATATTCACAATTAAGAAATTGAAATCCTCTAAATTCATGCAAAACTGAATCAGTTATGAAACCTTAAACTTGTCCCTTCACCATTTGCTATTGATGACACTCAATCATGAAGTTGATTGAATTGGTGGAAACTGTTGACATTAAATATCTTTTAATTACATATTAAAGGTCCTTTAAATAGACAATAATCAAGGTTAGTCCTTGAACTTAATCTAAATATTTGGTTAAAATTAAAGGTAATCAAGGGAAAGCCAATGGCTTTAGTAAATGTATATTAATTATAAAAGTCCAGGTTAATTAGTTCCGTTGGTTTCGAGTGAAAACAGTAAATTGAAAAGCAAACTGAAAACCATTGAATTGGAAACGAAACTCAAGACTAATATTTGGGTAAAAAAGCAAAGTAAAGCAAAGTGAAAAAAAACAAGTTATTAGTTTTGTTGATTAACTTGTTGATATTTTTTTTTCTTGTCAACTAATTTGCATCGACACTTTGAATTTACTTTTTGTAATGAACATTAATTTATCTTTAATTACTTGCTATTGAGCAAATTACTTTACCATAATATTGTTTGCAGTTTAGGTCAAAAATGTATGTTTACTGGTGTCAGGATATAATAACGTGATTTGAGGTAGACCCGGCTTCTAATTGGAGTAACTGTAATCAACAATCAAGGTACGTTGGTGACAATTGTGAATATCAACAATTATTTTTATGCTAATTTAATGTTAAAAGGTAAAAATGTAAAGATAAATGTAAACAGATAAAATCAGCAAAAAGCTGATTAACTGATTTACTTTACGCATCATTGGTTAAACTGTTTTACTGTTGTTACTTTTTTAACCGTTTATCGATAACAGTTAAGGCGTTCAAGGGTTCGGAAGGAGGTTCACTTTAGCTCACAACAAGCGTCCATTTCACGACAATTGGCCTCCGCCTTTGTTGCCATTTTTTGTTTATAACCAAGCGACTCGAATCGATGAAAGTATCAGTTCAAGCAACAACAAACAACAAACAACAACAAATCTTAAACCTTCAACTCAACCAACAAACACCAACAAAAAGATGAAACTTTTCGCTGTGAGTTAACTTTAACTTTTGAAGAAAAAACTTTTTTACTAAAAAATAATTTTCTTGTTCGAACAGGTTATCGCTCTTTTCGCCCTCATCGCCACCGTCTTTGCCAACTCATGGAAGGAAGACAAACACTGGGGACACCATCAACACGGTAAAATCGGATACAAAGTTGATGTAAGTTCGATCTTTTTTTTTGAATTTGTTCGATGTTCGATCTAATTGGTTCTTTTTGGGATTTTAGGTTCACCATGGCGGTTGGGGTAAACACGACAAGGGATGGACTGAACTCCATGATTCCCGAGACAAGACTACTGGTCATGGTCATCATGGTCACTCTGGTCATGGATGGAAGAGCCATGGATGGAAGCCTTGAAAGGTTCTGATTTCGTGAGATTAGGACTTTACTTTCATCGGGATTTGGATATCATTGCTTTGGAATTATTTTTATCATAAAAATAACATGAACATCACATTGAACCAAAACTGAATTGTGCCTATCAAGTGTCTCTTGATAAGTTGAAATTTAATTCTGTTTCTTGTTTTTACTTCTGTGTCACTTTCATGGATATTTAATTATTTATATCATCAATCGTCATGTAAAAACAATGGTTAATTGTGATTAAATTATGTTTTCAACTTAACTCATAAATCAAACGTTTACTCATTAATCATTATCGATTCAACTTGTGCGCTATTCAAATGATAAATAACCGATACATTGGATAAGAAAAGAGGAAAAGTTCAATTCGCCAAATGTAATTCAATTGAAGAAGAAAAAAGTTGTTGAAACGGGCTTAGCTTCAGGGAATTACTCAGTTATATTTCAATAGCGAACTTTATTTTTTCCAATTTTTCAACTTTTCTCTTCTTTTTTTCAAGTTTCTTCACGTTCTTTTCATCATGACATGAGAATAATCATTTTCTCATATTTTTTTGTGTTCAGCTTGTAATAAATGTTTTTACCAAAAAAAATAAGAAAAAGAAGAAGAAATGATAACTTATTGATTAAAAATGAACTTAATAGTAAATTTGATTGTGACAATTGCAAGTCCAATGTCCTCACTATTTATAGATGCTTATGCTTTCACTTTTCATGCTCTTTTCATGGTTCATTGTGAATGCAGATAATCTCGGGGAAAATATCGAGTTGATCCAAATTTGATAATGTTTACTTGGTTAATCGATTGAACTTCATCCTTATTGTAACATCAAACCTTGTTCAACATGAAACCCGATATCACTTGATACAGTTTCAACTCTCCCTTTCAATATAATAATATCACAATGAATCCGAGAGTCAAGATTATTTACCATTGAAAATAGCCGCTAATCATAATCACTTTAATCAATTCTGTCAATTACTGAACCCAATCAGTAGAAACAAATTGTCAATCATTTTAAACCAGAAAACCCAATGTAATGAATAACTTTATGAATCACAAAATCAATATTGTTCAAGTTTCTCTTTTCATTTTTTTTGAAAGAACATTTTTCCAAATTAAGAATTTTCTTCCCAATTTTCATTCATTTCATCAACTTTATTCACTAATCAATTTTCATGTTTATTCATGATTCGAGTGATGAGATCGATTGCACAAAATCGATTGTCGATACATCGATCATCAAGACTCTCTAACCTAAGTTAACCTCCAAAGCTTTTGGATTCAGTTTTGTTATGGAGACAGCCTAAGCAAGATGAAGTCAAAGCCAAACAGAAAGTGATTGCTTCTCAATTGTTATTAACATTTAATCTATTAAGTATGGATTATTCATTTAAACAGTGTAAATACAATTATGCCAAACAATTTCCAGTGAATGTCAACTTAATTATTCTTGTATTGTTATCCGTAAGCCAACAATTGATCCAAATAACGGAAACGAGTAACCTCCGTAAGTCTCTTTTTTTCCTCATTTTTCCTCATTTTTCTTCTCTTTTCGTCTTCTTTTTTCTCTTTTTTCCTCCTTTTATCTCTTCTTTTTCATGGTATTAATCATTCACATGATTCACAGACCTTCAGTTATGTCATCATTTGCAAATCAAATGAAATTTCAAACAATGTCAATGTGTGTTTCAAGTGTTTTCAACCTTTCCTCTCACCATTCACTGTAAACTTAATTTTGCATTTAAATTGTTAATCAAAGTTAAACTAATCATCTGATTAGATTGCTTCTTCTACCTTTATCTTGCTTCCTTCCTCTCTCTCTCTCTCCATCGGAACATTGACCTATCCAAACTAAACTTAACTAATCACTCGGCTTAAATTGAATCTAAATAAATTTCGTTTTGTCTCACATTCGCAAATGTTTCTGGATGTTACCCAAATCATATTGTCAGCTTTGATCTACAGAAAGGTTACTTTTTTTTCATCTCACTTCTCTTCTCCTCTCTCTTACATCTCATCTCGCATCATCATCATTATCATCCGTCATCATTATATCGTCATCCTCTCCTTTTCTCGCACTTTTGTTTTCTATTTTTTCGTCTTCTTCCCTTTTCTTGTTTGTTTCCCTTTGAATCCATTTAACTGATGTATTAGAGACAAAAATTGCCATCAACAGAAATGATTAACCATCCATGGTTACTCTATTGGAACATATTACATGGCAAAGAGAAACCAGTAAAGAGAATCATTTGTTTGAAGAGAAAGAAGAAGAAAAAGAAGAAGAAAAAAAGTAAAAACTATTTAGAATGATTTATTTTATTCAGGGTGAGAAGAAGAAGAAATATCAATGAAAACTCATGATGCTGATAAAGAATTGAATTTAATACAGAAGTAAGCAAAAAAACGTACAACACTGAGAAACATTTAAGCCAGGTAATGTGAAGGGTGAAGGCAAGAAAAAAAGGAAAGTTAACCGATTTATCAAATGGAAAAATGTGGAGCAAAAATATTCTCAACCTTATCAATGGAACAATAATGATGATGATAATAATTCTGTCATCTGTAAATGTGTGTAACAATTTTGTTCCATTGAAATGTGGTGTTGTTAAAACAAAGGCAAATATGCTCATTTATTGGAAACATATTTCACCCAAAAGATTGAGAAGACAATGTTATTTGTTTATCATGCAAATGTTGACAACAGCAGACAGAAGCAAAAGCAAGAATAAAGCCAATTTTTCTTGATTATTTCATTTCAATTGATGAACCAAACTGAAACACTCGTAACATGAGATGCACATTAAAGCCTATTCAGTTACTTCAATATTTCACTTAAATATTTTTCTCCTCATCCTTTCCTCTGTTCCTTCACTAAATTGTGCTGTCATAATCTTTTTTTTTATAAACTTTTTTCTTTCTTCAAAATTCCTTGCACTATTCTGAGTAGAAAAGTGGATGAAGAAAAAAACGGTGAAAATTTTAGGTGAATTTGAGTAACTTCAGTCTCTTCTCTTTGGTGTAAAAAATTCATGACAACCTTTTTTATTATTTAACATGAAAACTATTATTACACAAGTTTCATGTTCAACGTAGAGTATAAAATTTAAAGTTTAACTCCAAGTAAAAAGCCAATTAAATAGTTTCTGTTTCTATTTGAGTTTCCAGTGAGTTTCATCTTATTTCAAAAGTGATCATGAAAAGAAGAAGGAAAAGAAGAGTAAAAACTGTGCAAACATTGATGATAATTCAGTGATGTTTCCATGAAAATTTGGAAAAGTGAACAAGAAATTAATCCGATGAAAGTTGAGGCAACTATTAATAAATATTTATTGAATTGTTGCTCGAGAATAATGATGTGTGTGTGTGTGTTTCACTCCTTGCCAGTGCAATGGACTCTGGGAGTGACAAAAGGAGTCTGTTATGATGTCAAATGAACCAAAGGGATGTTAACATTCATCTTGTTTGTTTATCGTTTCCAGGCATCAGACCATAAACAAAAGGCCAAAAAGGATGAGGATAAAGATGAGAGAAGATGAAGATAGTGGAAAGGGTTGAAAAAAGGAGTGAAACATGTTAAATAGTGGTGAGAAGAGATTGGAGAGAGTTGAGATGAAAGTGATGAGCAAGATAAATGAGAAGCAAAGATGGGTTGAAGGAATGTTTGGGTCAGAAGAAGAAGAGCAAAAAAAGACTAAACTTTATAATATTAAGTAGCCCTGGTTTTGGGAGGAGAAACAGTGAAACCAGTAAGTTTCGGTTGGAAAATAATTTTTCCTTAAAAATACGAGTTTAGCCTAAAAACTGAAAGCCTTACGAGATGATCATTTATCTCTCCATCTTTTTGTTTGCTTATTTTCCAAGACAATTTACTTTCAAACCTTTTCTCTTCATCTTCATCTTTGCCTTTTTTTTAAAGATGCTTCCATAAAACACATTCAAAGGTTATCAACCTAAAAGAGCGAGAAAATTGTTCACCCAAAATTCAATAATTGACAGATATTGAATTAAAAGTTCATTTATCATCCAAACAAACCAAAACGTTCATTGGCAACTTTAACATAATTAATCAATTAGACGATGAGTTTTGCAAATTTTGTTGACGAAAAGGACAAAATTTTTGATCAACTTTTCAAAGTGAATGTCGATTTGCAATGCGATTGATCCATGATATCATGTCGATTCTCAGTGAACAATGAACTTTAATCAACATAATCATATCATTTTTCAGCAGATTTTTTGTTTCACTCTTTCAGTTACTTTTTGTTAACTGTTCATTGTAGTTGGCCCATTAGTTTCTTTAGATAACAAATTTATCTTCCCTTTGTTCAGTTCAACTTGAAAGGTAATTTAACATTCATCTTTCCATTTCTCGTTCATTTCATTGACAATTTTTTTCTCTCTTCATTCACTGTTCATTTATCAGAGCAACATTAACAATCTTTAATTATATGCACAAAAGTAAAGGGATTAATTGATGATCCCCACTTGCTTCAACTGTTGAACCAATTAAACGGTAAACTTGATGATAATTCAATTAATTATCAGTAGGTAACAATTTTGTGATTATTGCTTTCAACAATTCAATTTACCAGGGAAAAAAAGGTAAGGGAGGAAAATAAAGAAGCAAAAGTGTTCAAGGCAATTGAGTGAATCAAATCTGAGTGAAACCCTAAACAGATTCAATTCCTGAAACCTCTGCTCAGCCTGAAACATCTAAATCCATTGCCTGAGTTTCAAAATTCAAACCTTTTTCTTCTTGAAACTTTTAGAAGAAAAAAAATGTCTCATAATGCTTCACCTTTACAGGGTCATTCAATAATCTTTATCGTCAAATTGGTTAACTTTTTTCTTCCATTTTCATCTCTTCTCTTCCATTGCACTTAACCTTATTTTTGGTTCAATTTTTTTTACTCTTCTTCATATTCATAAATCATTGAGAAAAAAGCAAAGGAAGAAGCAAAGTTGTACTTCAACTGAACCTGGCTTCTTTAGTATCATTTATCTTGACATTTCATATGAATATTCAGGTAATCCTTGGAATATGTTAGCATATCTTCTGTTTCCCTCATGAGATTCTTGAATAGCTATCATGTAAAGTGGAGAATGAATTAAGCTTATTTCCAGATCGAAGTCATTGATAACATTTTCCATGTTGAAAAAATTCACTCACTCGATGTAAACTAATTTCACTGTTAAATGGATTATTTCAACTGATTATCTCTTTTGTTGGATTAACTTTGAAAAATATTCAATTTTCTGCTTCAGAATTAAATTGATTCTCGCAAATGTTGAAAACTGTTTAAAACATTTAAAGTAAAGTCAATACAATTTGATAAATTGGTGAAATTGGTTGAAAAAAAAGGTTGAATGGTTTTCAACTATTAACAGTTTAAATTGTTTATTCAATTAACTAGAGCTAATTATAACCTTGAAATGGCCACCAATGATGCTGATTTACTCTGAATCCAGTTCTGTTTGTATATTCAATAATCTGAAATCAAGTGAACTCCACTTTAATCAACTAATTGAAATGTATAAACAACCTTTAGTTTCTGTAAATAAATTGGCTTCTCTGTTTATTCAGTATCCGGTGCACATTTGGTTATATTTTGGCCAAAATTGAATGAAATTTGTTTCAAAATGTAATACAAACAAATAAAAGATGAAGGATGCTGATGAACACATGTAAATATCTTAAAGTTGATTATCCTTTTCAAGTAAATGCCAGGCTTCATTATCTCTAATGATCAACTAATGTTTCAGATTAACCGTAAAAAACTGTAAACTGTAAATCTGTTCAATTTAGATTGAAATTGTATTCACAAGAGTAAGAAGCTTTTCCCATTTATCCAATTAAATATTAATATTGAGTTAATAATTAATTGCAATTTAAATATTTCGTGATTTGTAACCATTCATCTTGCCATTTTCAACATTTTATCAGATAATCTTTACTAATGACTTTAGCATTTTACAGTTTTCATTTCATTTTCATTTGCAAATCTCAATGAATCTTTTTCCTCCTTTTCTTGTTCAATGGTTTAACTATCAATAATAGACAATGAAAATTGAGTAAAATGTTTCACATTTACCTTCTTGACACACAAAGATTTCCTTTTCTGCCATGACTTGAGGCAGTGATGATTCGGGTTATTTAAAGTTTACCTCGATTCATGAGATTGATCAATCATTGATATTGCCTTTTTTGCTTGAAGGTTCAATTTAATGAGTAAACCCATAAATTGTCTTACGAAGGAAGAGACCAAAAAGCATAATCCATTATGCATTGTTGGGTGAGAAAAGACAAAGACCATGAAGGAGAACCATAAGGAATCACTGAAAACACAAAAATCGATTAAAAGTTATCTCTTTTCAAGAGTGTTTTATCCTTTTTCCAGAATTCATATTTATTTTGTTTACTTTTCCCGTTTTTGCCAACTTTTTGCCAAATTTTCATCAACATTTATTAATAGTCTTTCACCATTTACTCAGTGAGAAAAGTTTCTGTATCATGTTGGCCATTTGGCTTTACAAGCAACATCTTTATTCATCTTGATTCAACTTTTTTGTTTTCTTCTTGATTCTTTGTCTTATATTGTTGAGATAATTAACGCGTTCATCAATGCTGTCTATTGTTTATCACTTTCACATGATAACCATTGATTAAAACCGAAACTGTCATGTTACGTTTAATCATCGTTTATCAATATTCTGAAGGCAGCTTATGCCGATCAATTATCTCGACTTTATTACTCCAATTTCAATCAACCTTTCAATTTTGGTTCGCCTTCTCCTCATCAAATAACTATATTAATAATGATCAGCAAATTTCATTCACCAACAACACCATATTATCCTCTAATCCTAGGTAAAGGTTTCATTGAAATTTCATGTTTTACCAATAATCCTTTTTCACACTCCATGCACAGAAAACATTGCTGTTGAAACAATGTGATCTTTAATGCAATTTTCATGATAAACATAAATTTGCATAAGTTATTCACTTTCAGATATTAGCTTTCAATTGATAATTAGCTCAAGTCGCAAGCGTATGAATACTAATTGAAACCAGATTTTTAACTAACATCAGTTAACCATTTGGTTTAAGCTGTAAAATGCAAACACACTTTAAATGGCATTTCAAATTGAAATAATTTTCCGACTTTCTGTGTTTCTCTTCAAACCTAATTTCACTGAAAATGATTAACTTTCGAGTTTTGTCCCAATTCGATTGTTTCCATAATTGAAATGAAATCAATTTAACTTGTAATTATTGTTTCCATTTTTATGCACAATTGATGTTGAATTAATAAAAGGTAAAAATTGGATTGACTAGTTGATTTGTCATTCAACTGTAGCTGTTGCTTGTTCACAGCAGGGAATTGACATAAACCAAAGTGATCCATCACCATCTTCATCATCACCCTCATCCCTTCATCATATTCATCACGACATTAAATAGTATCGAAGGTAAATCATCTGTCGATGAGTCAAAAAATCGATGCCATCCAAATAACTGTAAACAGAAAAAGGAAAGAGAAGAGAAGAAGAAGAGGGAAAAAATGTTACCAACATCTAATTGCTATTCCCTTGACCATTCCGGTTGAAATGTTAATTAAGTTTGGTTATTTCATCTTGTTTTACTTTCTATCAACAGCTCTTCTATCTGCCAGTTTACGAACCTTTCAAGCTCACGCCTGTGATGGTCAACAGTTGATATTAGAGTGTTTACCCAATACCGTGATTAACATTTATTTGGTTAACTATGGACGGACAACGGGATCACAAGTTTCCAATAACCTTTGCCAACAATCAACAAATCATCAGCTATCATCATCATCATCTTTCTCATCACCAACCCATAATGATAAAAGCTCACCTTTAAATCCCTCCAAGATGATTGCTTTGGAAGCAACTTCATCAAGTTATGATCCAGCCAAGCTAATCAATCAAACAGCAATTCACTCTAAACCAGACTGTCAAACCACTGATAATCTTAAGGTAATTCCTCATTATTATCATCTTCATTTATACCTTTAAACCACTCCCAATAACACCATATGAACCATCTTCATTTGAATCTCATTGAGAGAAGACAAATTATCTTTATTAACCATTAATAGTAAAGAAGTGAAAAAAAACGAGACAAGAAAATGTTTATCAAAAAACCTGAATCTCTCTTTTCCCATTAAAATGGACTTTTGTTTTCACTCTAATTTATTAGGTTACTCTGTTTTTGGGATAAAAATATTGAAAATAATATGTAAAGCAACACAAATTTACATTTATAACCATGAAATTAATTCACTAAATTATCTGAAAAGATATTTGTCATTTCTCATGGAAACATCAAAGTGAAGTAACATTGAAAAATAGCAAAGAAAATGATACAAATTCAATTTTTCCGTTTCCTTTAAAAATACTCAACATTTGAATGATTTTTTCATTGAACCATCAACTGAGCCTTGTTGGTCAATTTTAATTACTGTTCACAATTTGCTAATTAATTAAAAAAGATAGTAAACCAGCTAATTAATGATATTATTAATAACACACCAAAGAGATTTGGTTCAATTGTTCAACTTGGGAACCGTTTAATTAACGGATACAAAGTCTATTATCAGGTCATACAAAAGGTCATATTGAAAAATATGAAAACCAGAAAAAAAGCAACTCAAAAGTTCGTCATTTTTGTTGTTTTTTTGCCCAACAAAATTTGCGCCAAATTTGGAAGTCTATTTAACCGTGCAAGTTTAATTGGTTGATCTCTCGAGTAAGATAAAGATGATGTGATGAAGATGAAAAGTGAAGATGAAAATGATGATCGCGAAGGTAAAGATAAGGATTGGGAGTTGCAGAGTTACTCTGTTTGATATATTATAATAATAAATACCATGTCAGGGTAACTTGAGCATTAAATTTTGTTCACCAATTTGGCTAAACCATGAAAAAGCCTTAAAAATACAGTCTTTTTTAAAGTTTGTTTTTCTTACAGAATCAACCAACTAAATCCTTCTTAGTTATTTCATTTTGAAGCTTTTTTTGTCTTCGACTGTTCTCCTTCCTTCCTTTCCTTTCGCCCCCTCTTCTTCTTCCTCATCATCATCCAGCATCTTTAGCTGTATCTTTATCTTTTCATCTTCACTTTCACATTTACGTTGATTCAAGATTCATAATTTGAAAAGTAACACCCAAAACGATAATTTATTTTCCTCCTTTTTATGTAGCAACAATTTAACCAACAATCAATCAACTTGAATCAACAGTCTTCACCATTTTATTCATCTATCAATTAAATTATCATAATGTTATCTTTTCTAATTTTCAGTTCAATAATCAGATGAACTTTTCCTTTTCCATTTTAAAGCTCATTCTCAAAGTTACTCTCAAAGTTATTCAGAAACAAAGTTGCCAACAATGAACATTAAGATTAACATTTAATGGGCAAAAAAGAAGATAAAATGAAATTCAAGATTCAAGTTGATGTTTCAATTTCATCCTTTTCCACCTAGAATTCAATTCTCTGTCAAATCAAAAATTGCAAAATGTAACTTTTCGCTTTGAAAAATCATTTCTTTGTCTTGATGCTTTTCAAGCAAATCTTTAAGACGATTGTTTCATCTCATTTTACCAACGGTTTTTTGAGACTCATTTAGCGGGAATTTTTACAGCGCCAGATTTTGACCTTGACCTTGTTTGGTCGACTCGTTTTTAATGGGAAAAGGATAATTGCTATTGACTTATTTGTACTGATTTAGACAGCAACACTTTAATACGATTGGAATACAAAAACCGCTGATGCATTTTCCTTTCAAATGACATTTTTCCATCTTCATCTTTGCTCTTCTTCTTCTCCTCCTCTCATCTTGTTTGCATCTTTTCAGTTGAAGCTCATGTTACACTTGCTCTTCTTTACCAATAAACAAAAAGATTTGAACATTGACTCATTTGGGGTCCATCATGATGTCCACTCTTCTCGCTTCTCCTTTTGTCTGCCCCTTATGATAGATATATTTTATGTCCACTCAGCACTTGGACTCAGTTGTCAGATTTCATCTTTTTTTTATCTATTCCCAATTAGTTATGCCTCACTCGGTTAAGGTCATTAAGGTTACACTTGAGTTTTGGCCAAGAAAAGGGACAGTCTTGATGATAACATGATATAGTGTCTATGATAATCGGACAATTATATTGATATGAATTACATTCAATTCAGTAATAAAAAGAAGAAGAAGAAGCAAGAAAATGATGAAAAGTAAAGATTTTTCCTCTTCTCTCTCTTTGGCTGAGGTTTCATGTTGAAGATGAAAGATAAGGCAAGATTCACGTTATGGTCAATTTAATTCACTAAACCAAATGGACTTTTAGTTGGATAATGCTGATTACAGGAATTCAGTCCAATTATAATGTTACCATTTTCATCACCCAAAAACATTACCATAATCACCATAAACATGAAAATGTTCAATTGGTCCAAAAACTTTGTCACAAAGTTTTAAGAAATTACAATTTACTAATTGTTTTCACTTTTAATTGGCAGTATTCATTGTTGAACAAAGTGGAAGAAGCTTGTCGAGAGAAGCAAATTTGTAAAATAATGACTGACCCTGGATCATTTGCAGGAATTGACCCTTGTCCAGGAATCACAAAGTATGCTGAAGTTGCCTATAAATGTCGTCCAAGTAAGTATTGATTCACCTTAATTATGATAACATGATTGTAAATATTTGAATTATCCTTTTACACCAACACCTAAAACATAAAAATAACTTTACTCAAGACTCCCTGAAGGAAAGCTGGGAATGAAATAATAGATTGAATCACAAGTATATTTAAGTGATAAAAATGAATGATAATATGCATATTCAGTGATAAATTACTTGACAAACAATTGCATTAATAACTCTTGTTTCTTGCAGAATCATGAATAGCTCTGAGTATTTACATGTTATCACAATTATTATTTTCCTGTAAAACTTTATTGATTTTTTTCTTCTCTTCTCTTCTTTTTCTTTTCATAATTGATTTATGCTTTTATCACTCAATTACGTTCCATGATGAGTTTAGATACATTTTACAATAAAATTGTTTGTGAAGATAACAAGATGAGATTATCATGTAAAAAGTATCAACGGATCATGATTTACTCTGCATTTTTTGGATCAACTAAAACTGGTGTAGTTGAATGTCCTCAGGGTGGATCATCATCACCATCAAAAGGTAATCATGAGGAATGCTCAATAAGTTTGACAACTGAAAAAGTTGTTGCTTCATGTAATGGCCTGAGAAACTGTGAATTGATTGCAAACAGGGAAACTTTTGATAAACCCGGTTGTTCCAAGTCAACTAGACTTCATCTTAAAATTGTTTATGCGTGTGTCCGTCGTGAGGTGCTCAAAAGTTCAATCGGTAAATCATCTTCTCCAGGAACATCATCATCTTTATCCCCAGGAGGTTCAAGTGAAATGATTTATCCGGATGAAGTGACACCCAATGAACAGATTCCAGGTAAATCATCTTACGATTCTTCCACAGTTGATTACTCTGGTTACATGGGAGCACCTAGAGTGGCACCGGAAGAGGAAGATAAAGATTCATCATCCCAAGTGACTCCTCCATCATCTGTTATCTCCTCTGAATCTTACCTTAAATCAAAGGAATCTCTTAATGATCCCATTCGAGTGCCTATTAAGGATGGATTAGGAGCCAGTTTACCAGATTCTCATGATCCATATCACAATAAGTCAACATTATTTCATCCAAAGAAAGCTCTTGGTTTCATGGTTGATTGGTTATCTGCTTATAAATTTATCAAAGGTTAGTTTACAATTAACTTGATATATTACTGGTGCTTTTCACCCAAACCACCCAAAGCCAATTGTTGATGTTTTTTCAATGAAAAATTGCTTTTCTCTTTTCATAATTTAATTTAAAATGAATTGTCAAGTTTACTTGCTTTTTAATCGTTGGTCTTGTTCAATAGGAAATCAATTATTAACATTATTTAATGACAAAACAAATTAGGTTTGAATGGCAAAGGAAAAGGCAGAGATGAAATAATTTTCCCATTTAGAGTAATTAGATTGAGTTTTAATTGATAAATGAAAAATGTTGATACAACCAGTGTAAACAATGGACCATTTAATTGAATGGAAACCTGTCAATGATCAATGTAATCATGTAATCATGACCAGAACAAGAGGAGAAAAAAGAAGAAGAGAAAAAAAAGAAAAGTCTTTAATGTCAATTTGTACATAACCTTTTTATTCTTGTTTGCTTTGAACAAGGAAAAAGTAAAACAAGGTAACCCTGAAAGACCATTTATCTTGGATAATCTCTTGTATTCTGGATCCATTTTATCACAATTGTTTCTTGTGTTCAGAGTTATTATCCAAGGAACATCCCAGGTATTCAGCTGAATAGCTATTTAGTAAAAGGGGAAGAAAAAGAAGGTTGGAGGAAAAGTCTTACTCAAAGAAATAAGGTAAAGAAACAAATAGAGCAAAAGACCTTTGGGTCAATAGTTTAAGGCAAAAGAAGAGAAAAGGAAGAGATGAAGATGAGGATGAAGACGAATAAGAAAAGAAAAATGTTGATTGATAAGATGGATCACTTTTATTGACCATTTAAAGTGGTTTTTCGAGAGAATCTCTTTTTCTTCTTTTTCTTCTTCCTTCGTTTCCAAGATGTAACGTTTGATGAACCTTGATTACTTACCATTTAAGTTTGACAGTAAACTCAAGCTTTTACCTTTAAATGAACGGAAATTTTGACCTAAATGGTGTTACCCTCTAACAGTACAACTCTCTGGTTGACCAGAGTATTTATGCAAACAACAACCTAACAAGTTCAATCTATTACAAGTAACCTGATAAACGTTAATTCAACTTGTATCAGCTCACTTTACCTTGTTTATTATCATTACAACAGTTTACTTTCAAGTAACTTTTTTTTCCTTTTCCTATTTTTTTTCCTTCCTCAATTTTCAAAGACAATCTTGTCTTAACAACTTTCCCATTTTACCTTTAATTCAACTTACCAAATTGAGATAGCAAATCCCAAGGAGGCTTATTAAAACTTAATATCTTGACTTTCCTCTTGTTCATCTTCTTATGCTATGTAAAAACTCCCAACGAGACTTTGCGTGATAAACAACAGTTCTGGCAGAAAAGGCTGAGTTAACTCCCTGTACTACTCAACCTTATTTCATCTCTGTTCCTCTTCTTTACTGATTCAGATAGAAATCATAAAGGCCATTGAATTGATAACAATGAAAACCAAGTAGCAACTCTTTTTATTCAATATCAAACCTCTAATGGTTATTATCTTCATTTATTTTCTCTTCACAAAATCTTCACTTTCTATTCAATTGTTGACTTTTAACTTTCATGGAAAAGAGAAATATCTTTCAATTTAAAAAATGTACTTCATATTGACCTAGAATTGACCTTTTTTCTTGTATTCGTTTTCTCGTTTTCTTTTTTTCTCTCACAGATAAAACTGAAATCATCATAATCTGTTTAATCATGTCGATTGTTGTTGCATCGCTTTTGTTTCTCGTCTTCCTCTCAACCAATCAATTAATCATTCAAAGGTTTAATTTAAATGGTAAACCAAAAAATCAAAAGAAACCTTGTAGTCCTAAAAAGTCATCACCTTTTGCTGGATCCAAGGGAAGATGTGAAGTTGATGGATTGGATGACACAACGGTAGATCAATTGTTGGAGGAACTTGATCCAGTTCTGGTTCATTCTGTTGGAATAGCAGATCCTCTATCAAACATGGCCATTTCATCTTCCCACCACAGTTTCCATGATTTTCGTGCTCATTCAAAGCCTCTCATAACCGATGGACTTCCCTATCCAGCCCATTCTGGTCAAACATTGAGTTTCACTTCAAGCTTAAGCCGAGGAGCAGGTAATCGACTCTCATTTGGTAGGCCCATTCAACCACCCACAGCTCCAATGACAATTACACCAGCCAGTCCAACATCAATAAATTGCCATTTAATGGCAGACTCTAATCCTCGAGCCATGTCGGGCACTGTAAACAGTTATTTTTGATTCTAATTTAGTTTCGCCTTAAAACTGTTTTTCCCATTTGAAGCTTCAATAACCAAAGACCAAAGTGTATTTTATACTCAACCTGATAAACCAAAGCCATTGCACATAATATAAATACAAATATATATATATTTTTACTTGAATGCAAAATGAAAAAATCAATAACAGGTTTATTGAAGCAAACTGATCGCCTGATATCAGTGACAATGACATTGGCCAGTTCAATTTTATTCAAAGTTCACCTCATCAACTCTTGGAAATAATCTGGAAAAGAAATGAAAATGTCTGTCAATCAAAACCATTGACTATTGTTGACGACAAGATGATTGTAATTGTCATCGCCTTAATTGTTAATATAATGTAACTACTTGTGTATAAAAATGACATTATCATTGGCAAATTGTCTTGATAATTTGAATATCTTTTTAAGCAAAGAGACAAAATGATGAAAAAAAAACATAAGCAAACAATCTGTATTATTATGCCAAACGTATTCACTTGAAAAGTGTTGAACGTGATTCGAAATTTTGATTGTCAATAATGATATGAATTTGTGAATTGCGATAAAGAAAGCAACTTTAATTACAAGTAAGGAGCAATTAAAAGTGTCATAATAATGAATAGTAAATACTCTTCCTGATTTACTGATTACCAAATCAATAAATCTGTTACTATTTCTGTATCTTGAAATTGAGCAAAAACAAAAAATGAATAACTCTGTTCATGGAACAATATCAATCTCAATTATTATCATCATATTGACTTCCTAATTTTAATTTGATGCAAAAATCGAAGCAAAATTAAAAGCATTTACTTTGAAAGTTAATTTGGTTTCTTCTTTCTCTTCATTTGGGTTTACAATCAATTGTTTAAACCCATTTTTGGGTTGAAAACCTTTTACCCTAATCAACAATCTCAATGTTAACTTTCAATTAATAACAGTTGCTGACAAACAAATGGACCAACAATGGTAAAGCTTTAAAAAGTGTTTTCACTTTAAATCAAAGTGATTCATGATCATCTAATGATAAATTCAAGTTTCCATTTGCATCTTGATTGACTTTTATCTTCATGGAACCCAAATTCAGGATTGACCAGAAAGTGAAATCTCAATCTCGGCCTTTTCCTTTTTCCTATTGATTTATAATAAAAAGATTGGGTTGCAATGTCAACGCCTAAACTGGTCAACATTGAAATGTTCAATTATTATCGTTTTTCATTCAATTATTGCTCTATTTATCAATTTTAGCTTCAAGGTTTCATTTAATTGTTCAACTTGATTAGTCCAGATGTAAACAATGATAAAAATGGCATTTTTTATGGCTACTATTATTGCCTTTTTAATTGATCAGATGATGCCTTAATTGGCAATTTATATTTGGTGCAATAACAAAAATTGTACTTCACTTGAAGAATGGAGAAACATGTTCATTTAAATTAACTCTAAATTCACTTAATCATTAAATTAATATGTAATTCTGGTTGTGCTTAGTCAGGTTGTTCACTAAATCAATTTACTTTCATTGTAATATTGATTTATCTCACTCTACCTTGATTCAAGTCTTTCTGGTTGCTCAGTTTGCTCGTCAGTTTCACTAATAACTTTAATCATTTCAAATGATTCCTTCAATGTTTGCTAATTTCCATAAATCAATGATACCCTTTTGATATTATTTTGTATTTGAACAATTGTTTTTTATCCCTTTCCCTGTGTGCTGCAATTACGATTGAGCAAATTTTAGAGAAACCTTGAATTGCCCAAAGGGCACATTCCTTTTTCATTGTCTGATCACAGATTTTTCAACCAACTTATTGCCTTAAGCATTCAGATCACTTATTTGTAGCTTTTATTGATTCTAGTCAAATTGGTTGAATATTTAGTCTAATAACATGCTTAGAATCAGGAAATTCAATTGTTATTTTGCTTTTCTTTTCCAGATTCTACTTTCTAGATTCATTTTTGGCTTTACTTTACTTTACCTCTCTTCATGTAAGCTTTACATTTACATTTAACCTTTTTTCGGGTTAATTTATTTACTTAAGATCCATGTAACTCAACTGTTTAAATCCAATAACAAATATGGAAATAATTCAATGAAAAAGTAAAACCAAAGATATAACTGAAATATTGAATTCTGATACTAACCTGGGATAGATTATTATCTGGATATTTGATAAAACTTGATTGCTCCAACAAAATGTGCTGCAGTTGCTTTCATTTTATTAAATTACAGAGCAATTTATTATGGATTCAGTTAGGTGACTTTTGTATCCAGCCTTTAACTAGAATCAACTAACTAAATTGGTGGAAAAAATTGAAAGCCTAATGAAACAATGCAAGATAAAAGATGGGAAAATGATTCAAATGAAATGGGCTTTGAGCTTGACAGTGATGGAAATACATAATAACATTGATTCCAATTTTTAATTGATACATTTTTTTTAAAATAACCGAAAAACTTGAAATATCTTTTAAATGAAGATATAGTTATTCACACTAAACAATTATAGTAGCTTATTGTTGGCAATTTGTCTTCAAACTAATTTAGAGAAATATTGGTTTATATTAAAGATAACAGGTAACAGGTATATATGAATTTAAATGTTTTAGGTATCAAATACTGTAGTTATTTATGTACAGAAAAAATGTCAAAAGAGTTTAGTAGGTGCTATTCCCCGAAATGTAAATCAATCACCTCCTTTGTTAGGAATTTGTTTTGTGTTTATCTCTGGATGAAAATGGTTCAATTACGATGGGACTATTTTGAATTTTAGGCTCAGAATAAGCACCAATGAAATTATTTGCCACCAGCACAGCGTCATGAACTGATATAAACACATTGTTTTGTCCGACTTCTTGGAAGAAATGATCCTTTGACAACATCTGAATAACATGTGGTGCACAGCCGGCTAAAAAGAATCGGATTCCAACTTGTCCAAACTCTTGAGCAGTTATTTTGAGTCCTGTCACTCCGTTGGCATCAATATAAGACAGCATGGAACAATCGACAATAACAATACGGCATTCTCTAATCACAGAGGCCCACTTGGGGTTGGTCATCAACTCTATTTGACTATCCAATGAACGAATGTCTTTCCTTGATCGTCGGCGTCCTTCTTGACTACCTTCAGGGAATTTGTTTTTTCGTAAATTTATCAACTCACTAAGTAGAATAAGAAATTGCAAATTGAAAAGGATTTAACATCTAATTTGTAAAAATTTTAGTTAGACTTACTTTAAATCAATTCCAATTTTTTTGAGCATATCACTCTTGAAAAACTCAAGACTGGCAAAATGAAGGGGTCCACAGAATTGATAAATCTTGATTCCTTCAATACAGTTAGCTGCAACATATTTTTTGACAGGAACATAAACGTCAGTTTCATTGATTGGTCCGAGTAAATAAGTCTTTGGCCTACAAACAATAAATTTTTGTTAAATTTTTAAGTATTTGGAAAAAGATGCTTCAATTGGTAAAGAAGATTGTTGGATTCTTACCTTGATGATTTGTAAATCAAAATGAGAAGAGAGCTCGCTAAACTGAAATAGAGACCCAAATCGATATCCAGAATAATAACTGAGAGAAAAGTAATCATCCAAACAGCCTAATTAATTGAAAAAAATGAATTAAAGACCAGCAATCAAAAGATCTTTGGACAATTTTCAAACAAAATTGTCTAGTAAATAAAAAAACTACTTACGCCATCTAGCTTTGAAATTTTCCAATACATGTGAAATTGTCTCGATTGAGCAAGTAATCCTCTCAATGCAACAGCGATAATTGAAGCCAATACACACTATTTTGTAATTGTTTGATTAGTGAAGTGAAAAGTGACTATTTTAATTATTCTTACTCACATTTGGCAGTTTGTCAAGCAATGGACTCAAATACATCAGGACAAAGAAAATGAGGAAGCTGTTTATAATACTAACTAACTGTAAAAAGGAAAATAATTGTAAGATTGTATCTTTGTTTTCAAGTTTTGATTATTGTCAATTACCTGAGTTTTTCCACCAGAAGCTTCTTGAGTGACACTTCTTGGCAATGAAGCAGCCACCGGTAAACATGAAAAGAGAGAGCCGAAAAAATTGGAAACTCCGATGGCAAACAGCTCCTGGTTAGGAACAACATTGTATCCATGTTTACGTCCGTATATTTTACCAATCGATAACGCAATGGTAAACCCAACCAAAGCCAATGGAATTGATTTCAAAGCTATCATTTGTACAACTTCCCAGCGAGGCAGTTTAGGAGCAGGCAACCTATCAAACCAAAACGCAACAGCAATTGATGTTACATATACATGTGTATATTGTTGCAGGATGTCGTTAAAGTTTTTACAATATGTATCTCATATAACAACCCGGTATATTATTAATCTCAATCCAGCATTATCATCATTTGGACGATAAAAGCCTAGGTCATGTCCTCTTGAATTAGAGGCTTCATACTTGTGATAGCCATTTTATTGGTGTTCTCAACGATTACTCAGTCGCACTGGTAAATGAATCGATTATCGAGTTTTCTTGGATACATTGCAAAGTCTGATAATTCGAAAATTAGACTCACCCAGCTTGTATGTGACCAACAACAGGAACACCATAATTTCCATGGAAATCGAAGACTGTCGAAACAAGGGTTGCTCCAATAACAACCAACAACTCAATTGGAAATGGTATTTGGATTCCTTTTTTGAAAAGCCATTTATTTATGTATATTTTTGAAAACAACAATATGCATATGCAGACGAATGATATCAATACACAAGGAATCTTTATTTGTGTCCATTTTTCTATCAGATCTAATACTGTTTTGATAATGGCAAAATAACCACTTCTGTATGGAAGATGAACTCCTGTCAAGTATCGAAGCTGGGATGTAAAAATATAGAGAGCCGCTGCTGTCGTAAAGCCGGATAAAAACTGATCTGAGAGGTAGATTGAGATAAAACCTAAACGAAGTAAAGATCCTAATGGCATAATTACTCCCATAACGAAACTGATTGCAGCAGCAATTTCAGCGGGTTCAATTTTAATACGGTCATCATTGAATCCTGGTTGAATGGTGGTTATCGATGAAGTAGTAATAGAAGAGACTGTTGTAATCGCTGCTTCAGTCACAGTTTCACCCATTGCGGTCTTTTCAATCTGCTCTAAACTCTGTCCGGCATCTAGCATTACTTTGACTATAATATTCCCAGTCATTACTCCAGAAACTATTGCGAATGCACCTAATTTGGACAAATTACAAAATAATCAATGATTAACATCTTTACAATCATCAAAAAACAACAACAATCCATAATATCTCAAGTACATTTGTATGTATTGAATAGCAATCTAATAGGAATTTTTATTCAGTGTCAATTTATCTTTATTGTGACTAACCAATTAATAATTTTACCTCTAAGATCATCTAAATTTAACTGTATATTGTAAACAACAGCCTTTAATATGAGCCAATACAGTTTCCAATCAAAATTGCAATCACAATCAATCATTCACAAGTAATTAGCAAATCATTAATTTGTACAGTTGTTACACATCTAACCCTATGCAATGAAAAGATTTATGTTTGCAATCTTTTAATTTCCATACATTCTAATAATTGCAATATACAGTTAATTGAAGTTAAACTCTCAACATTACAATCAATCTAATTACCTAACATTGTGTAATATTAGCCAATGAAAATGGAATGATTCTTACCAATCGATGAGTGCCTTGAAGTTCCAAAAAGCGTGTACATAATGCATGGGAAAAAGGATGTATACAGACCATGAACTGGAGGCACATGAGCAATTAAACTGTATCCCATACCTGTTAATTGAAAGAAAGCCGTTATTTAATCAATTATGTCATTTTAACCGAGTTCAATTTGAATGATAACAATTTTGATTTGTAAGCAAAAAAAAATCTTATTCACTTTTATTATAACTTATAACTTATCTTCATAACCTTTGGTATAATCTTGTGATTGCTAACTGTCTCATAAATAATAGTCAATATAACTCTAATTTAATTTCAGTAAACAACAATCAACTTATCTATTTTTATTGTCTTCAAACGATATTGATCTGATTGAGGTTTACAAGTCCTTCACTGGTTTCAATGGACCTGAATGGTTAAATGGTTGACGAGACAATTGAATCCTTTCCAAAGATTAACACAAATGATTACCAGAAAACAAAGTGAAAATCAATTCAATTTATAATCAATTGATTTGGAAAAAAAAATAAGCCCAGAAATTACTCACTTTGTGGCGCTTGAAAAATGGCAACAGTAAATCCAGAAATCAAATCGGCAAGTAACCATTGTTTAACTTTATAATTTTTAACCCAATCAATTATTGGAAAAACACTTCTAATGAAATCTCCCGGTGAACAGGTAAAGGCTCCAATAAAATGGCGAGAAACTTTGGATTGTAAGGTTTTCTTGATTGGTTCAACCGTTTCAAACTCTTCATTGAAATCACGGACTGAATAGGCGATCCGATTAATGTTTAACCGAGGACTTGGCGGCATTGAATTGGAATAGCTTTTAACTCCGTCAACATCACCATGTGGATCCATATCAACACCCAGGTTATCATGACCTGAGTCGACAGGTTTACGTCGGCTCATTGGTGGCGATACTTTTGAACTTTAACTTGAACTTGATCTGTGGTGGAAAGAAAAGGCAATGGCAAGAGGAAAAAAAAAAGATTTCTCACAATGGAAGACTTAATGACACAGAAACCAATTTACAAGTGAACAATATTAAGGCTATCAACAACATAAAATATGAAGATGAATGTGATTGATTGCGAGGCTCAGGTTGAATGAAGAGACAATTATTGTTGTTAAGAGAGTCTGGAGTGGAAATGATGATAAAGAAGACAAATAGACAGAGAAGATGAAATATACATTTATAGTTTCGTTATAATATCATTTTAAGCTTTCGACATTCAGCTTTTTTCTTTAATTAACATTGTTCACTTTACCATCTTTTTACATCTCTATTTTTCAAAACCAAATTTTTGCTATTTTTTTACTATTTGTAAATGACTTTTATTTAAATTACAATTTATCTCAATAAGGGTTTTGATCATTGAATGAACATTTAACTGAACAAAATTATGAAATTGACCATGAAATTCAATGTTAATCTGTGTTCACTTTTACTCAAAATAACTCTTACCAATTGTTTTCAAGGGATTCAATTGACACTATCATTACTCAATGTGTTGCATATAAACAGCTATAACAATATAACAATATAAAAATACAATAAAAATGTGAAACCATCAGATTAACCCTTATATTTATCGAGATTTGTCTTATTTGTTTTTAAGATTATTCCAGTATTACTATTAATCTAAATAATACCTTTGATTGTAATGGCTTTTTAAGTGTTGATTAATAGATAATTAACAGCTTGACAAATTAGATTTACATTAGATTTATTTGGCAAGTAAGAAGAAAATGTGCGTTAAATTAGGGTTGAATTGCAATAAGGGTTGTTTAGTAGGACAAGCATTTGATTAACCACATTTTTCCAGGGTTTTTCCATGACTTAATTACAATTATGTTAAGATGATCATTAATAATCATTATTAATTTCAATATTGTAAATTTTATTTCACTTTAATCTCAACATTTACAATAAAATGTAAGGAAATCTTTTCATTAAATTGTCAGTTTACTTTACTCCAAATAAAGGGTCAATGACAAAGATTGAATCGCACATGAATGAAGACAGCAATTGACCCAATAATTTGATTCCTTGAATTATCATGCAAGTGATGAGTCTATGACTCAACTGAATTACATTTGATTGAAGCTGGTTAACACCTTGCTTGGTGTGCCAATACAATTGATTGATGATGTATACCTAGGGATGTGATTATTAAAAATCAAACAATTGATTCCTAAATTTAATCCATTTTTTGCTGTTCAGATGAACGAATCCTTTTTTCAGTTTATTATGGAAACTATGTTTGAAAAAAAAGGTAATATTTGTCTAGTTACGTTCATCGAGTTACTCAATTGTAATGTCCTCGAAATCATTTAAATATTTGCTTTATGAATGATTATAAATGTGATTGTTAAAGTCAGAATGTCACTTTGATCATTTTATTGAAAAAAATTGTCATTGTCGACATTGTTTTCAAGATATTTTTGCATTTTTTGATTGATTTTGACAAGGTTATCATGTCATTGACTGGTTTCATGCTGAGCTATATTGTAATCACCAAAGAATTGAGTAGACTAAATTTAAAAAATCAGTTTTGTTGAGCTCAGTCTGAGTGAAGCTCAGACAGTTAAACGTTCACTTGATTTAAGCTTTTCATCACTAAAGGCATTAAATTCAATCTGTCAACAGTTAATAACGAAGACTTTTATAATCGTTTTCTTTATTTCCCACTTTTCTTGTTATTTAAACTGAAAAAACGATTGATCAAACGAAATGTTGAATAATTTAAACAATTTTCTGGTCACCACTTTAGAGACAAATCCGATTCTGAATATACTGGATCCTGGATCAGGCCTTAAGTTATGTACTTTATTTTCACTAGTTTATAAACATTCTGTACTAATATTTTGTCATTGTCTTTTAAAGAATTGATTGTTTCCAACGAAATTTAATTGTAAAAGGAATGAAATTCATCATTTTAACGAAACTTTGCTAAAATTTTTTGTTTCGATACTTGGATTAGATATTTTTTATGCCTTGTTAATGCTTTACAATAGATAAGTATCGACTCCAAGATCTGATCCACTTTTCTGGTTGTTTTGCTTACTCCATTTTACCCGGCATTTCAAACTCTAAACATAGAAAATCTATTTTTTTATAATCTCGTTTTTTTAAAAGCTTTTTTATTTATTCAGGTTACAATCAAAATGTCACTTCACTGTAAAATCGAAAATGCAGGGATAAAAGGTATGTATTTGCTGTGAATTGTGTTTCTACTGTTTGTTTACTTTTCATCTTGTCATGATTTTTCTTGATTTTTTCAATAGTATTTGCTCAAGCAATTAACTGCTGTTGTAAATTAGGAGAAGATGTATATTTAGACGCCAATGCTAATGAGGTGAGTTATTTGAACATATCGTGTACCAATTTCTATATTTCTATGCAAACCAGTTTGACTTAAACCCGATATCTCTGTTAATCTAGCTAACCATCAAAGTCCTCAACGAGCCTTATAAATCTGCATTCATGATGATTGCATTTGATAGTGCCTTTTTTGATTCTTACGAAGTTGAAGGACGATGTTCTCCCAACGACGATATCACAAACGATGATGGGTCGCAAAACAGTGTAAACAGAAACAACAAAACTCCGAGGATGTATTGTAAACTCAAAACTAGGGTAAATTGCATCATTTTTTAATCTGTCAACATTATCCTGACTTGCCTTGTTCCAGTCTTGTCTTTTAGCTTTCAAAAAAGAGAAAAATTTAGTCAAAAATATGGAACACTGTGAAATTAACATTAAATCGTCCAGTGATTTTGCACAATTCAAGTTTGTATATGACTCGAGTAAGTTAACATGTATTTATTTTGAATCTGCAGTTTTTAATATTGATTTATTTTTCAAGAATGTATCAAGAAAATGGAGTTACCATTAGGATGTGATTTCTTAGATGTCAATGATGATGTATTTCAAAATGGACAAAACAAAGTCACTTGTAAAGCAAAGTATGTATGCTCATCTTACTTGGTTAACTGGTTAATTTTTAATAATAATCATTTTTTTCTATCTTTTCCAGAATATTAGCTGATATCTTGACATACTTTGCAAAAGAAGATGAATATATTACCATGAAGGCAACTCCACAGTCTATCGAATTTGAAACCCATTTCGCTGACAGTTTAGTTGATTATGAATTATTTTATCTACAATTTACTAATGAATTTTTTTCCCATTAGGAGATAAAAGTGGAAAACTGACCAAAACTAATATTGATATCGACGAATTTGAATTATATAACATATCTGATGATATCTTTCTAACATACTCTCTTCGACTTATTCGGGTAATTCTAATATCAAATTTATATAATAGTTGAGAATATTTGCCTATAATAATATAATATTTCTTATTGCAGCCTTTTTTATCGTTTTGCAGTGGAAGGATTCCAGAAATTGACATTTTTATGACGGGCTCAAATCAGTAAGTATTGCTTTTATTTTAATGTTTTAAAACACTTAGATAATTCTTGAAGTTTACTCATCCATCGCTATTCATCTTCTTTACAGACCAATTTGTTTCAATGCGGAATATCCACCTTACATAAAAATAGCTCTGGCTTTGGCTACTCTAGATGTCAATCAGTCAACTCCAAATCGTAACTCTTCTAAAAGTTCAGTCATGTATCAAACTAACCGATCATCCCAACATGCTGAAGCCACTCGAGTATCAAATAACAACGGTACACGAACGAGCAGACTTTTATCTCAGGATAGTAATGAAATATCGTCTAACCCTGAAAACCCTAGACACTCAATTCAAGGCTCTATTGCAATTAGAGACCAAGAGATTACAAATCATCGTTTGATAAGTAATGAGGAGCAACATGATTCAGTCAATTCATTAAGTCAAGGAGGATCCCCAAGAAATATCTCTAATCATTCAATACCACCTGAACCTATTGATTTTGATATGCAAGTCGATAATTTGGATGAGGAAGCCGACGAAATTTGCGAAAACTTTCCGAGTCAGTCTACTATTGGTCCAGAAGGCGGTGAACCTGTGAATTCTCAAAGTCAACAACTCAGTTCTGGACAGACTACCAAGAATAATAGTCAATTGACTCCTTTAGTGCTCTCACAACCGTTGCCCTCAAACTTAAGTAACGGATCACAATTATCTAATTTACAACCACGTGATACATCTTATTGGATGTCGCTAGAAATCAGATCAGAAAGTCAACTTTCTAGCAGCTCTGACGAACTTTTAGTTCCTCCTACGGACAATGAATACGAATCTGATTAGTTAATTAATAGGTAATACTGAATCAACAATCCATTTGAAAATCAATTATTGTTGCAAACACCAGTCAACTTTTCTCTATTTTTCTATAAATTGTAATTATTGAATAAAATATAAATACAGCTGTTTATTAGTGCAAAGACTGTCAACCTAAAAGTCTCAAATTGAATCTATTCAAGTTTCTATTAAGATTAAAGATAATCTGTTGTGCACTTAAGATTTGCAATTTCTTTAAATCTCGATAAGGTCGAGTTTATTTTTTCCATTGAAGTTATTTCATAAATAAAAACTGACTTTAAAATCTGGTGAACAGTGGAAGCTCAGACTGAACTGTTGCTTTTAAATCTGGTAGTGAAATGGTTATTGTTTAATTTTCAATCAGATTCACCGGCAATGGATCATAAACAAAATACATTTTGAATTCTTTTGTGTCAAAACTTTGGTAGGATTCGAACGCTGGCTTCTAAGAAGAGTAAACAAAGTGATTCACTAATCTTGGTTGCATTTTTACCGCCAAATTTGAAATAGCAGATAGGGCGCAAATCATGAGTCACTTTACGTTCTTCCTCAAACCTAATGTATGATTGTTGTGAATCTTATCTTTTTTTATTTGTGTTTACTCAATTTTCATTGTTATCAGATTCAAGAGATACCATGGTCGTGAAATAAATAAACATCAACAGCCGATGATCTTGGTTTTTGTGAAAAAAACACACAAAGAGAAACATTAACATATCCTTATTTGTTTTGCCATCTTTCTTTCACTTTGCATTCTTTATACATTTCAACATTTGTTTAACTCTTTATTTATAATCAAATTTGTGATAATTCTAATCAATATTCTCAAATTCAGTCTTTATTTGTGCTTCCAAACCCACTCATTCTACCATCCTGATGAGTAGTAAAGAAAAAGAAACTGAAAGTTGGCGCTTTTTTTATTTATCTTACCAGTGTAGACTTACTCTGCTGTAGTTGTTTCATGTGGATGTTATTAATTTGGTGAAAGACTGCAGTCCAACTATTTTCTGATCAACAAGCTGGTTCCACTTGATATTACTGTCCTTTTATCATAGCCCTTCTATACTTTCGCAATGGATCGTTTTATAATCAGAAAGGCTCCTGTTGTTATTATTGATGATTGCCCTGTTGGAAAGAGAAAAGTATCTCAATCTCGACGTAAACGCTGTGCTGATCAGAAAGTTTCAACTAAAAAGATCAAAAGACAACCAAGTGTGGAAGAATTACCTTCACTGAAAATCGATCCGGAAGTCTTATGGACTAATAAGTACAAACCTACTTGTACAAAAGATATGGTCGGCTCTCATGACAAATTCAATGAAATAAAAAGGTGGATACAAGATTGGAGTTGTAGTGAGGATTGTTGGAGCAATGAAACATTGTTAATTATCGGTCCTCCCGGCATCGGAAAAACCTCTTTAGTTTATGCTATTGCTCAAGAATTACAATATAAAATATTTGAAGTCAATTGCAGCCTGGCTAAAAAGATTCTTCAAACAACTGAAAAACTTCATGAAACCATCCAAACTCATCAAGTTTGTCGAAATGATACGCCGAAATTGACAAAATTTTGGTCATCTCCACAGACAGAATTGAATGATCGTGACGATTTACCCGAGATCTCTTTATCCTCTAATAGTATCATTCTATTTGATGATATTGATTTCATGATAAGTGATGGTGTGAATGGATTTTGGCGAGCCTTGAAAAATCTTATTCTAGAGAGTAAAAAGCCGATCATCTTAACTGCAACTCGCTACTCCGAATATCTCGAACTGTTCATAAATCCAATGAAGATTTTTAAAATAGAGCCACCTCAATCTACAGACATTGTTAAACATATAAACAGCATAATAGTTAAGGAGCAATCAGAAATTCTTCCTATTTCGACATCCAGAATTGAAAGTTTCAATGGTGATGTAAGACGTGCTTTAAATGAATACCAATACAATTCTCACAACTTTAAGGATAGCGCCGATGATAAAATGGAAATCACCTTACATGATGATGCAAAATTTACTACTCTACATTATGATTTGTTATGTTTAAGTGACGTGGTCGCCTTAAAAGCTGGTATTCAGTCTCCGGACGAAACAAGATCAGGTTTTATGAAAGGACAAGACATTCCATTCAATGAGATGACTAACTGGAGAGAAACAGCTGTCGATTTTATTGAAACAATCAACGTTTTGACCAAAGAGTCTTTTGGTGACGATTCGAGAACAAAAACAAGACTTAAAGACTCGGATGTCAAGAAATTTAATGATAAATTGAATGATTCATACAAGAAATATAACCGCTCTATGAGTAACCAAGCTTTCGCTATTGAATTTTTCCCATATTTATCAATAATTAATACCCATCTCAGTAGTAGAAGATATCAAACTAGAGGTTCAAAACAAGCTAAAGTACCTATCGGGTCTGTAGATCCTTTTCTGGTAAAATTTCCAGAGCTCGATTAACTATTAGAGCTTTAGGAAAAATTAGTGATAATCTATAATTCATATATTTTTATCGCTATCATGTTATTAAATCAGGTTTACCTGAAGTCATATTCATCTAATTTTTAAAACCTAATTCTTAAAATTTCATTGAGAATCATTAATCTATCCCCATTCACTTTGTTATTATTTTAAACAAAAGCGTAAAGCTACCCAATAAAGATGACGATACAATTAAATATTTATTTGTATGAATATAACCGAATTTCAATAAAATAAATTGTACCGAAAGCCAAGTGGGAAAATTAAAAAAGTCAAACTGATGAAAAATGAAAAATCTCATGATGATCGAAAAACGAGTCACTTACCCAAATTTACTAAATGAATAAAATTCTTTCAATTTCCAATTTTTCTTTCAAAACTAATTAATTGTCTAACGAACTAAAATCTTTATCTGAGCCAATCTCAATTTTCATGGCAATAACTCAAATCTGCCGGCTTTATATTTGGGATGTTCTTTATGATATTTCATAAAACTTCTAGATGGAGCTTATCTTAGATTTTTGAAATGTTAGCTAAATTAACATTTTCATTTCATTTTTTATCATATTGAATGTTTATTTTTGATTTTTTTCCTTAAATTTTAAGATTGAGTGATTATTTACTTCGTTATTCTGTTCAATATCTTCGTTGACCAATCTACTAGTCATTGAAATTTTACTACAAATTTTTTAAGCTGGTCATGATCAAATATTCTCAATGAAGCTTTCACCTTCAATTCTTAGCCACCCTAATCAAGCCCTGGATGAACATCTTTTTAACAAAGAATCATTAATGTGAATCTGATTTGCCGATTGTTAATTTATTGAATATTTTGTGCAATTTGTTTTATTTTTTTATTCTCTTTGTTTTCATTCTGCATCTCGGAGTGATACTCTCAATATATTTGGATTTTCAAAAAATTTACTTTTGTGGGATGCAAAAAACACTGTGCTAGAAATTATCCCAAATCATGTGTTATTTATGAACTCAAGCTTTGAAATTATTTATCGGAATTAATATGTCTTCACCTGATTCCCATCCACCAGAATCGAGCACATCATCATCAACCCATGATTCTGATGATTTTGCAACTGTTCTAAACACAGATGCAGCCGGTGATGCTGAAATCAATACAACCGACAACCAAACTAATAGGACAGACAGTAATGTTGAATCTGATCCTACGTCCACAACCCAACAAGATAACCTTAATAACAACCCAGCTCCAAATCAAGATGCAAGAGAATCTATAAATTTTGGTCTCTTCACTATTAACTTCAGTGGAACTGTTCCTCGGTTCATTGGTATATTTATTGAAAACGTCACTCCGAATGCTCATGGAAGTGTGTCTGCTAATGCAACCCAAGTGGGTAATACTATTGTTGGAAATATTAATCAAGCTCATGGCGGAACCAGAAATTTCACTGGTAACGATTTAACTGGAATAATTCCAATTGGGAATGGTGGCAATAGATTACATAATCACCTATTTACTATGAGAGAAAGATTATTTCGAGTCCTCTTCATGAAGTTTGCAGTGTGGTATGCTTTAAAAACTTCTAATCGATTAAGAAAGTCTATCGAATATGGTTTTTTACTAATGGCCATATTATCTCTGTTAACATTATCTTACCTTCATATAATATTTATTCAGAGGCCTATTAATTGCCTTGAAAATGCCCAAGATTTGTGGCCAAAAGAAGGAATTCTGAGGGTTGAAATAGTTTACTCGAGTGAAAATTTAGAATCTAATGAAATTGGACTATTAAGTTCGTCGATAACAAGCTATAATGATTCTATAGACGAATTACAGAATGATCCTGGGGGTGGTGAAGGAGCGGTAACAAATAGTGCCACGGAAGGTGAATTAATATCCATTCCATCTAAAGATGAATCAGATGTGCCAGATTCGCCATCTGAATCATCGAAGCCATCATTTACTTCAACTTTATCATCAAACTATCGAAAGTCCATCAACCCAACCAAATCAAGTGATAATGAAATGGATACAGAAAATATGATTAATCTGGACGCTAATTTAAGTAAATCATTAATTAATAGTCAAGAAAATAGCTCTGCGGAACTCTCGGAAGATGACCTATCACATCTTCAAATGTTTGCCAGAATGGGTAAGATCCTCTTTGTTGACTCTCAATATCTTCTCATCCCAACGTTAGAACCTTCAGGTTTTTTTTAACTTCTCTTAAGTTTCATTTTCCTTTTATTCCAAGGACCATTCAAACATTCACCCATCTTACAGATTAAATGGTAAACATATCAACAAGAAGAAAACAAAATGTGCCTCGAAGACAAGTTTTTCAAAACAACAAACTAATTCTTTCTCTTTCGGCTTTACATTATTTTTATCTCTGACCTTGGGGATCAACCAAGTTCATGTTTATGAAAATACAACAATTATCGACCAATATTGTTATAGTTTGCTTTGGAACAGTGACACATCAATTCAGAGCTATTTGTTTGTCCATGCTTCATGCCGCTTACTTTTAATTTTTGCTTGAGTCTAATTTCAGTTTATCAAAATTTTCGTGTTGACAACATAGTTTTTAATCCATTTTTTAAGCTTCCAGTCAAGTTTGATTTGTGATGATCGCCTAAGGAATTTGAATTAACTCAGGAAGTTGTATATTTTTGTGATCAAAATAAATTCAGATTTATTTTATCTTGATAAGTTATTGCTCATTAAGATTGATAAAATTCAGTAAGCCTAAATCGAGTTCTTTCAGTAACGTGAGTACCGATAGTATACTGCATATAAAAAAAACATTGATTAATATGTTCAATATATTGATTTCTTCCGAGATCATCCATTTTTCTATCTCCTTCATTTGCAACTATTTCAATCTTAATAATTTATTTATGAGGCTCGATTAGCATGACCAACGTTTTGATTTCTTTTTAATAATAATTTAATTATCTTAATAATTTCTCTTATTTCTTAAATGATTGTTAACAGATTTTAATTTCAGTTTTCCAATGAGCTCAGCTACATGTTCAAAGGCCAAAAAATGTTGTGGCATAAGAGTAACAGAAAACAAAACTGAGTTGGAAATCATGAGTGAAAATACCCATGATATTCATTGATACGTTGTAATCTAATATTTTTTAACTTGTATTCCAAGAACATTTTTGACCTTAGCAAATGAGGTCGGCTTTCAAGTAGGTGTTGAATAATAAATCGAGTTTTATCAGTATGGTCGAATTTATTAGCTCTTCTATCATTCAGATAATTCATTCTTTAACTAAATCATTTTTCCTTTTCATTCGATCTGATGTCATTAAGTTTCTTCATTGTGGTTCAACTATTTTTTACCATTAAAAATTGGTTGAATGAAGCAAACAGAATAAGGTTTGATTGTCTTATTTCTAGTCTTCATGGTTTAATTTCTGGTTAAGGCATAAACTTACTACGACTTACTTCTTTGTAATTTACCAAAGATTTTTAGACGTCAATCAGCGGTATTCAAATATTTGTAAGCTGCTTTGTATTTTTATTTTCTGATCCAAAATTACTGCTTTATTCATCTTACTGTTCTTACCTTGACGGTCAAGTTATTAATTCCTTTTATACAAAACTGGTCTGTTTCTTGTCCTGCTGAATCGTTCGTTTTCGCTTTCTTTTCCATCTCTTCCACTTCTTTTTCCTGTTTTATATTTCTTAAATTTTCCTGCTATTATTTATTCATTAATAGATCTATTTTCTCCTTTTTTATATCACAGTATGGCCTCAAGTTCATCGTATTGTAGAATATTCGCTCGAATATGGATTCCTCCGACTAACCACCACAACCAGAGAAAAATTAAATATTCCAGTCAAAGTCATCACCCTTGATCCAAATCGTGATAAATGTTTCGGAGGGCGATTCAGTCGATTCCTGTTGAAATATTTCTTAGGATATGATGACATTTTGATGGGCAGCTTAAAAGCTCTAGCGGAAAAGCAGGATAATAAAGGTACATTTGGAGAAGCGATAAACGAGAGATGAAGCAAACCGAAAAGCATTTCATCAATCATTGAATTTTTCGGATCATGAATTAAGCTGAAATAGTTTTGATTTTGATTTGTTAGGGTTCCTAAATTTCAAGACTTAAAATTATGTGTTAAGCTTTATTTGCTAATTATTTATCCCATACAAGCTAATTTTATGAAGATAAGATATCATTTCTTGTTGACCTTCATCATTATGTCATGGTAGTCTCGTTACTCTACCTTTATGCGTTGCAAATTTTTTGAAGATTTTTGTTGAATCTAATTGCTTGAAGACTTTAACCTTTTGTTTTCATATTTATCAAGGTTAATTAGCATTTAAAACACTTTCAGCTTCTCAGGTTTATGTAATAAATTTGCTCCAAGCAAAACTAATTTTTTTTTGTATTTTCTATCAATTACAGGTTATGTTCGAAATGTAGTCACTGGAGAACATTATCGATTTGTAAATATTTGGATGACTAGAACTGCGTATTTTCCAGCTCTTTTCATTATGTTGGTTTTCACTTTATCTATATCAATGTTATTACGATATTCACATCATCAGATTTTTGTATTTGTTGGTAAGATATCTATTATTGGATGTTTATTATGGCAACTTTCATTTCCGTTTACATACAATTAACTTCTTTATTTTATTTTTCTCAGCGGAACTTCTACAAATGGTGGAATTGAACATACGCGCCACATTTCCCTTCGCTCCTCTTTTAACTGTTATCCTAGCCCTGATTGGGATGGAAGCCATAATGTCGGAATTTTTCAATGATACGACAACAGCATTTTATGTTATATTAATCGTATGGGCTGCTGATCAATATGACGCTATGTGCTGTCACACATTGATTACTCGTCGACATTGGCTCAAGTTCTTCTATCTATACCATTTTCTTTTCTATGCTTATGATTATCGATTTGCTGGGCAATATTCGAGCCTTGCCCTTCTTACTTCATGGCTTTTCATCCAACATTCAATGGTATTCTTTTTCCATCGATATGAGTTACCCTCGATTTTAAACCAATCTGACCATCACAATGGTGACATTAATCCTGGCGAGAGTACTAATAACAATACCAATGCTGATCAACCTCCAGCAAATGAATCGTCTGCACCAAGTCAGGCTCAATCAAATAGTCAAAATGCAGATAATGATTCTTCAATCAATAGATCTGGAAATACCGACACTACTTCAAACAATAATGCAACTGCTAATGAACCAGCTGAAAGCGCAAACAGAAGCTTAAACACCAATCAGTCAACAGAAGTCTTTTGAAATAAATCTAATTTATATCAAGCAAGAATTTATTTTAACTTAAATTAGGGAAAGGAGGAACGAGATAAATTTGCTGTTTAAGCACAAAATCTGTGGCATAAAGCATAAAAATATCTTTGATGTTGCACACAGTTTAGAAAATAAAAAATAACAAATGCAAAATTTTCATTCTATCGATTAATCATCAAGTTGTCGAATAACTGAAGCTGTTAATTGTGGGAGAAAATGTAAATTTCTGATTGAGATTCATCTCAACAGAGTAACGTGAATCGGCTGATTTTTATAACTCATGATCTCATATAATTATCAACTATTTCATTTCCATCTCGAGATCGAGAACTAAATATTGCTTTAAATCATGCTTGTGCTCAGTACGCTGTAATTTCATAAATTTATCAAATCAATAACTTCACGATAAAAATTATTGTGATAATAAATTGTTTAAATAATGTCAACTCTGAAATAAATTGCAGACTCAGAAAAATGTTTCGATTAAATATAATTTAAGATATCAAGCTAATTTTAAAATCTCCCACCTTACAGATTTCAGAATTATAACCAACATAACCCACTTAACATTGATATATTAAGTATGTTAACAAGTAATACACAAATCATTACATTATACAAGCGAAGCCAAACCATGAATTTGACTAAAAATGAAGTGAGTTGCTAACTTGTAAGTAAAATGGTTAAATAAACAATGAATACTGGACTCCATGGGAACTGAATTTTAAAATGACCGCTTGAAATTTATCAGTGAGTGTTTCGAGTTTGCTTGCTTCGGTTTTTCAAGATGAATTTTTGAATTTTCAGATAAGGAACGGCCACTTTTTGTCCCTTGTGGTCACTTTTTAGTCACTTGTTCTCCTTCTTTGACTCCTTTTGCGTCTTGTTGGTTTAAAGTTTGGCTTATTTTTGACTCATTTCTTCTTTGCTTTCAAACCTTTTTCATTTAACGTTAAATTTTTGTAAACTTGTTGATAAAAAAGTTAATTCATCATTTCTATCATGGCAAATAGGAAAATCGACGCTATCCCAGATAAAAGTAAGTCTATTTATTAAATAACTTGTTAGACCAAGAGTATTAATGATTTCAATGTATTTTTTAGTTACCTTAAAAGTAAAGCTCGCTCAGGAAGATTACCACGATCTGGTAATAGATATGTCAGATGAAAGTGGCCCATTCAAAGGGAAACAAGTGATTAATCAGGTTAGTTTGCGCTATTATAAATTTAATTTAAACTTTACTTTAGACATAATTTAACATTCAAATTTTCAATATCTTGTTTAGCTTTCATCAATTACACGAATCCCTTTATACTATATCAACTTGGTTTGGATCCTTTATACAGCGGAAGATTCCGTTTTCATGCTCAATGTTAGAGATCGACAGTCTAATTCAAACACTGATGAATTGACCAAAGGCCGTTGTGCTGCAAATTTTCATAATGGGGACTGTTTCGCTCTCGAAACACAGATGCATTATTTACAGGAAGAATTTAAGTTTAATTTAATTTTGTATTGCCATGGACTGTTTGACGAGTTTGATTGTACTTTCGAATATTGTCGATATCACAATACTAGACCGTTTTTAAATAGACAAATATCAATCGCCACTGACTCTGAGTTACTAATGATAGTACGAACCAGGATGGAAGAGGCTAGAGGAGTGATTAATTATTTCGATCAATTGATGGAAATTTTCAGCGATTTAAGCATCCGACACTTCACTTTCAATTCAATAACTAAGTTTTGCCGTTCTCGAAACCATGCAGGACAATCCGCTATAGATTTACCTCGCTATACACGAGCTCGTGGCTAACTTTAAACTGGAATTCACCATCCGAACATGTGGAAAAATTCCGTTTCCTTGGTAATGCTGCTTTTTGAGAGGGATTGCTGTACGATAATCGTCTTACGACTCTTCTCCTCTTTTATTTATAACAAACATACTTCATTGATTGATGTATTTATTTATTTTTTGATAGACACATTTTGATAGTTAATAAAGAAATTTAAATTTTATGAAAAAGTATTTTGAATGTTCATATTTAATAAATAAATTAAACAGGTATAACATCAGCCATTGTCGCGGCACTCTGTTCAAATGGCTTGCGCCTTTTTTCATGTTTAACAAGAGCTTTTTCATTAATGGGTTCAATTATTTTACCCATTTGAGTAACAATTTTAGGTTCAATATTAAACCTAAATTTAGTTTCAGGATTCCAATCAGGTCCGATTGGTGTTTTCAGCTTTTTCTCGAATGATGAAACATTCTTACAATTGTAAGGCAAATCTTTGACTAAAAATTTAGAGATGGCTCTATCTTTGTCCTCTGATATAATGACATTTGGTAAATCTGAATCTTTACGTTTCTGCTGTTTTGCCTTGATTGTGAATTTCTTTTTCAGCTTTTTATTTTCTGCAATACCAGGACCAGTCCAAGACCCCCAACCAGGTAAGTATAAATTGGTATCTTTTATGGATTGTTTATCGATTAGATCTTTTTTCATCTCTGAAAATTCCGCAACGACATCATCACCATCAAAAGCTTCGGCAATCAATTTCGCATGTTCGTTATTTCCTTCGTCGTCTTCCGATTCCTCGTCAGAGCCCAGATTCTGAAAGTCAGGAATTTCAGTCTGTAATTCAATCACAGCATCAGATGCTGTAGGTTCTACTGTTTTAAAAGAATCATCAGCAACAGCGCTAGAAGGCCCTCTGAGAAGCCATGGATTACTTTCTTTTTCTTCATAAGCACCGCTCTTCATCATGATTTCCCCTTCTTGCAAATCATCTTCTTCAATCGCTTCAATTGCTTCGTCTTCTTCAAGATCAAATGTGACCTTTTTGGTTAGTGTTCTATTGATTTCCATTTGTTCTTTAATATCTTTTCTAACTTCTTCATCATATTTAGATCTCAATAAATTTTGCTTGGCCCATTTCCCAGTATTGAGATGTTTAAGACTTGCTCGTTCAAGGGCTCTCATTTTGTCCAGTTGTGCGATTTGTTCTAATGCTTTATCGGGATCAGTGTTTTTAGTTTTTTCAAATTCGGCAAGCTCCTTTTTTAACTTCTCTTTCTTGAGGATCCTCCGGTACTTTTTAGATTTAATTTTCGATTGTCTTTTCAGTTTAGCTTCCTGGTACGAAAGTAAAGCCCGCATCTTGCGCAGGTTAGCATGTCGCATGCGAGCTTCTTCAATGTTTATTTGACTCAAAAATTTTTCTTCGGCTGCAGTCAAAACTTTAGGCTCCTTTATCACATTATCAGACAGTTTCAAAGCTTGGTCGATTTCTTCTTTCAATTTGTTATTCGTTTTGGTGATAAACTTATTTTGAGGACCTTCCAATCTAAACAAATGAAAAATTGTAAAGATATAAAATCAACGATAAGAATGATAGAGTGAAAGAACTTACCTCAGGTCTGGTTTTTCGAGAGGGAATTCAAGTTGAGGTTTCAGTCGATTTTGTTCAATAATAGGCTCCCATTTAGATACGTCTTTAACAGTTTCATCGTAAAGCACTTGTCTTTTAATCTTTTTAGCTGTTGGAGTGTCCAATGGTAATTTAATCAGTTTTTTGTGAGTGATCTTCCTCAGCTGTGTCTTTATTTTGCCATCCTTGTCAACCACATTGTTCAAAAGTTGGTGGAGTTGCACTTTTTCAGCTTTACGGTCAGTTGCAACACCAAATTCATTACAAACCACGGAAGGCTCATTTCTCTTTGCCACCTTTTTCTTTCCATCTGTTTTGAACATGGAAGAAACTGTGGACACAAGATTGGAAATTTTTTCTTCTTCCATTTCAGTTGGTAATTCATCATCCATTATATCTGTATCTTCAATTTGATCCATAATTAACACTGACAATCACACGAAAAATTATAAATTAATTAAAAATATAAGCAACGTAATTGAATGCGGCAGAAATTGACAAAACACATGATTATTCACACATGTTACCTTTAAAAGTTCATAAATTGTAAACTTTTGACGATAGAGGACGCTACCAATAATTTGAATGATTTTCTTCCATGAATTTTATAAAATTTAAAATTTTATTAACGAAACTCAAGTTACTGTGGGAATGAACTTTACAGAATTAGTTTCTATAAATTTGTCTGAATCTAAAAGAATTAAAAATTTGATCACCCAGCTAATGAATGCATTCCTTTCTATTTGTAAAAACTGGCCACAAGTAAATGTCAATAGATTGAGACTGAAAAATTTGCTTTAAAGGAGATTCAGAGTTTATTAAACAAAAAGCAATAACCCTGCGAAACGAAGTTAAATAATGGTAATAAGATCGTAAATCTGACAATCGTAAAGAGCCTCACAAAAATTCACAAAATTTTATGAATATGCTAAATATTTTTGTGAAAATAGGTCGTTTCAATTATTTCAATTTGAATGCATATTTGTGGCACATAATCAATTTAACAATAAATAAAAAATATGAACTCGAAAATATATACTTTAAATATAACAATTCACTAAAATTGTAAACAATGATAGTAACGGTCAATGATATAAATTAAATTTTGATTTTGATGAATAATTTTTGGAGTCCAATTCCAACAAAAACAAAACAGGTTAGAACCAATTCAGATGGTTCCTCTATTCCAGTTCCTTAAAAGATGCTACCCTTGCAAGTTGTCCTGAAAAGTTGTTCTCAATAGTTGCCCCAAAATTAGTTCTTGATCAGGATGCATCCAGGTTGATATTTTTATCGGAATAAAATTTATTTATTGCTTCCCATTGCTTCGATCTCAGTAAAATATGATGTCTTTTAGAAGCAATAAAATCAACCGCTTGTTTCGGAGTCATTTCGTATTTCTAAGAAGAAAAAAATTATTAGGTTTAGCTTGCAATTTTTATGGCAAAAAATTACTAACCTCAATTAAATAACATGCAACTAAGGTAGCACTTCTAGTTCGACCAGCCTTACAGTGAACATAAACACTATTTCCAGATCCATCGAATCGTTTAATGAACTCTACTCCGGTTTTAAGTTTCTCTTGGCTTGGAGCATGGAAAATATCAGGAGTATTTAATTGCAAGAAGTCAACTCCTAACTTGTTCCATTCTCTAGATGTAGTAACACCAAATAGAAGTTCGAAATTTTCATTAAGAGAAACAACTCCTTTCACATTTTCTTCATCGATTAGCTGAAACATAACAATAATTGAGAATAAGTCAGTTTTGTTGAATTGAATGAAATGTAAAATTTTCTACTGACCTGCTTTGTGATACTTCTCCAAGGTAAAGCTCCTAAAATAACTGTTTCATCAATACGATCGAACCATCTTCTTGATGATACCTTTTCCATAAATAAATTATACACAAGAGTAGGATAAAAAGTCACTCTCCCAAACATCGCGATTAAATTATTTAATCAAATCTATGCAAGTTCAAACCAAGTCAACAAAAATTATTATTAGAACTTTACTTGTAACTCAAGAGATGGCTCTGCTAATTATGGGAAAATAACAAATTTTCAGCTTCTTATTTTCACCTCACAATCTGGTAAAATAATCTGCCACATTTCTTGGTTTTATTTTTTTTAGAAAATTAAATTTAATTGTTTACATCATGTCAACACTTAACGTTAAAATTCACCCTGTTGTTTTATTAAACATCATAGACTCGTATGAACGACGGAGTAGAGATCAAAATCGTGTCATCGGTACTCTCTTAGGAAATGTGGACAAATCAGGAACCATTGAGATTTCCAACTCTTTTGTAGTTCAACACCGGGAAGCTGATGGCGAGGTTGCCTTTGATATTGAAGTTGCTAAAGATTTGTATGAATTACACCGTAAAGTTAATCCAAATGAAACTATTGTCGGCTGGTTTTCTACTGGAGGAGGCGAGGTTAATGAATATTCCGTGCTTATCCATGAATTTTACACACGTGAAACCTCAAACCCAGTACATATTACTGTGGATCCTACACCAACTGGTATTTCTGTCAAAGGTGTGTATTTATATATTTCAATTTTACGTGTGATTTATTTAAATGTTTACTTTTTCATTAGGCTATACTTTAACTCCATTTGGAGTACCTGGAAGGAGCACTGGCACTATGTTCTCTCACATTAAGTCTGTTAGTATTACTGGTGGATATGAAGCGGAAATGATTGGATTGAAAGCTTGCATGTCGGCTTCTGGCATTGGAGAAGGAAAACCTATTACTTATGAGTCTGAGATCGATATGATTCTTGCTGCTTCTAAAAAATGCTCTGATATTATAACAAGCATCGTTAAATATATTGATGAGAACATTATATCACCTGGCAGACCTTTACCTAGCAATAGCAATGACATCGGACGGGAACTCATGTCAATGGTGGAAAGTATTGGACCTCTTTGCAAGGACGAAGAAACTACAAATAAGAATCTTAATGATCTACTCATGGTTATATATTTGTCTAACTTATGTAAAACTCAATTGATGCTTAATGAGAAGCTCACCTTAGTTTAAAACTTATCTTAGCATCATTAAAATTTCGAACTCGTTCCAAGCAACCCACAATCAATCTGTATCGGATATTATTATATTAATAATTTTTGATTCCATTGCGAGTTTAAGATGATTTCCAATAAACTTAAGAAAAATGATTTGTTTTGTAGTTTCACTCTATGATCAGAAATTTCATAATATACTTTTCATTCGCTCTGCTCCACTGCCATAATCTGCATCTACAAATTCATTTTGACACCAGAAATAATTGAAATAGTTTTGAGCAAATAATAAGAATCGATGTTCAAAATCATGTTAATCCAGTCTTTACGAATTGTAGGTTTCGAGATATTCATTGGATCAAGAACACAAAATTTCCTCACCTTTAAATTGTAACATCTTCAAAGGCTTCGAAGAGAAAATATGCTGTTCAGATTCACAGGAACGGGTGATAAGTATCATTGAAACAAAACAATCTAGTGATCTTACCTATGTGCTAGAGATATTTAGATATTGAGTGACTGTCGTTTAAGACTGCATCTCTTGTTAATATATTGACATCTATATTTTATTCATGAAATACATGCATAGCAGAGTAACAGTCGATATAGAAGAAGTATCGATAGTGAACCATTATTTTACTTAGCTACATTTAATCTTTATTTCCAATTGAATGTTATTTTACATAATTTTAACAGTAGTAATCAGGTAACTAAGCAGCAATAAAACTCAAAACTATAGAGCGAGGCTCAGCATTAGATGATCCTGATCACATTATGTTGATAAAATCATCGCATCTTGATAAGATTATATCTCATAATCAAAAATGGTGTCCAAACTGGAATAGAACAATATAAGATGAACTTGAGAGCAAATAAACGCCGATTTTTTAGGCTGAATGGCAAGTTCTGTAAAATAAAGAAATAATTAGCAAAACAATCACATTAGCATCACTGAGAAAGCTTACCTCTCCTTTATAAGTGAACCCTTCATGGCAAAGTCTGATCTGTTGAGGTGATCGACGGGCAACAGTTAACAAACTCCTTGCAGCAGCGTTCATTTTGACTTGAAATTAATGAAACAATTAAAGATCTGAATTAAATTAAACAAGGATAATTTGACCTTCCACAAAAAATAAGGATTCAACTGGTTTATCGGATCCAAATGCAATCACAAATAACCAGATACCTTAAAGCGCGAAAATTGAAAAGATGTTAAAAGGTTTAAAAGGTTTTTAACTTTAACTTGTAACCTAAATTTAATTCAACAAAACTTAACAATCACCAATTATTTGCAATCTTAATAACTCAAGGGCTTGAACACCTTAAAAACAGACTTTGGAAGTATAAACGATAGACAGTTCATATGTTTAAGTGTTCATGGTGAATCAGTAAATATCAAGTTTTGCTCAGATGTGTTTAGAATTATCTGCTATCTTAGTGTTTTGAATAAATAACTCTCAAGTCAATAAACTCTTAATAATCCCCTCTTTCCATAAGTTTTTAATAAATAAGTAATTTTCGATATTTCCAATTGTTAATTCGGTTGTTCATAAGAAATACATTTATTCATGGATAAGAAATATCAAAACATTCATGCAGCCAAGAAAACCTAGCAACCGGCGGTTGCTGTTTACCATAGAAACTTCTTCACGTTGTTTTTCTATTGCGTTTGGCGACTGTTAATTTTTTAGTTTTGTCAATTTCGGTTTTATTACAGTTTTGCGCCCTTTGTCAAGGGAAATGTTGTCTAAATTAAGCCTTTACCGGTCTAAGGAATCCCTGCGTGTTTTAAATATACTTCTTAAATGTGAGAACAGTCATTTATTTGGTAAAGCTCATCACCGACATGCTTCTGCATTTGCAAAGATTTATCAACTTGACAGATCGTCTACAAACTTGGTATCCACTGTCAATACACGGAATAATCTGTTGTACACAAATACAACTAATAATCTAACTCTTAGCAAAAGAAATTATTGTGATGACAGCAAAAAAGGTGATGGTGATGATGGCGTCAATCCAGAGAATGAACCTTTGTCCATCAAAGAAGAAGAAGAACATGATCTTATCATGTCTGGGATTTCTAACACATTAGCCACTATGACCGTTCCAGAATATTGGCCTAATATACCTGTTATAGCTATTACTGGAAGACCAGTATTTCCAAAATTTTTAAAAGTTATTGATGTTTCTAATCCATCATTAATATCGCTCATCAAACGTAAAGTTAAGCTTAACCAACCTTACGCTGGTTTGTTTTTGAAAAAGAGTGAAGATGATACAGAGGATGTTGCTAAAACTTTAGATGATGTATACCCTATTGGAACGTTTGTTCAAATTTTGGAAATTCAAGATGTAGGTGATAAATTGAAAGTCGTGGTTCAATCTCATCGGAGGGTAAAATTAGTGAAACAGTTACCCGAAGATTTTGATGCTTCGAATGACAAGTTGAAAAAAAAGAAATTGAAGAAAAAAGACGAATCAGCTGATATTGAAGCAGAAAATCTTGTTAATCAAGAGACCGTTCCACCAATTACCTCGAATGAACCAAGGCCTGTTCTCATGGCACAAGTTGATAATGTGAACCACGAACAGTTTGAAATGACCAAACAAGTTAAAGCGATCACTCAAGAGATTGTCAAAACCATACTAGATATAATGTCAGTTAATCCTTTATATCGTGAATCGGTATTACAAATGCTGCAAGCTGGACCCAGAGTTGTTGATAATCCTGTCTATCTTTCTGATCTTGGTGCTGCTTTATCTGGTGCCAAAGGTCCTGAACTTCAAGCAGTTTTAGAGGAACAAAATATTCCTAAAAGGCTTGAATTATCCTTAACACTACTCAAAAAAGAATTTGAAATGTCGAAACTTCAACAAGAAATTGGAAAAGAAGTTGAAGATAAAGTGAAACAACAACATCGTCGTTATTTATTGCATGAACAGCTAAAAGTAATAAAAAAAGAACTGGGACTGGTAAAAGACGACAAAGATGCTATTGAAGAGAAGTTCAAGGCTCGATTGAAAGACCTGATTGTTCCTAAGCATGTTATGGATGTTATCGAAGAAGAAATGAACAAATTAGCCTTTTTAGATAATCACTCATCTGAATTTAGTGTCACTCGAAATTATTTAGATTGGTTGACTAATCTTCCTTGGGGTAAGAGTAGCGAAGAAAATTTAGATTTAGAAAGAGCCAAAAAAGTTTTAGAGGAAGATCATTATGGAATGGAAGAAGTTAAAAAACGAATTCTTGAATTTATTGCTGTTAGTCAATTGAGAGGTAAAACTCAGGGTAAAATTTTGTGTTTCCATGGTCCACCTGGAGTCGGTAAAACAAGTATAGCCAAGTCTATCGCCCGTGCTCTAAATCGAGAGGTTAGTATTTCATTCACTTAAATAATTCACTTACGAATATTTTTTAAAATTTCCATGTTTAATGCAGTATTTCAGGTTCAGTGTTGGTGGTATGACTGATGTTGCCGAAATTAAAGGACATAGACGAACTTATGTTGGAGCTATGCCCGGAAAATTGATTCAATGTCTGAAAAAAACTAAATCAGAGAATCCTTTAGTGCTAATTGATGAAATTGACAAAATTGGCAGAGGATATCAAGGTGACCCATCTTCAGCTCTTCTTGAGATCTTGGACCCAGAACAGAATGTTAACTTTTTAGATCATTATTTGGACGTAACGGTTGATTTATCGAAAGTGTTATTTATTTGCACTGCAAATGTGCTTGATACAATACCAGAGCCTCTAAAAGATAGAATGGAAGTTATTGAAGTTTCAGGTTATGTTGCTGAGGAAAAAGTGGCAATTGCAGAGGTAAGCGGCACTTCCATTCTTTATTTAATTCCTTAAACTCATGGCTCTTGTTTTCTTTCAGCAATATTTGATTCCTCAAGCACGAGAAATGGCCGGAGTTAACGAGGATATTGCTAAAATTCCGAAGGATGTTTTACAAACTTTAATAAAAGCATATTGTCGCGAGAGTGGAGTTAGAAACTTGCAGAAACACATAGAAAAGGTTTTTATATTTCTATTTTTTACAAGAATATTATTCAACAATATCTAATATAAATATTTAAAACACATTTCATACTTTAGATTATGCGAAAAGCTGCCTTCAAGATAGTCAACAAAGAAGCTGAGAAAGTCAGTATAAATGTCGAAAATTTGCAAGATTTTGTCGGAAAGCCAATTTTCACGCAAGATCGAATGTATGAGCGAGCTCCTGTTGGAGTTACGATGGGCTTAGCTTGGTCTGCAATGGGAGGATCAGTTTTATTTATTGAAACAACTTTGTACAAACCAATATTGGAAGCAGAAAAGGACGGTGAAGCAGAGGTCGGCTCAATGAAATTGACAGGTCGTCTTGGTGATGTTATGAAAGAAAGTGCTGACATTGCTTATTCTGTGGCGAAAGCGTTCCTTTCAAAAGTAGACAGCAATAACGATTTCTTGGAAAAAGCTCATATTCATTTGCATGTTCCGGACGGAGCGACTCCTAAGGATGGTCCAAGCGCAGGATGTACTATGATCACAGCTCTTCTCTCTTTGGCTTTAAATAAACCAGTACGGAATAATCTAGCAATGACTGGTGAAGTATCACTCACTGGTAAAGTCTTACCAGTTGGTGGAATCCGAGAGAAAACAATTGCTGCCAAACGTGCCAACGTCACTTGTTTAATCTTGCCTCAAGAAAATCGTAAAGATTTTGATGAGTTACCTGATTTTATAAAAAGTAATCTAGATGTTCATTTTGTTGATAATTATAAACAAGTTTTTGATATCGCTTTTTCTCATAACTTAGAAGATTGATTCCGAATAAATGTAATCAAATCACTATTTTGTATGAAAGGAAGAGTTCATAGTTTAAAACTAATTCACCAAATTAAATAAATTCACTTCAATTGCGTACAAATCAAACACAATTTATTAACTCAGAAGATTATTCAAGCCTTTCAAATCCTGAATACTCAGGTTCTTTTAGGATCACCTTAGATTTCAACTGGAACAAGTCTTAGACTATTGTAGGATTAGCTTTCTTAACCGGAATTAGTTCACCACAAAACCACAAGAATGTTGTTGGTTAAGTCTTAGACTAATAAACTGGACAGGTATAGCGTACTAAAGCTGGACAGGCACGAGTCAGGAAGCTTAGAAGGTAAAACCAAATTCTAACCAAAATAAGCTTAGTGTGGAACAGTATAGCTCTGAAACCAATATCAGGATAACTACCAATAGTTCACTAGCTTTTAACTCTAGAATCATAGACTTAGTCTTTTACTACCAGATTGTTGAACTTTGGACAGGCTATCTTGGACAAACTTAGAAAGCACTTCAGCACTATCAATTGTAAAGATGGAAAACAGGATTTTCACGATGCTTT